AAAAAAATAAAATTTTGAAGAAGAACACAAAATCTTCTGAAAAATAATATCACATAAACTCATATTATTTTCTAATATATAACTATTTTATATAATAATCAAATTCAATGATCTTAAAAGCGAAGGATAAACCTCAAAATTTACGAATATAATGAGTGGGAATATAATGCTTATCTATCATAAAACCATATGAAATATCAATTTTTGCTTTACGCCTAATTTTTGACGACAATTAGCAAAAAATGTTAAATGTTAACACTCACTCCATTTGAATATGAAAAATAAAATTGGCTTTGATTAAATGTTTTTATTTATCATGCAATTCTTTTTGCGACCAAAGATTTGAATAAAATTTCAAAAAATAAGATAGCTTAAAAAATAATATACGGTAGTGTTATAATTTAAATGAAGAAGTAATTTAAAACGATTTTATTTATGATCAAATTTTATATATTTTTTTGGATCAAATCCATTTTAATAGAATAGATGAATTCTATAAGTAGTGAAACCATAAATTTTAACATTTACTTTTCACATACACATATATAAAATAAAAAATAAATTAAAAATAAATTAAGGTTAGTTTTTTGGGACAAACGGCTTAAGGTTAATTTTGGGTCAGTCGGTCAATGACCTTAAGGTTTTCGTTAACGAAACCATAAATTTTTTAAAAGACCCCTACAGGGTCATGAGCCACTTTGTGGCTTAGGTGAGATCTAGGGTTGTTAAAAATATCAAAAATTAGCGTTTTGAAGACACCATGGTGTCTTATAATTTTCCCTTCCTTATTGGCGTGTAGAAATAAATGCGCCAATAGATTGAAGAAGAAGAATTGTTTTTCTCTTAATGAACTTTAATCCTTTTGATATAAGAATATTAAAAACATTAATATAATTTCGATTTCGGAAATTAAATTTCCAAATTTTTTGGGTTATTACTTACCAGAAGCGGGATTTATTCCAGAACCACCACCTCCACCAGAAATGAAGGAAGTAAAACCAAAAGATAAAGATGAGAAAAGCACTCCGTGCCATTCAGCGTCTCGGAGAGACGATTTCAAATACTTAAATTATGTGAAGAATGTAAAGAGGGTTAAGGATGATAATACATCAGAACTACTGAGATTGAGAGTCGAAAACGATAAATTGAAAAAAAGAAAATAGGGAGTTAAAGAATAGATTAAAAGAGGAATTAAAGAAAGAGGTTGATTATAGGATAGATTATAAACATTATCTACAATCGTTTTATAACGAAGGTGCGGAATTTATGGAAAAATTAGAACCTAAGGAGGAAAATAAAATTAATGTAAGAAATTATAAACAGTGGAAAGCGTTAAATTCAGACGATAACCAAAAAACGTTATCGTATGATAAATGGGATGTGTTTATGCGAAATCCTTTGAAAACGTTTTGGAGTTAAGAGATTTAACATCAACGGGAGGAAGTCAATATTTCCTTTATTGAAAGAATGGATTGAAGAATATTTAGGTCAAACGTCGGCAGAAAATAAATACATGTTCTGCTTTAGGGTTAATTATAAATGGCATTCTAAACCATTAACTCCTGAATTATTTAGAGAGTTAAAAGAAAAATTTACTTATGAAAACTTTTTGTATTCAGCTGAAAATTCATTTGATAATTACGTTTCAGATCCAGAGATTACAGAACTTCCGCCATGGTATTTATACGATGCGATTTCGTTAAGGGAAGTTAGAGAAAAAGGTTATAATGAAATTGGTGGTTCATTCTTCAAATACTTTAATATAGGGTGTCCAAAGGTGTGTTTAGCACAAACCTGAATACTGCGAATAGAAATAAACAAGTTACATATATATAAAGTTTATTTAAATATAATCACCATTGGATTCAATCACGCGTTCGCAGCGATCGATCCAGGCTTGAAAGACACGCTTTAAATCATCATGAGAAAATTGCTCAAATTGCTCTCTTACAAAATTTTCAAGATCATCTGGACTCGCGAATTCGCGTCCTTCAGCTCTCTTTTTTAGCGTGCCGAATAAATAAAAGTCAGAGTGTGCAATATCAGGTGAATAAATTGGGTTTGGAACAACTTTGACATTGTTTTCCACCAAGTAATTCATTACCTTATGACTTTTGTGAACTCTTGAATTATCAAAATGAATTGCAAACTTTTGTTTTTGTTGTTTGGATTTCCCAAACTCATCAGAATTGATAATTTGAGTAAGAACATTGTCAATTAGATACTGAGCATTCATCGTATTAGGTTTTTGAAGAATATCAATTGCGATGATGCCATTCACGCCCAAAAAAACCGACAACATCATCATTGGTGTGTCAATTTTTTTCTTCGGGAATGTTTGCGGATTTTCATCCTTCGGGATCCACATGATTTTGGCTTCTGTTGCATATTGAAACCAAGACTCGTCCCCTGTTACTAAAAAGCGAAACTTCTTGGATTGATACGCACCCAATATAGAGAGGAGCTCTTTCGAAGATTAGACTCTAGATTTTTTTTGAACTGAATTAAGGTTGTGCGGAACCCAACGTGTATACGCTAGTTTGTAGTTCAAATAATTGTGCAGATAATAACTGACTGTTGTACGTGGTATCTTTGTCATCTCCTCTATCCTTCTGAGTGATGCTCTTGGGTCTTCATCTAGCGCTTGAAGAATTGCTTTGATTTTTCTTTGATCCGGCGATTTTTTGTCAATTTTTATGATAGGCGCCTTTTTGTTCATGAAGTGATACATCCTAACATGATACGTTACAGTGGAATAGCTAGGAGCATCCATACCGAAGCATTTTACCAATGTCTCGTAGATTTTTTTACAGTCTTTGCATTTTTTTGCAAGAGCGAGGATGTTTTCTTTATGATTCATTAAAAAAATGAAAAAAATCCCGCCAAAATTTCCCGCGAAACCGCCTCTTGTCTCAAAATTCATTTTATATCCCGGCATGGCGCCAAAATACAACATACTCATCATATACATATATTCATATTTTTTATTATATATTTATAATCAGCATATATCTCCTTTAATAGTCTCATATAGAGCGCTGTGCTAAACGCACCTTTGGACACCCTATATATCAGGTTTAAATTTAGAAAGATATCAGATATTTACGGAAGTTGTTGATGATAAAAATAACCAGATACCAGAACTAAACGATTGCTGCTTCATTTATGCACTTCAGAAGTCAGGGAATTTTGAAGAGGATAGTTTAAATTCCATTAGATTAAGAATCCGCAACCGTAATTTATCACAGTCGAACGTTAGGCATTTATGCGAAGAGTTCGGGATTAAAGCAAAAATAAGACAGTTTAGGCTTAAAAAAGATGTAAAGGATTGATATAAGCACGAGTTCTTTTTATCTTCTCTCCAGTATTTTCATTTCGGAGTTGATACCAACCATTAACGTAATCTTCAACTCTCCATATATCCTGTTTAACTTTCAAACGTTTTTTAGCCATTGTATCATAATCTTCTAAAACATAAACTTTAGAACCTTCACCGACATCATAACCGGGTTTATGTATGACGTTGAAATTTTCTGCTTTAATTCTTCTAAATATTTCATTTTCAAGTTCTATATCACCTGCTACCTGATTAGGAGTTAATGGAAAATTCATGATTTTAGAAAGTGTTGAGTGCGGTGTGTTATTATAAACATCTACTAACTGTTGCATTAACGTTGGGTTTAACTTCTTTCTGACATTAAACGCCATGTCTCGTAAGGTTCTGATAGCCCTATCAACGATTGCTCGTGAATGATGATAAGGATCCGTTTTATAGCTATCCTTAGGGGTTATTAACCTTATTCTTTCCACAGGAATAAATGTTATACCGTTATTTTTATAAAACTTTTTAGATTTGTCAGAGTTAAAAGCTCCTTCGCCATCTCCTTTTAACGCTTTTATATCTGCACCCTTTCTAATTATTTTCTCCAAAGCGTTTAAATATAAACAAGTATTTCTTTTATCTTGCGTTAACGATTCGTAATTGCCGTCGTTAATTAAGTTTGTAGGTTCTACATAAAGTTTCCGAGTGTTATTTTCAATGGCGATAAGATAAACTTCCGCACCGTTAAACATTAAATCGATGATAAATAAACCGTGAGGAGAAACAGAATGAAGGTAATATTGTCTATTACTTTTCGGAAATGAATTTACTAAATATTTTTCATTCTTCAAATACGGAAATTTATCGTCTATGATTAAATATGCCTGCTTAGATTTAGTTCGAAATGGTATTGGTATAGGTTCAATCTGCCTTTTAATTCTCGTTATGTCCTTTCTATTCTCGATTCCTTGTAAATACTGTTGGTAAATTTCATTCGAATCCCATGGGGATGGTGGAAAATCTTTAATTTTATCCATTAACTCTTCATACGTTAATTCTCTGTCAGCCGTTTTAATCAATTCATCTAATAACTGTTCAAATGTTTTCTTTTTCTCTTCCTTCTTCGTTAAGCCGCCATGCGGCAAGGTCGTAGACCATGGATTATGGTCTTCCTCCTTTTCGATTCTTTCTTTTTTCATCGCTGGTGCATAAACTTCATTAAAATATTTTTCAAATTCCCCCTCAGTCATTTGATACGGTTGATTCATATCATTTACCAAAGCTTTTCGCAAAACTCTCTTATCCATTTTGGGAGCGTTAAGATAAAAATTCATTCTCTCCGTTAAAAATTTTTTACGTTCTTTTGGATTACATTTCTGTAAAAACTCACTCCTTCGTTCATCCATTATTTTAAGATATGAATTCCAAAGAATACGCCAATTTTCATTTTCGGGATTTCTTGTAATGAGATAACGTTTAAAATACTGAAATGAATAATGGTCGTCTATTAATATTCTCTGTCTCCCAAAATATGTTTTTTCGTCTTTATCCGCTTCTACATATTCAGGTTTACTGTGAAAAGTTTTATCATATTCATACGGTATAAACCCATGGTCTTTATCACATTTATTCCTTACGTAATTGTCGATAGTTTGAAGAAGGTTATTATCCGACATATTTAAGTATTATTAAATATTTCATATGTTTCACCGTTTTCTAAAAGTTGTTTTATAACAGTACCACTGCTCTTATTACTAAAAATTAACGCTTCACGTTTGTTTAAGTTCTTATACACTTCATATATTTCATCTCTATCCATCGGTGATGAAAGCTGATTAAATATATAACAGTAACGATTTCGAGGATAACCACCAAACATCCATACTGAATCAATATTAGCTTTTAACTGAGGACTTATTCCTTTCCAGTCCTGTATATTTAAAATATACGTTGAACGTGTATGGCGATTCTCTAACAAATACCTAAACTCTTTAGCGTTTGGTTTCTTAAATACTTCTAAAGCATCGTCGTAAAGAATTAAAGTATGCAACGAGGGATTGTGGAAATCATTAATGTATAAATGTGATAAAATATCTTTTTTGCATTCATCTGTTAATCTTCCTTCTAATTTTTTGAATTTAATTTTGTCGTATGCTTGCTTATATTCTATTAATTCGGTCATAAATGATTCACTCTCCTGATATGAAATTAACACGGAAGGAATTTTAACTAAAGGTTTGAATTTCCTAAACGTTTCATCGTTTGGGTTATTTGAAACAAAAACGAAAAGGTGGTATTTTGTGGGAATTCTGGAAATCAGAGCTGCTATGTTAAATCCGTTAAAGGTTTTGCCACTTCCTCTCTGACCAAGAAATATATTAATGCTATTGTACATTATATCAATTTCGGGATGTATGTCATGCTGTACACAATCCTCATTATCGCATTTCGCAAATTCTTCCATTATGTCATTATACAATTTTCTTTTAATAGACATTTTAATAAAAATAAAAATAAACGAAATTTTACATTAAACCTGTGCAGTCTTGAGAACTGTGTCTTTTATTAATTCGAACTGCTCAGATAATGCGTTAAATGCATCTTTGATTTTCTTTATCTCATCCATAACTTTTTTCTCTTCGTCTCTGTCTTTTTCGCCATCCTTAATATTTCTTAAACAAATTTCTCCTTTAATTTTAGTTACTTTATAACCCGGGATGTGAAAGATTTTATTTAATTTTTGAGTCGTCATGCCCGCGTACTTCTCCTGGTCTGCACTTATTATTTCCGAAAAATCATCTTTGGAATCACAATCTATAACTTCTGGCTGAAATGGTTCGATGATTTTAATCTTCGGTAATTCTTTTCTTATATCGTTCAATACTATTTTACTACTTTTAGTCATCTTTTATAGGAATTAAAAATTACATTTATTCATAAAATTTTAAATTTTTTATCTTCTATAAAATGTGGCAAGATTGCAAAGCTGATAATGACTACGAAATATTTTCGGAATACCCGTTTGAAATAAGGAGAAAGAAAGACGGTTATGTAATTCATGAATGAGATAACGGAAACGGTTATATACGAATTAAGTTAAACGGAACGGGTTATTTGAAACATAGAGTAGTTGCACAACAATTTTTAAACGATTATGACGAAAATTTAGAAATCGACCATAAAAATCATGAACGAGATAATTACGATATAGATAATCTAAGACAGGTATCACATTCAGAAAATCAGAGAAATAAACAAGGTTATGAGGGTCGTGAGTTTAACTACATTCAAGAACTACCAGATTCAGCGTTTGAGGTTAAAAATTATTCACGATTCTTCTTTAACGATTTATATTTCGATCCTGAAATTGAAGTATTTTATTATTATAACGGCGTGAAGTACAGAGAGTTAGAGATAAGAGAAGATAAATACACTCATGCGTTATATGTGGATTGCTTCGATAAAGAGAATGTAAAACGAAAGATATACTATAACAAATTCAGGAGGGAATACGATGCGTGAAATTTTTAACTTATTTCAATCTTATTTTTGTACTTAATGCCTTCGCGTTATCGAATGCATTCGTCCAATCCCCGTTATCTACTGCTTTCATAACTTCATTAGCGCCATTTACTCCCGTTTCTACAGCTAATCCTAATCCAGGTTTAAATCTATCAAGCACAGGAGCGATAGCAGGAACAACCTTAGCAGCAGTTCCGACGATGCCTCCAATAAGATTTTTACCGAAATTTCATGCTTTCTTTAATCCAGACTTTATTTTATTCCAAAAGCCCCAAGCCATATTATTTAATAAAAGATAAAAAATAAATTTTGCCTAACTAATTAATTTATTTAAAACATCCTGATGATTCATTAACGATTCGTTAACGTTTCGAATAAATTCGTTAATATCTATTAACTCCCAATTTCCATCTTTATTTTTAATTCTTAACGCCCAACTCTCCCCGTTATATCTTGCTATCACATCTGTAGAGTTAGTTTTTATTACCAAATTACCATTTTCAGTATCTATTAAATAATTACCGTCAACAGTTAGTTTATCAGTGTTTAACATTTTGAGATAATTTATATCTTCGGGATTACTTAATAAAGTTTCATAACCGTAACGCCTTGACGAATCCAACTTTCCGTTTAAAATTTTCTGAAGTTCCGTAATCTGTGTTATATCGTGAGTGTGTATTGGTTCCATATCTAATTTATTACCCAATTCATTTTTAACTTCTGCCATTTCTTCCTTATTTACCGCATCTGCTTTCTTTAGGAAATCATCAAAATTAATGTGTGAAAAGTCAGGAACGCCATTTTCTATCTGAGCTAAAGTCCATAACATTTATTATAAATTAAATATTTAGTTTGTATGAAATAATGGATGATGAAGAAAGCCCTTCGGGCTCAACGTCGCAAAGCGACGATAACAACGGTTGTAGAATAGCATAAAAATATTTTTGGGTGACATCTCACCTGATTTCTCACCTGAAAAAAATTAAGTTTATTTTTAAAAAATTATTTTTTTAATTTCTCTAAAAGATGACAAAAACTTGCGAATTTTATATTGGACCGACGCAATGGTCACCTTCAGGAGCAATAGATTTAGAATTAAATTTAACTGAAGAAGCTGAACAACGTATGAAAGAAAGTTGCGGTTACAGTCCGGATTCAGACGTTAAATTCAAAATACATACAAAAGTTCCTTTATACTATAATAACGGATTATTCGAAGTAACTATATTAAACGAAGAAATATCAGAAGCTGAAAAGATGAAAGCTGAATTTATTCAAGAATTACAGAACAGGGAGAAAGCGTATAAACTTTGTTGTGATATTCTTTCAAGAAATATGGAATTTTTAGGTAAGAAAAAACGGTTTTTGTTAACAATGGATGAGAGACGTGCATATAGTTCATTTCATAAACAATACAATTTTTATTCCCATCTTAGTCAGATGGATTACCTTAAAAGAAGAGGATTGGAAGATTATGAGTATAAGTCATTATCAGATTTGGAGAATAAGATTAATTATATAAAAGAATATTTTAATGATAAATATGTTGAAAAACCCAAAAAAATCACAAAGCGACACGGTACGAATGTGAAATAAAAACCTAATTTATTTTTCATTAATTTTATTTTTTAATTTCTCTAAAATGTACCCAAAAAGAATAATAACCGATTTCGAATATTATCTCATCGATTCGCTAACAGACCCTCAAAACTGTGTTGATGGTTCTTTTAGATTTGAAATCGAAGGTACGACAATTTTTGTCTTTACTTACGTCATAAAAGAATATGACCGTTATCATAACGAAGTTAATGACTTAAAACTTGAAATAAAAAACGGAAAAATTATGATTTCAAACGTGAAGATCCAAATACTGCCGGAGATGATGAAGAATATCGAAAAGTTATTGAAAATGAAAATAAGAGGTTAGATGCAATAGAAAAGAAATTTAATGAATGTTTAGTGAATACTTATGAATATGTTTTACTATCCAAAAGATATTAAATTTATGCCAAAATTTATTTTTGGGCAGAAGGTGAGATCTCACCCGATTTCTCACCTGATGAAAATTAAGTTTATTTTTTAAAAATTTATTTTTTTAATTTCTATAAAAAGATATGCTCACAAAAATCGAAACATCCACAATTTCGATAACGGCAGACGCTAGCGGCAGGACTCTGTCCACAGCACCAAATTCTTTAGTCATGAATCCTACATCAATGTTAGTAGAAATGAAAAACTTTATTCCTTCTTCATTTACTTTCGAAACAGAAATGCTAAAAATTAAGCAAGAACTTTTAGCAGGAAATTTAGACTGTAACGCGAAAGATGAAACAAATGGACAGGAACTATATGAAATCCAAGATATTGTAGATCATTTACCTAAATTACCTGAAGTACAGCAACAGAAATTAACTATTCCTGAATTCGATGAAATTGAGGTTAAAGTTACTGATTCTGCAGAAATTAAGAAATTCATTCGTAAGGTAAATTGTGAATTCTTAGGTTTTCATTACAACCATAAGGTTATGGATAAAGACTGTGACATGGTTTATAAAAACATTTCGGATATTTATAAATCTGAGGAGTTTAAGATTTACGATAACTTTTTAACTTTATGTGCTAAATGTGTGTGGGAGATACGAGATAAAGACAGAAGAGGTAAAGTATGGCATGAACAGATAAAACCAACTGCTTCAGAATTAAAGAAAGCCATTGATGCTTTAGTTATTTTGGCAGGTAAGGTTTCAGAATATAACACCAAAATGAATCCGCAATGTTCGAAATGTAAAGCAGCTGTGAGGAAATATAACTATTCCGTAAAAGAGATAGAACGTATGAGAAACAATTACGCAGATTTAAAGAGAGAGGCAGAAAAACCAGCCGAAGATAAAATGAACATGTTAGAATTTCTGAATAAAAATTATCCCACAGCTGATGATTTCCTTTTATCTGATGTAAAGAAGAAGTATAAAGAAACTTTCGGTCTTGTTAAAACTTTCGATATATTAACGGCAGAGATTGAAGCTACAAAATTATTTAAAATCTCAAATATTCATCGTGTATACCACGTTAAACGCTTATAAAACATGAAGGTGAGAAATCGGGTGAGATCTCACCTAAGCCACAAAGTGGCTCATGACCCCGTAGGGGTCTTTAAATATTTTTAATAAATTAACAACAATCTGACCATAAACGCTCCAACTTTAACGGGTTGTAAGTTTAAATCTGAAAACCAAATTTTAAACGTTTTCTTAAATCCTGTATATTCATACTTAGCCGTTTTTCTATTAGCTTCTTTATTAACGAAACAGCATGAATAATCACAGTAATGGTCACGCTGAATGAAATCAGCATGCATTATAACATCACCTACTAACATATCTTTTATCACCGCCTTGCACTGTTCGACCACAATATATTTTTTATTCTTCGAACCTATAAATTCTAGAGGAAATTCGTTTTCAAGTTGATTAGTCCAAAAGTAAGTTTTAGCTTGGGTGTCTAAACTCATTATTTATTTATTACAAAAATTATTTTTTACTTTTAATAAAATGAATTCATCGTTCAATACCCGTTTAACTAATAGAGAAAAACAGGGAAACGTTGCCGGATACTTCGAAAATTTATCAAAACCGGTACAGGTTAATGATGGAACAAGATCGTTTGTACTAAAGACGTCCGACTGTCACGACCAATTTGCACCTTTCAATGAAAATCAGGAGACACGTGCACCCTTGACTCACTCGGATCATGTCATCAGCCAGATTACAGACGGATTTTATACATTCAAGATTCGGTTAATGTTGCAATTGGTCGGCATCGATAAAAACAATTTTAACGATATTGACCACCTCGTTAAGTTATTCATTGGATGGAAGAGCTCAAATCAAATTTTAGACCAACTACAAATTTTATGCAATAACTTAAGCACAGGATATCAGCAAAACGAATGCGTTAGGGAAGGTTTTGCATATTCGACAATCAAACCAAAACAGGAGAAAAAGACTAAAAAATTTACTCATTCATTTTACGAAAACGTTTCTTACTACTCCTCATCTGTTTGCGGAACTTATATAAACATTGCTGATTTCAAAGATGGATTACCTCATCCCGTCGAATTTGAAGCAAACTTACCGTTTGACGATATTTTAGCACTTCAGGCTTTCGACCTTTATCCTAATCGTGAATGCGGAGAGTTAGAATGTAAATTTTACGTAAAGTCTAAATGGCTCGTTTGGTGCATGGTTGACCCGTTGAATGTTAAGATGTATAAAGAATATGTTGAAGGTCAGAGCATTAATTTCACAACCGATAAGAATTTATCATCAATGTTCAGACACGCATTCACACAAATTAACAATGAAGCAGAAATTATAAATAAATTTAACATAACGACTTCAACTGTAGGAGGTCAGGAGGTTAAATCACTCGATGTCGGTAAAGGAATGTGCAATCTTCAGTGTGTGGGAATGACAGTCCTAATGTTGAAATCAAATATGTACGGTTTTGGTGTAAATCAAACGACTCAGGAAAAGATTCATGAAATATTCAGTACTCCTCAAATGATTCCTTCTCAACAGCTTGATTATAACGCTTTCCTGATTGCTGCCTCAGCTGCTGGTATTCAATCAACAATCAACATGCCAGTAACTAACACAACATGCATAAGTATAATGTTTCCAAAACATGATAACGATTATACAGTATTTGAGAACCCAATTTATACAAACCTTCAGCTTACCGTTAATGGAAAGAACATGCCGGACGAGCCGGTTGATTCAACAGGTGCTCGTTTCTTACAACAAAATTTGGTAGCTTCTGACTTATCAGGAGGTTTGGAATGCACTAAAGAATTTGAAGATTCAATCGTAATGGCAAAAAATACCCCAACAGGTCAGAAATATCAGAACTGTTTAAGTGATGGTACATCGTTTATGTGGAACGTTCAGTGTGAAAGAAATAACGCCGGATATACTTTCGACGGCATTGATTCAGACGGTCAGAACATCCCTATACAAATTAAAGGAAACCCATTATATACGGGAGAAAATGATACATATTATAACTTCAATAACGGTGTATCAAGACCTCCAGCACCTCAGATATGGTTATGTAGAGATACATATTTCCTAGTTTTCTCACAAGGCGTAAAGTATATCGGTAACGACACACCACCAGGTAAATAAGAAACTAAATATTAAGAACTGACTTTTTATTTTTACATAAATGTTCAAAGTTGATTTATCAAAGTTTGATAAAAGCGATGTTAAAATAGGTGACTATCAGTTTACAACGGATGATAAGGGAGCGTTAAAGGTGGTCAAAAATGAAAAAATCATTGCTGAGTATAACGGTACCGAATGGTTATTTAACGGTAAAAGTATATCAGCTATGTGGGAAGCTTTAGAAAATCATTATCAAGCAATTAACAGTTTAGGTTTCATAAGAAACCATAAAGCCTAACGGGATTTAGTGAAGAAATAAATAAGTTTAATTTTTAAAAATTTATTTTTTTTTATTTTCTATAAAAAGACATGAACACCATTAACGAAAATCTTTTGAAGCCGGAAATTTCGCAAAGCGTCTTAGATTCAATGTTAGAGGAAGAATTAAAGCAATACGATATTTGTCAAATACAGGACCAGCGAAAGAATTCGAAGAGAAAAAACGTTTTGGGTTGTGGTGATAAAAATATAACGTTAAACATTATCGATGGTCATTATTTCATTGAAGAAAGAACAAATATTACTAAATCATTTTGTATCCATAAATACTTATACGGTGAAGATATACCATTATCATACCAAAATAGGACTTATTCAAAAAGTAAGGGGTGGGTTACTGACAAAAGAGAAGACAGATTTTTAATGTCCGGAGCTTTAATAAGATTGTTAATATGCATCGATAAGGTGAATGTTAAATTAAATAAACCCTGTGTATGTTTTAAACCAATGACATGGAATGATTTTAGCACAGTTCAAACATGTTTTCATAAAGATATAAAGGATGTAGAGGATGTAGACCTTCAGTACAATCCTGAATTTTGCACACGTTTAATGAAGAAATCATTTAAGACTGAAAAAGACGAACAAACTACATACTGGTACGCTGATTTTGAATCTGATGTTTCAGGAGAGATTCATAAACCCTTTATGGTATGCCTTCAGAATTCATCAGGAACTAAAACAAAAACTTTTAAAGGTGAAGATTGCGCGTATGAATTCCTTAAATTCCTTCCCGATAAAGCAATAGTTTATTTTCACAATCTTGCATATGATTTACGTATGTTTTGTCATAAAGGAGAAATGCAACACATGCTCCAGAAAGGAACTAAAATAATGAATTCAACGTTAACATTTGAAAATAAAGTGTTACAGTTTAGGGATACATTACCGATTTTAAATTGTAAGTTATTCGAAATTCCTTCAATGTTTAATTTAAACAGTGGAAGAAAGGAAATATTCCCGTATAAGTATTACACACTTGAAAGATTAAAAGAGAATAAAGGAGTGATTAAAGAATGTGGAGGAGAAAACCCTTCGGGTTCAGGGCATGCAGCCCATGAAGATAAAATATGGAATGATGAAGATATGAAGTTATTTATTTCAAACATTGACGCTATCCCTAACTGCAGAATTGATGAAGAACATTTCGATATGTACATTTACGCTGAATTTTACTGCCAGCAAGATGTAAAAATATTAAGGTTAGGATTTAATAAATTCTGTCATGATTTCACTAAAGAATTTAGAATTTCACCACTAGACCACGTCAGCATTTCATCACTTGCTAACGAAGTGTTTCGACAGCGTGTATATCTCCCGAACGGTAACCTTTACGAATATTCTGGAGTAGTTCAAAAATTTATACAAAAAGCTGTACATGGTGGAAGATGCATGACCGCTAAAAATTTAATGTGGAAATTAAATTTGAAATTAACTGATTACGATGCTGTTTCACTTTATCCGTCCGCAATGGCGAGGCTTTATACAGTTGAAGGAATACCGCAAGTGTTTGAAAATGTGGATGTGAATAAAATTTATGATAAATTACATTCATTCTTAACTGATAAAACGGCATATGTTATTGAAATAGAGATTGTCAAAGTCGATAAACATTATACCTTTCCGTTAATAGTTCAGAAGAAAGATGGATTAAATTTGAATGATGATATATTAAAAGAAAAGACATTCATGACGGTTGATGATATATACTTAGAAGATTTAGTTAAGTTCCAAAAAATACATTTCAAAATTTTACGCGGTTATTACTGGACGGGGAAGAAAGATTTTAGAATTCAGAAAGAGATAAGAAACCTTTTTAATAAACGTTTGGAATATAAGAGGCAGTGTAATCCTTTACAGCAACTTTATAAATTAATTATGAATTCATGTTATGGTAAAACTATTCAAAAACCAGTCGATAGCGAAATAAGATTTAAACACGGTGAAGAAGAGATTAATGCTTATGTATCTAAAAACTATAACTACATAGCGGAGGAAGTTGAAATGGGAAATGATACGTCGTTATTTAAAATCGTTAAACCCATAGATAAACAGTTTTCAAATACATTATTAGGCGTTCATATTCTGTCTATGTCAAAAAGAATAATGAATGAGGTAATGTGTTTAGCTTATGATTTGAAATGTCATATATATTACCAGGATACTGATTCGTTTATGATTGAAATTGACGACCTCCCTCGTTTAGAAGAAGAGTATGAAAAGATTTATAATCGTAAGTTAAGAGGTACTGATTTAGGTAATTTTCATCCTGACTTTGAACCCATTAACGGTGAAGTTCCTATATCCATCGAATCTGTATTTCTTATGAAAAAGATGTACGTTCATAAATTAATAAATAGCAAAGGAGAAGTGGGATATCATTTAAGAGGAAAAGGTTTAACACAGCAAAGTATTAAAAAGAACTGTATAGATAAAGAAGGCGTTTATGACCCCATTAAGTTTTACACATCCATATATAACGGAGCAACTGCAACATTTGATTTAACAGAGGGGCAGCCGTGCTTTAAATTCAATAAAGACTTAACAGTTTCGACATTAGATACTTTCAAACGTAAGGTTAAAGCTTCTTATGAAAAAGGTGATAGGAATAAATATTTTGATGAATAAAGATTTTTATTTTTATGTAAATGATAGATAAATTATGGAAAGCTGTCAAAAATATTTCCGATTCAGGAGATAATGCAGAGGTAATGAGACATTTCGATTTAGGAGAGTTTAAGACTTCCGAAAATTTTATATTAAATTACCTTGGAAAGAATAATGAGGAAATTAATAAAAATAAGGAAAAATATCATGTAATAGATTTAGTATTTTACATAACGCCACCAGAACCTGCAAAAAGTTTTATAAATAATCATGGTATTATCAAAGTTCATATTGAATTTTATAAAAAATTTATGATTAAATGTGATACAAGATATATTAGCTGGGGGGCGCAATGGCTTGAAAAATATAAAACGGCGGTAAAAGTTGATATAAGATTTGATAATGGAATGTTATTGGTCTGGTTATGCAATCCTTCAGATTTAAGGCAACCTCTCGATTCAACAGTAGTGGAAAAGATAACATGTGAAGCAATATCAAATAGGGAAGTTGTTAATGCTAAACTGGATGAAAAAGAGAAATATAATACCATTGAACCTAAAGAGTGTTATCAGCAAACTACATTATTAATGGGTAAGTTAGGAAATATACCAATGATGTATAAAGAATATACGCAAAAATATGATAGTAGTGAAGTGTAAAAATAAATAAAAATTAACTTATTAATTCACCATATTATTTTTGTATTAATTCCGATTTCCTTTAACTCCTTCATAACATCTGGGAAATCATATTTAAGGTTAAACGTTCTATCATCTTTGATAACGTAAATGGCGTTAACCTTTCTGTATTCCTGAGCACCGCATAGACATCCTTCACCTAATTCTTCAGCGTCAATATCTACCCTATCAGCATGAGTTAATAATTTAATTAATTCAGAAAGTTTTTCGTCATCGACTAACAGTAATGAGTTTATGTATATAGGGTTATGTTTAAACATGTCGATAATAATTCCCAACGCCTTGCATCTATCCACTAACTCTTCATTTCTTACTGTCAGATACTTAATATTATCCTCCGTAGGAGTTATGTAAGCTTCGGGATGAAATCCCACTGAACCCGAAGGGTTTTCCGGTGGTGGATATACCGGGTCATGTTGTACTTCATTTTTTGGATTTTCACCTCTTTGAATTTGTGATGGAGAACGTACATTTACTGAAATGTTATTAACAGGGTTTACATTTACAACCTGTTTTGTGCAATCCAACTTTGCCGTTATTCCTAATCGCGTCATTTTATCAAAAATAAAAAATTAAAAATTAAGACGTTAAAGTTTTAAGCACTTAACCTATCAAGCGATGCTTTAATTCTTGCAGTAATATCAGCTTTAAATTTAGCTCTGTTTTCATCACTTACGTACTGCTTTGCTAACTTCTTCGCTGCTTGCTTATATTTCTTCTTCGCTGCTAACCATTTATTAAACATATCTGCATGTTCTGGATTTTCAGCTTTAAATTCAAACTCTGGTTTGGTTCTCCTCTTCGTTTCCACGAATAATTCAATGTATTTAGGCATTAATCCTTTAGTTCTTAATAAATCATGAATAGGAGTTGTTATGACAGTATCATAAACCAAAGAGCATAGGACGGATGCGAAACCAGGACCTTTTCCAGATGCTTTCATAATCTTCTTTCTAATTTCTTTTGCCATTTCTTCATCGCCTTTAGCATAATTATTTAATATAATATCACCGATGATACCATGAACGATAGTAGATATTGCCTGATATGGTGTAATATCTTTAGGTACAGGATAGGTATAACCTCCATGCTGTTTAATCCATCGTGTTCTACTATCACTTTCCGGATCTAATTTATAACTTTCAACAGTCATATGGTCAGGTTTGTACTTCGGTCCATATTTATCATGAATGAAATCACCGAATGATTTTTCTTTCCTCTTTTCTTCTGTTGGGTATGCTTCATAATAATCATACCTCCATGGAAAATCGGACTTTGAAGTTGTATAACCATTAACCGCCACAACAGGACCGTCGCTTCCTCCTCTTCTTACGACATATTCAATGGGCATTCCATCGTGGTCATAATCTTCCAACTGACCCCAATATCTTTGAACTCCTCCATGTCTTTCCATATCTTTTGCATTCCATATATTAAATGATGCATTACTAATCCAATCCTGCTTTCTTTTAATATCTCTTGCCGTTTTTGATGAAACTATATTAAATAACTCATCGGCTCCTTTGCGTCCTCTCGCTTTTCTCTCTTTAACCTCCCTTGGTGGTATTGCATCCGCATATTTAGCCTGATGGTCTTTAGTAAAAGCAAAAGTGTAATCGTCATCCCATTTTACCTCTGGTGCATTTTCGCCGTTTGGTGCTGGTAATGCTGGTGTACTCATATTTAATTAATGTAAAAAATAAAAATTATTAAATTATATTCTGCATTTTCTACACGGACATCCTTTTCTATGAGGTTTATCAATAAGTTCACCATTAGCGTTAACATAAACGTCTGTATCAGTTGAAGTCGGATAACCGAAAATATCAACTAAGAAATAACCATAATTTCTATTATTAGTAACGTTTGCGACACTTTCAAAGTTAGGTTTTTCAAAGCATATATTTTCACTCCTTCCGTCACGATATACTACATAAATTAGCCCTGGTTTGTTTGTCTGCACAACTGCAGCACCATAAATTATAAAAGTTCCGAGATAAATTCCCTTTCTTAAATTAGACCTGAATCTTAAATAACCTGGTCGAAAACCGTTTGAATTATTAATATCTGCAGTAGTTAAACCAAAATGTGATAAAATTGATGTGTTAATGTTAGGGTCGTCAGGCTGTATTTTATTTTCTCTTTCAGCCTTCTTATCCGCTGCCTTTTGTATTCTATCCATGAAACCTTTTATCAAATCTTTCTTATCCTCCCAATTTCTTTTATCCTGTTCGAAACGTTCCCTTGTCACTGCCATTTCACGTTCGTGATTATATCTATCCTGTTCCATCTGACGTTTCCTATTCATTACTTCTAAATTATAGCTTGAATCTAACTGCTTCATTTTATATTTATGTTCGTTTAATTTGTTATAATCAGGAACTGAATAATTTTCCTCGCTAGCGAATGTAGAACCGTCCGCATTTCTTCCGGCAGCACGTTTATACTGTGTTTTAGGTTGTGGTGGCGGCATATCCCAAAAAGGCTCGCTCCTTTGGAGCTCAAAACCAGAATGGTTTTCGGCTTGCCTTGCTGGTGGTGCAACGTAATTAACAATATCTGAACGGGCTGTGGTATTTGATGCTGTTGATGAATGTTCTGTGGTTCTTGACGCTGTAGTACTTGATGACGAACGGTCCGAAGGACCTGAGACACTATGTGTCGAATCGCTCTGTATATATTCACCTGTTATAGGATTTCTCACACGTCTCCTCATTTACTATCTTTTAAAATTTTTATAATTTATTTTAAATATCAGTGAAAACATAGAAAGCTATCAGTGAAAACATGAAGGTGAGAAATCGGGTGAGATCTCACCTAAGCCACAAAGTGGCTCATGACCCCGTAGGGGTCTTTTAAAAAATTTATGTTTTCGTTAACGAAAACCTTAAGGTCATTGACCGACTGACCCAAAATTAACCTTAAGCCGTTTGTCCCAAAAAACTAACCTTAATTTATTTTTAATTTATTTTTTTATTTTATATATGTGTATGTGAAAAGTAAATGTTAAAATTTATGGTTTCACTACTTAATAAATTGCACTGGCTGCGTCATTTCTGTGAAAAATTCATGTAAGGAATTCGTGAATTTTCAGAAGTGGCTTATTAGTTATTTTTCGTTTCTGGGCGCAGCCAGGGCAATTTATATATGTAGTAAACAACACCTCGAACTCGTCAAAATTTTAAAAAATGAATATTTATCAAAATAAATGCAGGATTTGTTGATTACATCATTAATACTCCATTCCTTTAGTAAATACATGTGCATTAGCCTTTTCCTTGCAAAAGATCGAAATAGATTTTTCAATTTATTCGGATTAAAAAATATTTTTCGTTTATCCATATCTATGTAAATACATCAAACATCATAACACTTTGAAATACTATTGTTTTAGTTATCAATTTCTTATCCTTATCATTTCTACAATTGGGATTATTCACTTCATAATATAAAAGTTCTAAAAATGTAGGGCTGTACAAAATCGAGAAAAACATTGCCGTGCGGTAATATAGGGTCAAAAAAATCGCGCCTCGGGGGCTCCGCCGCCTCGGCACTATTAAGTGCGCATTATATTTAATATGTCCTTCTTTTTTTTTCTTTTTTCTTCTTCTTCTTTTCCTTTCCTTCTTCCTCTCCTTCCTCTTCTTTCCTTCTCCTTCTCTTTTTACAACAACGTCGAAGATCTTCGAATTTGATTGTTGGAAAAGCATCTATTTCAGATAAAGGATGCCTTTCTCACAGTCAACATACGAGGGTCCTGGCTGAAACGTTCTCAAAAAGCCTGAGATGGTAATTCTCTGATCACTCATAGCTGGGCAGGTAGTCATTGCTGACAATACCTGTCTTTATGCATGCACGCTTTCATGTATATGGGTTTACACTATCAATTCGCAAAGTTGTTCCGAATTCTTCCAAAATGGAAGGACCCGAAACAACTTTGCTTGTTAACGATACAGACGCATTACTTTGCATTGATACTGTGCTGAGTTGTGTAGAAAGTTTGATTAGAGTTGTTTTGTTCTGGTATCTCTCATCTTCTGATGAGAGAAATCAAAGCAACACAACTCTAATGAGTTTGTTTTCACTCATTTGTATGTAGGTTTTTAGTTCGATTGGAGCTGCTTCATAATGAGATCTCTCATCAATTGATGAGGGAGATCATAACAAAGCAGCTCTAATGTATATGCTCGTATTAACCGGGTTGTAATGCGTTGTAACGTCAGCTTGTAGTTCGTTTGGGGCCACTTCACATTGAGATGAGAAGAAATGATTAAAGGACTCTGAAAGGCTTTGGCCGTTGATGTTGTAATCGCATTACTTGGAACTAGCTGGATGCTAAGCTGTGTAGAATGTTCGATTAGAGCTGTTTTGATATGATTTTTCTCATCATAAGATTGGAGGAATCATAAAAACAACTCTAATGGGTTTACCATCATCTACTTGTATGTAGATGTTTGGGAAATTGTCTTGTTAATCGATTTTCGAGATGACTTTCAAATGCTATAATCAAATGACAAACAAGTCTAAGATTTCTCGACAATACATCAAATCATGATGTTTGTAAGTGCGATGAGATTAGAGTTTTTGAAGGAATGACAAGAGAAGTAGGGAAGCTCGGCATTCGCCGAGCAAATTAAAAATTAACGTATGGATTAAATTTTAAGAGGAATTCAATTTTAATTACGGGTTGTTCAAATATTGATTAATATAAATTTATTAATAAGAATAAACAATTTTTGTTTTTGAATTTATTCAATTTATAGCTTTACATATAGTTTCAAAATTGTACAACTATGATTATTTCAACAAAAAATATCTTACTTTTTCACTTCACTTTCACCCTCACTTTTTCCGTAATTCAAATTTCAACATTATGTATTTTAATTCCTTATAGTATTTTTAACATAATTAATCAAATAATAATTGGAAGTTCTGAACTCACTTTTTCCGTAATTCAAAATCAAAAATATGAATAATATATCTATTTATTATATACTAATGCTATTTTCAACTAGAAGTGAGGTATGGTAATCTTACGGATTCCCGTAACTCAATTTTACGGAAAAAGTGCAGTAAACTACTCAATTTACGGAAAAAGTGTCGTAAACTATTGATGTGGCGGTAAAATCACGGTAATTCACGGAAAGCTATATGCGAAAATTTGAAATTATACAAAATCGAGCGAAACACTTTTAAATAGGTTGTTCTCGTATTTCAAATACTATTCCCAGATTTATTGTCGTCAGAATATTTCCAAATTTTTGCCGATTTACAAAAAATGATTTACAAAGCATATTTTTTAATCTAAAAAATTCCTAAAAAAAAGGAACCGGTGTGCGGAAACCTCGGTAAATTACCGCGGTTCCCGTTGGGACTGCCATATAAAAATATCAAAAAGTATTCATTTTAGGAATAAAAGACTTAATTTAAATTTAATATAATTATTTTTATATCTATACAAACAAATTGTGAGAACATTCGGGTGGCCCCATAAGTAATAACATATCAGTATTTTGATATGATACCTCATATATAAGGTATGATTAGAAAGTTGAAATCAGCTTTTTCAATTTTTCATCAGTGAAAATGTTTGATACCTCATACCTATTAAAATAGCCTAATTTCAGTCCCATCCCTCTTGTATTCGTTGAGATAAGGAGAATTGAAATTATGCAATTTCGACGCCGTTACCCTCTCCATTTGCCACAAAAATGTAAGGGATATATAACACTTTTGTATAAATTAATATTTTATTGTTATTTTTTAAAAAATAATACTTTAATCATGCTAAAATTGAATTTTTTGATGCAAAAATAACCTTAAACGGTAATTCCTGGAAATAGAGGGTATTATATAAATTCAAAATAGAAGGATGGCTATCATATTTAGCAATAGCTAATATTAAATGTATTAAAACAAGTATTAAAACTACAACTAAGACATTTATTATTAATGAAAATAAAAAAACAACTTAAATTAATCATAACTAGTGATAATATTCGCTGTTATTCCGTATCTATGATCTTTTGTATCTACTTCTTTGATTTCAAAAGTAAATATGAGTTTCTTTCCATTTGAATCGAAAATATTTGTATAAATTAAGCCTCTTTCGACGGGTTGTGCGGAAGACTTCGCAGAAGACTTTTTAAGTGGTAATAAATTTTCATATTTCTTTAATATATTGTCTACTCCTTGAATATCTTCGTCAAAAATCTTTGCTACAGCATTTGGTGCAAAGAAAGGATGTATTGATTCAGCCTTTGTCGACAATTCAAGAAAATGTTTCTCAAAACTGTCTGCAACTTGTGAGTAATAAACACTCATATTATTACGCCACTTTTTGTCTTCAAAGTCACTTTTACCAATTTTTTTTAATTGTGGAAATTTTAAAAATTATAAGGAATGTGAATATGGGTAAATCAATTATCCGTTTTTAAAAAATTTGTCTTCATTTTTATTTTTTAAATTCTAAAATAATGCAACAAAAAGATAAGATTCAATTTCAAGATCTCATTAACAAGATTCCTATCCTAGAGGAATATCTGCAATTGAAGGATGGAGCAATTTTAGATGATTTCTTTTCTATTTTGTGCACATCTTTAGAAGATGAAGATTTGAAGCAGACAATATACGAATTTATAAAAAATCTGCGAAGTGTTGATATTAATTATATTTCTTTTACGAGTTTATCTTTTATTTTTCAAACAATCCTCAATCTAGTTAAAAAATACCCAGATATCATCATAGAATCAGGAGTCAAAGATGTGTTCAAGATGTTTACCAACCAAAGAATAATTAATCCAAATGATTTTTTATCAAGGTTTTATAACACACTTCTAAACCAAGAAAAATTACCTCTAGTCGATATACATGAATTGTTATTAAATCCTATTACAAAACCAAGTGATTCTGAAGATAAAGAAATTCGTGACAAATTTAACAAACTACTAGATTTTTTGCTAACCACTATTCAAAATGAAATGACTGGTAGAGAGTATGATGCCGAGAAAGCATATCCAAATTTGAATGTCAAAATTTCAATCAATGAATCAAAAGAAATTTTATCGAAATTTCCCTATAATTCTGATCTATCATCAGTTGTTTTCAAGTATTTAACCACAAAGAAATTAATAAATCATTCAATTTTACAAGATACTTGGGAAAAGCACTGTAAAGACATTGTTGATTATCCTAAATCAGAAACTGGAGTTGCTATTCCAAGAATTACTAATATTTTGCATGAAACAGGTGTTATACCGAAATTTTTTATTTATCTCAACGAGAAAAAGGTTCCATTTACCCAATATGATACTTTATTAGAAGCAGTATTTGCATTGAATGAAGATTGCAATGATATTCATTTAAAACTTAAACCTGCAAAAGATAACGAAAAATACATCAGAACTGAGCCCATTGGAGTGTCTGATCCATTTCTTGCTGCAGTTCACTTCAAAATCCGTGAATACTACTACAAAACCAAAAAATATTTGATAAATGAAAAACTTGATACGTTTGCAAGAGATAAAATCGAAAAAAATGTTAAATCAACGATTTGTTCTTTACATCCTATATCTCGGTTGATTTATCAATATCCATTTTTATTTTCATACGATACAAGATACAGTTTCCTCAATATCAAGTACATAAGTGTTGATCACGCGCTATCTGAGAAGGGTTCCGAATACAAAGCTTCTATTATTGTCCGAAAAGATAAGATTTTTGAAGACGGATTGAAAATTCTGAAGCATTGTGGTCCAGGAACTTTGAATTGGGACTGTAAATTCTATGGCGAAGCCGGTATCGGAAGTGGTCCTTCGAGAGAATTCATTTTTTCACTAACAAATGAATTTCTACAGAGAGATCAGACATTTAGAAAATATGAGATGGGATATATGCCTATCCATGGTGCAAAAAACATGAAAGAATTTGGTATTTTAATTGCAAAGACAATAATTATGCAAGCTACAATAAATGATGCATTTTGTGATGCATTCTTCAAGTTACTTTGTGGAGAAAGATTCGATTGGACTGAAATTGATAAAAGTTATGCAAATATGTTCAATAATCCCGAGAAATTGATTGGATGTGATCTTGCTACCTTTAACCTTGGTGATGGAGATATTACTGAAGAAAATTGTCAATATGTTTTAGAACAATTCAAGGTTGAAAATTATTTCAAATATGTTCTTGAAGATTTTATCCAAGGCTTTGGTACTGTTATGGCTCCAAGTGCATTAAAATTGTTTTCATCTGAAGAATTAAAGCAAATCATTTGTGGAAACAACAAATACAATTATACAATTGAAGATCTAAGAGAGAGCATTGATTGTTCGCAAGGTGTAACGCCTAATATTCAAAAATGGCTATTTGAGATATTAGCGGAATTTGATCAAGAAACTTTCCAAAATTTCCTAAAATTTGTTACCGGATCTCAAAAATTCCCTCAAAACGACTTGAAGAAACTCAATCCTAAGATTAGCTTAGATAAAGGAGACCAAAATCTTGAAGCTTTCCCAACTGCAAAGACTTGCATGAGAAGAATCAAGATCCCTGACTATCCAACTAAAGAAATCTTGCGTGAAAAGCTACTGTATGCTATTTCTAACATCGACAATATGCAGTTTGGTTATGATTAATCTAAATTCTTTCTTATTTGTTTTTATTGTCAATAAAATATGTTATACGTTGAATGTTTTTATATCATTTTTGTATTTTGTGATATGTCCCTCTTGTCTATGCTTGAATACATAAGAAATTAGGTAGATTTTTTCAATATTTTATTTAAATTCAAGGAATTCAAAGTAACTCTGTCATATTTTTAAGAAATTAGTCCAATAAACAGTAAAATCAACTTCGAAAAATTCCAAATTTTTTTCATTTTTGGAAAAACGAAATTCATTTTCTAGCAAAAAATCATTAAAATAGTAAATTCAAGAAAAATTTGGAAAATTTCAGATCTCTAATTTAGTTTTATATTAGGTGAATAATCTAACTATATTAGAAAATTTTAGGGCTGTACAAAATCGAGAAAAACATTGCCGTGCGGTAATATAGGGTCAAAAAAATCGCGCCTCGGGGGCTCCGCCGCCTCGGCACTATTAAGTGCGCATTATATTTAATATGTCCTTCTTTTTTTTCTTTTTTCTTCTTCTTCTTTTCCTTTCCTTCTTCCTCTCCTTCCTCTTCTTTCCTTCTCCTTCTCTTTTACAACAACGTCGAAGATCTTCGAATTTGATTGTTGGAAAAGCATCTATTTCAGATAAAGGATGCCTTTCTCACAGTCAACATACGAGGGTCCTGGCTGAAACGTTCTCAAAAAGCCTGAGATGGTAATTCTCTGATCACTCATAGCTGGGCAGGTAGTCATTGCTGACAATACCTGTCTTTATGCATGCACGCTTTCATGTATATGGGTTTACACTATCAATTCGCAAAGTTGTTCCGAATTCTTCCAAAATGGAAGGACCCGAAACAACTTTGCTTGTTAACGATACAGACGCATTACTTTGCATTGATACTGTGCTGAGTTGTGTAGAAAGTTTGATTAGAGTTGTTTTGTTCTGGTATCTCTCATCTTCTGATGAGAGAAATCAAAGCAACACAACTCTAATGAGTTTGTTTTCACTCATTTGTATGTAGGTTTTTAGTTCGATTGGAGCTGCTTCATAATGAGATCTCTCATCAATTGATGAGGGAGATCATAACAAAGCAGCTCTAATGTATATGCTCGTATTAACCGGGTTGTAATGCGTTGTAACGTCAGCTTGTAGTTCGTTTGGGGCCACTTCACATTGAGATGAGAAGAAATGACTAAAGGACTCTGAAAGGCTTTGGCCGTTGATGTTGTAATCGCATTACTTGGAACTAGCTGGATGCTAAGCTGTGTAGAATGTTCGATTAGAGCTGTTTTGATATGATTTTTCTCATCATAAGATTGGAGGAATCATAGAAAAACAACTCTAATGGGTTTACCATCATCTACTTGTATGTAGATGTTTGGGAAATTGTCTTGTTAATCGATTTTCGAGATGACTTTCAAATGCTATAATCAAATGACAAACAAGTCTAAGATTTCTCGACAATACATCAAATCATGATGTTTGTAAGTGCGATGAGATTAGAGTTTTTGAAGGAATGACAAGAGAAGTAGGGAAGCTCGGCATTCGCCGAGCAAATTAAAAATTAACGTATGGATTAAATTTTAAGAGGAATTCAATTTTAATTACGGGTTGTTCAAATATTGATTAATATAAATTTATTAATAAGAATAAACAATTTTTGTTTTTGAATTTATTCAATTTATAGCTTTACATATAGTTTCAAAATTGTACAACTATGATTATTTCAACAAAAAATATCTTACTTTTTCACTTCACTTTCACCCTCACTTTTTCCGTAATTCAAATTTCAACATTATGTATTTTAATTCCTTATAGTATTTTTAACATAATTAATCAAATAATAATTGGAAGTTCTGAACTCACTTTTTCCGTAATTCAAAATCAAAAATATGAATAATATATCTATTTATTATATACTAATGCTATTTTCAACTAGAAGTGAGGTACGGTAATCTTACGGATTCCCGTAACTCAATTTTACGGAAAAAGTGCAGTAAACTACTCAATTTACGGGAAAAGTGTCGTAAACTATTGATGTGGCGGTAAAATCACGGTAATTCACGGAAAGCTATATGCGAAAATTTGAAATTATACAAAATCGAGCGAAACACTTTTAAATAGGTTGTTCTCGTATTTCAAATACTATTCCCAGATTTATTGTCGTCAGAATATTTCCAAATTTTTGCCGATTTACAAAAAATGATTTACAAAGCATATTTTTTAATCTAAAAAATTCCTAAAAAAAAGGAACCGGTGTGCGGAAACCTCGGTAAATTACCGCGGTTCCCGTTGGGACTGCCATAGAAAATTTCGATTTTAATCATAAATTATTTTTATAAATTATTTTTGAAGAGTTAACTCAGTTTATATAAAGAATAGTAATTTTTGAATGATAAACAACATATTTTACTCAACAACATTATCTTCATGGATATTAGGATTTGGTTTTAGAAGATCGTTTGCCTTTTTATTGTATTGAAAGCCCATAAATGCAATATTTGCAAGATCTTCGAACTCCTTTTCGCTCTCCGAAGAGGTATTTGAGTCTTGTTCTTCAGGGAGTGGTTCAAAATTGTCAAAATGAGAAGTATCCAAATCTCCTGATATCTCAGGGATACAAGGGGATTCGGACTTGTTTAAGTTATCCCAGTCAAGACCTAAAAAGAAAGGATGCTGCTTGATTTCTTCGAATGTCAAGCGATGATCGGCATCTGTAAGTAAACCACGCATAAGAGAGATTGCTTCTGTCGAAACGTAAGGAGTTGGTGGGAAAATAAGAGATTGTTCAAAATGAATGATTTTTGAAGCTGTAAGTTGCGGATTCTGCGACAAAAATGGGGCATAACCAAATAACATTTCAAACATGATCGCACCAACTGACCAATAGTCAACGCTCGGTCCATAAGATTTTTTCATCAAAACCTCTGGAGCGATGTAGTCAGTAGTACCAACAGCTGAGCAAACAAGCTTGTTGTACTTCTGGTGGTAAGGCATATCGACGGTATTTCCTGAGAAGTCGTTAAATGCATCTGTAATTTTGTCAATAAGACTAACAATGGGGTCACTATATCGGTTTATCTTCGTACTAAGACCGAAATCAGTAAGCCTGACATGACCTTCTTTGGTCAACAATAAATTGTCAGGTTTGATATCACGATGAATAAATCCTTGCATGTGAACGCAGTGGATTGCAAGGACTGCTTCAGCAATTAAAAAGCGCGTTTCTGTCTCTGTTAATACGCTTCTGCGAACTAATAAATTCATTAAATCTCCGCCTGGAAGAAATTCCATGACTAAATATAAGTTCTTAGGGTCTTGGAATGAGAAATATAATTGTACAGACCACGGATTATCGTTTTGAACTAAAAAGTCCTTTTCTACAATTGTATTTAAAATCTGATTTTTTTTGATCAATTCCTTCTTCTTGAGGACTTTCATGGCATAAATATGTTGATCAACTTTATCTCTCACAAGCCAAACTTCACCGAAAGCACCTCTTCCGATGATTTGGATCTTCTCAAATTGATCTACTTTAAAAGTCCTTCTGGTTAATCTTTTAACGGATTTCTGCTGTTCTCGTAACTTGTATTCCGCAAGTTGGCAGGAACTTAAGGATCTAATTCTTTGGGTTCTGAGGCGGATTTGTTTATCCCTTGAAAAGAAATTTTTAAACTCTCTTTCCAGGTAATACTTAGCCATATTGGCTTTAGCTTGAGTTATTTGGGATGGGCCAGCTGGAACATTTTTTGGTGGGGTATTAGAAATCGTAACTGGTTGGGGTAATTCTGCAGTATAAGTCTCATCAAGAGAAACTTTTTCATACTCCGAGAAATTATCTATAGGCAGTGACGACATTATATTTGAATCACACCTATTGGGAGGAGAAAAAACTTCAAATAATTAAGACGATGATTTCAAAAATTGAAAAGCATCCCTACTCAATGTGATGTATGGAGCATATATATCTCTTTAAGAAAATTAAAAATGAAATAATTTTCATAAAGGATTTGATTGGTTCTCTCAATTCAATTCAAATTTAATTGCTATTCAAAAATTGAATCATTCAGAATCAAAAATTTAATATATCATTGCATGATGCAGATATAATTATATTTAATAATTTTTTGTGGAGACTTGAACTGATCTGACCAAATTTGAAAAGTGGACGTTTTTTAAAAAATTAATAAGAATTTATAATTTTATGATATCAAATATGAATTTTTATACCTAATTTTCATGGTTCATTCAAAAGTTGAACAAGAGATTTTATAATAATAATTTTAATTAACATATAATAATATAATATTTTATAATGTTATCATTTTTTGACTCAATTTTTTTTTCAAAATTCTTCCAAAACAAATTTTAAAAATATTGTAAATTTATGCATTTGTACCTTTTCGATATATCTTTTCCAAAATTTATGCAAACATTTGACCAGCTATTTTACGGAAATCTTTCAAGAACGTTTTTGTCGATCAAAAGCTTATCAACAAATGTACTGCCATACTCTTCGGGAATAACATTCTTTGATTTAATATAAAGGCGTTTTTGAGGTATTTCCTTATTTTCCTTAATTTTCTTCTAAGATCGTATTCTCCTTCCAACTTCATATTCATCCACACTTTAGTTTTCATTCAAAGCTTTATTGCGGTAACAAAATCGTTACGAGACAATAATTTGAATGATGTAATTGAATCGTTCATTAAATGATAATAGTTTTCCTCACAGAACATGATTAGACTTACTGTGATCATATTTCGTACTGACATTTTAGTATATTTTTATGATTCTACAAAATTTTATAAGATTTTATCTAATTTTTACTCTCTGGGATTGAACTCATTCAGTATCATAGTAAAAAATCATAATAGATATGAAACTCTACGCGGATTTATGAATGCTCACGAAGATAATTTAGATATTTCTGTATAAATTGACCTTGTCTCATTTATTCTTTAATCTCACAGCCAGAAAAACATTAGGAATTCTAAAATAGTTAATTGAGCAGTCATAATTAATACCCAATTATCTCTCAAACAGCTCGAAAATCATGTCTGACAAATTTCTCATCATTTTTGCCAAGAATTAATTTTACAAACTGACAGATTTATTTAAAAATGCTCCCAGATGATACTAAACTACCTGATCATATCGAAAAACTATTAGCAAACAACAAATATCTTCAAGCTTTACGCGCCTGCCAAGCCGAAAAACTCGATACATCAAGAGTTACGAAACTTGCTCAAGAATGCGCTACAAACGCCCTTTCATTCTTCAACAAACGTGAATATGAACAATCTATCCACTTATATATCGAGACAATTGGCTTTGTTGACCCATCAATCGTTTTATGGCATTTTAATGTTCCTCATCTTTCAATTCACCTGACAAACTATCTGATTGAACTTCACAAAGAAGGTTTTGCAAATAAATCGCATACAGGACTTCTATTTTTGCTATTTAGAAACCACGATGCAAAGAATAAACTTGAAGAATTTATTAATCTTCTTCGCGAAGCAAAACAAAATTCTCAGAATGACGACGATAATCTTCTAATTAGGAATTTCGATGCCGGAGCTGCAATTGAATCTTTACTTGAAAATGAAATGGAAAAAGAAGCTTTAGAAATTGCTTGGATCATTGATTCACCACAGCATATTGTTTATTTACTGATTACATACCAAAAAGACTATGTTGCTGCTGCAAAACATCTACAAAAATCATCCAATTCTGATATTGGCCGAAAAATGTTGATGGACTTCGGCCCGACTCTATTAAAGAACGATGAGAAAACCCACGAGATTATTATACAAGTTGCCAAAGATATTTGGACTTCTTCGAGAAAAGGAAAAGATGAGGACTATCTAAAGCTTTTCCAATCCCAGCCTGAGTGCTGCTTTAAATTCCTCAAGTCAATAGTCGGATATCCACTTCCTTCTGTTTTCGGAACAACTTTAATCGCAATGGTCATTCCAAAGAAAGGAGAAATCAAATCCGAGTTCTTCGGGCTTCCTAAAATAGCCACAGAACAACTTGCCGTCGAATATATCAAGAACGAACGAATAAAATACGATCCAGATTTCTTATTAAGAATCTGTGCAGAATCGAAGTTCACAAAGGGCATGATATTGATTCTCGAACTCCAAGGACGTCTCCACGATATCACAACTCTTTTAATTGCTAATAGAGAAAGTCAATATCTGAAAGAATGGTGTTTACACTGCCAAAAGATACCTGATGAGGATTGGGTTGAAATATTCGAATATTTCTCGCAACCAGAAGGCTGGAACGCTTTGATTCAGAACCAGGAAGGTTTGGATTTCATGAGAAAGGTTATAGAAAACGCCTCAAGGACCATGCCATTGGCTTCTCTTGTAAAGAACCTTTCAAACATCCAAACACCGCTAAGTTTGGTCAGAGATGAGCTAATTGCGGAATATACGAAGATTCAAAAGGAAATTGAGAAGCAAAAAGCATATAACAAAGATTTAAGACAAGAACTGAATGATATCGACCAGGAAATCTTGAAACTCGAAGAAAAAGATATTCAGTTCGATATGCACGATGGCTGTTCGATTTGCAAGCAAAGACTTGATAAGAACTTCATCGCATTTATGTGCAACCACATTGTTCATGATAAATGTGCAAAAGAACACAATGGAGAGTATTATTGCCCAATTTGCGGATACTGTGATTCTCCTGAGTATCCACAGCAACCGGAAAATGCTAAATCATTTACTATTGATACCAGCAAACATGATTTACTTGATCAAGCGATTGATTTGATCAAATCTGGATTTCTTGATCAAAAGCTTTAATTCATATATTGTTTGTTTCAACATAAAATATGTTTTATACTCATTTTTCTTTTTATTTTCTAATTTATAATATAGTTGATGATATTTTAAAGATATTGCATGACTTGACATGTAGATAGGAAAATCATGGTATTTTAAATTTAAACCTAGCTAGAATAGTTTTGAATCTGGATAGTTTACCTAGTGATTGGCGAATTTTTGTTTTACCGATTTGGATGTTTCAAAATAAATTTGAAAAGAATAATTGTTACTAAATGTATATCTTGTTTAATTTGTTATTTTCCATTTTTAATTTTGAGAAGTTTATTTGTTATCGTCCTTTGGCCTTTCGAATGAAGAGCGTTCAGGTTTTCGGTCGCAAGAAGACAGCTACAGCTGTTGCCTACTGCTGCGAGGGCAGTGGCCTTATCAAACTCAATGGCACACCAATCAACATGGTTTCCTCCGAAACACTCCGTGCCAAGATCCTCGAACCACTCCAGTTAATTGGCGAAGAGTCATGGGGCAACCTTGACATCCGCGTTCGTGTCCACGGTGGTGGCCATGTTGCACAGGTCTATGCTATCCGCCAGGCCGTTGCCAAAGCCATTGTTGCTTACTATCAGAAGTATGTTGATGAAGCCACAAAGACAGAAATCAAGAATACCCTTCTTGGCTACGATCGTACTCTTCTTGTTGCCGATCCACGTCGTATGGAACCAAAGAAGTTTGGTGGTCAAGGCGCTCGTGTCCGCAGACAGATGTCATACCGTTAAAAACTTATCAATACAAGTACTATGCAATTCATCTATTACTTTTTTTAAAAGTTTCTTAATATATATATTTTGATTTTTTTTTAAAATTATATGAATTTTATCATATTTTCAATTTAGTGACGGTCAAACTGATATATGTCAAAAAGCTTTAAGATTCTTTTTCACAATCAAACAAGAAGAATATGGATTAATTCTTTAGTTTATTTAATATTTATAAATTTTCTTACAAATGTGAAGCGCCGTTGGCCCAATTGGATAAGGCGACTGCCTACGGAGCAGTAGAGTCCAGGTTCAAGTCCTGGACGGCGCGATTTTTTTCTTTTTTTAAAATTTCATCGTTATGAGTGCTCTATCTTTCTGATTGCTTCCGAAATATATTTTTGAAGAATCACATAAAAGTTTTCACAAATCTTATGCAATTCTTTAAAAATACATTGGAGAGAAAATTTCTATGAAAATTAATTCTTGAATTCCGTCCAGTAAGAGTAATAATTTAAATTTCACGGATTTAGACCTTAAACCCATTTTTTCAAACTATTCTTCTCTACTGTAACTCACATTCAAGATCAGATGAACATAAAACATATAATGAAAATATAGAAACGACAAACACCCTCAAATTTTGAATAATGATCTGTAATTATAGCATATAAGACAAAGCTCAGTCAGATCAACCCACTTAACCATATGTCAACCACAAATTCAGAGTACAAAATATCGAAATTCTAAATATTCTTGAATTTATTAGGGATCAAGAAATGATGAAATAAATTATTTTTGGTTTCTCATCAAGATACCGAACTTTTCTTTTAACTTTTTCTATATCCCATGAATCATCATCTGCATTCATTTCTTTGTTTTCATAATTAGGTAAATCAGGAATATATATAATATTGCAATCTGTATTTAAAATCTTGTCTGTGAATATAACTTCTTTTGATAATGTTTGATAGTTATCTGTGAATGTATTATTAACAATGAATGAATTTCTTTGATTTTCAAAAGCATATTTAACTTCATTTCCAATAAGACAGCAGCCAAACAAATATGAATCTGCGGTTCCGAAATTCATGATTAATCTTGCTTTACCGGCAAAATCTTTATTTTCAATATAATTACATGATATTGCCGAAATCAATTTATTGCTATCTGAACGATGAAAATTTACTGCCCAATTACTTGATTGATTATTAGATCGAATTGTGGTGAATTGTATACGGGAATCAGAATTTGCAAAATCTACGCAATATCCTGTAATATCTACTTGAACTTTGTTTGATGTGATATTGCATAAATTAATTATTGTTTTACCATATTTCATAGTCATGAGAATACGACCATTAGAACTTGATGTTTCACAGTTAAAAATTGTCGATTCATTTAATTCATTTTTATAATTTTCGATTTCTGATACTGAAACGTAAAAAGAAGGACCCCGGTTTGTATTTTGTGATTTAATATACGAGTTTTGTTTCTGAACAAATTGACCTGAACTACCGAAATAAAGAGAACCTCCTTCAATATTGCCCGAGCTACACGATTCAAATGAAGTTGTTGTTACTAAACATTTAACTTCATTTTTATTTGTAGTAAAGCGAACTGCTCCATTGTTGCTTAGGTCACGAAATTTAGACGAAAATACGAAGTAGTTTAAATTGTCATTTTGGTTGATGAAATCGTGGTGTTCTGGATATGTTTTATCACATTTTGCATCGGAAAATATTTCTTGCCAACTTGTATCATAATGTAATCTTAACTTTTAAAATAGTGAAAGTGAGAAAGGGATTTAGCATTCAAAAATGTCACTTTTGGATAAAAAATGAGAATCAATTTATAAACTGTCGATCATTTGGGAATAGCATACAATTCCTTCAAAATAAATATTGCAGTTTACTAATTGTTTAGAAATTATGTTAAATTTCAATTTGTTTTTGCAATATACTACAATGATTGCCTTAAAATACATAAACAGTTTTCATTTAACGAATTACAGGATTGGATTTATCCAAAAAAAAAATTAACATTTAAAACAAACATTTACAAATAATCTAGTAAATAAAGGTAATTGAGTTAAAGAAAGATATGATGCATAAATACAGATTTGAAATAATTATTTTTGGTTTTACTTTGGTTTTGAACCAGGGGAAGCTCTTTTCGTTGTAGTTATTTTCTGTTGAGTTGATTTAGATGGTTTTGAAGCTGTTTTTGCATCAGATTGAGGATTTGCTTTATTTTGCAGTGCTTCTATACGTGATTTAATTGTTGATGTCTGTTTCTGGTAATGCTGGTCCATCTGAAGTAATAAATACCTTTGCTGCATCAGTTGTTCGGCCATGGAAGCCATTTTTCAAAAAATAAAGAAAAGTGACACTCACTAAAAATGAACAACGAAAATTCAGAGATTCTTCCAATACAAGATAAAAACTTCCACGTTAATTTAAGTGAATTATCGAAAATTAAATTCCCTGTACCATCTTTTAAGCCTCTAAATACGTTTTCTATTTCATCTATTCTTTATCATGGGGATACAGCATCAATATTTAAAGGACATTACGACAATCAAGTAGTAATTATCGAGACATGCACAAGAATCCCATTTCTTTTAGTTTGTAGAGAATATCAGTATTTAACGCAAGAACTTAACCAAATCGAAAATATTGTTAAGATTAAGGCTCTTACGAGAAATACATCACTTGGCGTTGTTTCAATTGCATACGAAGACATCGATTTCGTTCCTTGGTCAACACCAATCCCAGTTGACAATCTTATTCCATTATTTAGCATGCTTCTTTCAACTTTATCAAAAATACATCATAAGAAATTCTCTCATGGCTCAATTTGCAGATCTAGTATTTATATCAGCCCAGATTTCAAGAATTTGACCATTGGCTGCTTCCATGCGGCTGTGAAAATAGGAGATCTTACTGCCTTAGTTTATAACCATCCTTGCATGCCAAAATCAAAAAATACAACAGATCCACGTAAAAGCGATTTATATTCTGCTGCTTTGTGGTTCCTTTCTTACTTTGATGAAGATCCACATGTTGCTTTGGAAAAAGTCGACAGTCTTCCAATTCCTCCAGAAATAATTTCAATTATTCATAAACTTACATGCGAAGATGAATCAGAGCGTATCAGCGCTGATAAGGCATCAAAAGCCATACAAGCTTTTCTTAATCCATCAGAATAAAATATATTTTGTTATTTTATTTACAAATCTGCAACTTAAATGTTTTTGTTATCTAAAATTTAGTTTAGTCTGCCTCAATACTAGGCAAAAATCAAAGAAACAGTTTGACTTCATCAAATCAATTGAATCATCAATTAACATTTCCTATTTCCATGAATTCGATATACAATCATATAGTTATCTATTAGTTTTTAATAGATACAAGTCTGGAATAAAATCTGCATTTCAGAATCTCCAAAAACATTAATCTATTTTTGGAATAATAAACACTCAAAAGATTATTGCATATTGACAGCATCTTTTTGAGATCTTTTATTCAATAAAGTTCAGATCAATCTTCAAGATGTTCTTCATAAGAATTTTTGTGCCTCATGCAAGGTGAAGGTTTCTTCTATTTATTAACACATGTTTATTCAAGGGCTGTTTTTCCATCATAGTTCTTTTGCAGTAAGATCTATTAGAAATAATCTATCTTCAATTTGTTGATGTAAGATGAAAAGGAGTTCTATTACATTAACTATTTCTATTCACACCTATGTTCACTATTTATTATAGTTATATTTTTGATTTTTCTAAATATACGGATGAATAGTCATTGGAGATATAATAATAAAAGAGAGTCATCTCCATAAATCTAGAAACATAGGTCACCACATAAAGATAGATATTCAAGACATCATGAAGAAATTACTGAATAGGATTTTGTTCTTTAAACATTCAACCAATACATATTGACAGCATGGTTGCAGACATTTCTTCGAAAATAATGTTATTGGCTCTGAAGCCATTTCCGGTATATCTTTATAATTTACCTTTATTATTTATGGCATTGCGCACCGTATATTATTATTCATTTATTGAGATGATATTTTTGAATCACCCGTTGACATTTTACAAATATTGTTGGGGCATTTTCTTTGGAGAGGGTAAATTTGAATACCATTCAAAAGTAAAAATTCACAATTTGTTCGATTTGGACATATAATCTATTATTATATACAATGTAATTAAGAAAAAAAATAAAATGACCTGCATATATTAATTATTTAGATTGCAAGATTCAAAAAAGCTATTAAAATTAGAGACTAAATAAATAGCGAATTGATTCATATGGATTTATGTAATTGTGAACATTAAAAGAGTTTATTTATTGATCTAATAAAAAAAGATAAAATATTAATGAGAAAATTGAAAGAATAGAGTGTCCCATTCACTCGTGTTGGTCGCAATGTATCATTCTGGGAGACATTGCCTCTGCATGTCTCCCACAATGGCACAATCTTCCTTGGAGAAAGACCTGGAAGGGGGTTCTTTCTCAAGGTCAGGGCCCCCTTCTAGTCTTTCTGGTCCTGGAAGGAGCGCTTCTGACTGGTCTGTGCGCTGCTTCCAGGAAGATCAGGAGATTGCTCGAAGTTCGCGGCAAGTGCATTCCGACACCACAGATGCACTTGCCGCAACATATAATTGCGAGTGTCTGCTGCTTTGGTCAAAAGAAGCAGCAGACACTCGCAATGCGAACCGAATTGTCCCAGAAAGACCTGGAAGGGGGTCCTTTCTCAAGGTCAGGACCCCCTTCTAGTCTTTCTGGTCCTGGAAGGAGCGCTTCTGACTAGTCTGTGCGCTGCTTCCAGGAAGAACATGAGATTGCGCCAATAAGCTCCTATCAACAAATTTTGACTAAAAATATAAAGTATCCTTTTGTGATTTAACGAATAGCTCAATTTTAAAATAGATTTGATTCTAATAATAAATTGAATGAGTTTCGCTTACGTTTAGAATTTAATGATTTATATGATTTTTTCGTTCACAGAAGAGTCATTGATATCCAATATCAAAAAAACAGCAAAGACACACCATAATAAATGATATTGAAGCTAAATATTACATATTTCAACATATCTAAAAAATTATTATAAGATTAGATCTCATGCAATGCCGAGCAGTTTCCTAAAGCATAATTACTTATTTATACAGAATCAATTATATAATATTCACATTGCAAATTATATACATTCTCACGAAGCAACATGAAATAGACTGTCCGAATTTGAATTCAAATAGAGATCTACTTCAAAAGGATTTCTTACAATATGTAATCTCGATGTTGATCACTGGAATACAAGGGATGCACGTAATTTACAAATTGTTGCAAAAATAGTAGTGCAACAAAAATTTTATTTTTAGCTTGTCACTTGATATATAACAATTGCAAAAACTCAATCAAAAATAGGATTTGAACAACTTTTTAAAATTGTGAGAAAAATTATATCGGCACATTCTATTCAATTTTAAAGTATTTCTTTCATATTCCAATCGATTATTCAATATTTGCCAATCACAAATTTTAGTTCAAAATTCAAAAAATCCCTAATTTTAATTTCAGATGAAATCTCGCAAAAATAACATTGTTTTAACCATATAAATATATATTTTATATATTGTATAGTGATTTTTTTTAATATTTTTATGAGTAAAATCGAGAGTGAGGAAATGTGGACTACAAAAAACGATAGAAATGAATAGTTTACATGGGAATTCAATACTTACAAGTATTCAATGTCACTTTTGTGCTCGAGATTTTGACTCTAGTATATTTACAAAAAAAAAACGTTTGCAATTCAAAAATAGTATTATAGCAATTAAGGATGTCAATTCGGAAAATTGTTTTCATTTTAGGAGAATATAATTTTCCTTTTCGAAAATTTAAAAAGTGAGACGCGCAGGATTCGAACTTTTTTAAAAGTTGATTTAAATATATTCTAGTGTGGATTCTAAGGATAATATCATATTTAAAATAAGAATATACTAGTTTAGGTGGTATAATTTTTTTCGATAAATTTGAGAGCATGTACGTTTAGGGCATCAAAAGTGTCAATTCGCTCAGCGAAAGCTGAGCTAGCTTCGTTCTCGAAAGAATAGGGAAGGAGTGAAAGAGAGTGATACCGATGTTGACACATTCATATCATTTCAACAAATTTTGATCAAATTGAAATGCAATGAAATTCAATTCACTTCATATCCTTCAGTCAGTACATTGACATCCTTCTACATCACAATGATAACTCGTGCATCAATAGTTCTACAACTAACTCAGAAAAAACAAGTTTTTTCCTTCCAGCTTACAGCTTTTAAAAAGTTTCGATGATAAAAATCACTCTACTCTCGTTTATCGACATATGGTGATAGTAGGTAAACATATTCTTATCGATATTAATAAAAATATTTGTACGAAAATCTGAACCAATTACAGAGTTATTCATAAAGTTTATGATAACTGTAATTACTTCATCTTTGTTTTATATTTGAATAAACAATTTAATTTGCATAATTTTTTTTAGTTGAAAGACAGGAAACTTAGTTGAGTTTGTATTATTTTTATCGTTCAATTCATTGTATATGTGAGTGATCCAGATATTTAAGATATTTAGAAAAAATTTATTAATTTGATTAACAAATTTTAATCAAAATAGCAAAAATCTATTTGATAGCTGTAAGCAAATAATAATTTCTATTTCAACCAAAATCACTTATTTTCATCTAAACGTATAAAATTGTCAATTTTATGAGAATAAATTTAAAATCTCATGAAATATAAAGGAGAGTAATATTTTTCAATTTTCTTTTTTCTTTCTCTCAAATATTTTCTATTGGGAATTTTCTTGTTATCAAAAAATAATTTTAATATTTGTTTATTTCATTACATACAATAAAATTTTAAAAACTCTATTTCTTCACAAGAAAATTTTTTTCCTTCATATGAAGAAACATTTTGTTCTCCATTTGATGCTGAGTCTAAATCTCGATTTTTGAATTTTCTTCTTTCCAAATTTCTTTTTTCCAAATTAGAAGTTTAATTCAAATTTTCAATAGTTTATATATTTTCTCAAACCGTCTTAGATTTTCTCACTTTTTAGGGATTTTCTCTCAAAATATACAAAAATAGTAATACCAATACGTGTGTCTAATATACTTTAAAACCATCGTGATAAAATTCAAAAACGAAGAGTTCTTCTCTCCAAATTTTTTTCAAAATCAAAAAAATCAGATAAAAAAATACATTTGGAAAATTCATTTTTAGCATTTTAGGAATTTTCTCACTTTTCTTCCAAATTGACATCCTTATAGCAATATATCAATTCCTGATATATACCATTTATGGTTGAATAAAACTCTCAAATAAATTCTAAGCTTTATATTTTATATTCATATCAAATTTTAAAGAAAAAATGAGTGTTTTGAATTCATTACTAAGTAATATCATAGTGCATAGAGTTCCTTATATTCTTCATAATGGGTGGAAGGATTTTTATGGTACTTCCAGTGATTACGTAGCTTACAAAAAATTTCAAGAAGAATTATTATTTCTGCAATCACATCACACAATGTCTTTTTATCGACCTTAATGAGGTTGGTGCTATTAGTATTACAGACACAGCAAATGATAACAATAAATTCCTCATTGAAAAAAGTTTTTTTAATAAATGCTCCAGTAACCAAAAGGGTGGTTCTTTGTATATAAGTTCTACTAATGGGGAATGCATCCAAAACCAAATTTGTAGCGTTGGTTCAATAACTTACTATCCTGGGGCATATTGTTATGTAGAAATTTCAGCATCATCTTTTCAGAGGAATTATATACTCGATTCCACAATTACATCAAGTGGTGAATATCACTATGGAAATGATAATCTTCATTTGGAAAAAGGAGAAACAAATATGAGATCAATCAATATCTCACATTCAAATCTCCATTACAGAAATGTTTATTATTTAAAAAGTTCTTTTAATTCAAATATTAAATTGTCAACATTTTCAAACAACACATCCACGGATGAAGGCAACCATGAAGTGTCTCATGAAGGTCCTGATTCATTGGATTTTAATATACTATTGTGCAATTATTTCGGAATTAAGTGTCAATCTTTTTTGTATAGTTCGTACAAGCTGGATATATCAAATTGCAGCTTTTTTCAAAATAGAATCAGTTATTATTATTTCATCACAATGAAGCAGATTCGACTTATTGGATGCTATTTTGATATTCCTGAAATAAGTACAGGTCCAAATATCATAACAATTGAACCAACAAATTTAAATTATACAGAAAATAATCATTTGTCAACCGCTTTATGTTTTGCAGTACTAAAACTTGAATTTCCTGAAAAATTAATGACAAAAGAAAATGAAGATAAAATCAGGATTAACTATAATTTAATGCCCTTTTTTGTTGCTTACAGACCTCATTAATTTATCACAAAATACAAATATAAGAAGCAATCTAGAAGCAGAATGATTAATATATATATCATCATCATTTTAAATACTTGCTTTCATTAAATTTGATACTATTTCAACATTAAATCTCCATTACATATACAGCACGATGATTATCTACTAAGATAAACTACCAAGGAAGACGACACTCTAAAAATTAAGATAATACTATAATTTTTCATTTCCAACGAAAGAAAATGAAAGGCTAATAGGCAAAAAGATAAACTATCCTAATGAAATCCCTTGGAATAAAATATTTTTATTTGACTACTTCAAAACTAAAATAGATAGGTTCGACTTACCTTTTGAGAAACAACAACAATGAATTTCTACGCCTGGAACCATTATAATCAGTGTTCAAATTCAATGACTATTGAAAATTGATAGATCGGATAGGAAGGTATTTATGACATTCCATTATACTGATATAAATCATATATCCATTTAACATAGCGGGTATTAAAACAAAAGAGATGATTAATATCGGATTATACTGGACTTTTTATTTTTTTTTTAAATTATCAAATGAAAACCTACCTCACATTAGACAGATTAGTTCATTAATAGGATCAATTTGTCTACTTTCCCCATATTCAATATGAGTTATATTATTATGAAAAATCGATTTTTTTCATTTAGTCATTATTCAGTGGTTTAACATCCAGAGCAATAATAAACAATAAACACTTCGAACACCAATTCATAATTTCTTTTTTTGTAATAAACGAAGATAATTTTATAAAAATTTAAGCCATGACAACAGAGAGATTATCGTACATGAAATTTGCATTACATTATTCATCAATATCATGCCATTTAGTCCTGTTTTAAAAATGGTGAAGTAGTTCTTTCAAATAACGTTAGTTCACAATTTTCTATAGAATTGAAATATTCATGCATCAATAAACCAATAATCATATGAAATATTTTCTGAAAATCTCATTTCAAAAAGTTAGATTATTCATATTTTATAGAAAAATGTAATATATTTCACTATAGAGATTCGTTTATAATAGATCCGATTTCTATTTTGAATGGCGCTATTCAAATTGTATATTTGTAAACTAGAATAAAATTAGTAAAATTAATTTAATATTACAATATATAGTATATACAATTCAGATTCTTTTCAAAAATTGAGAGGGGGGCACAAACTTGCCCAGTGAGGTGAAGTGAAAAGTGACGTGTTTACATGTCAGAAATGTAAAGTGTCATATTTGAAACAAAAATGGATTAATTTATTATTATATGATAGAGAGATTTGGTAAGTTACTATCAAATTTGTAAGTAAGGGAAAAAAAAGTAAGAAAGAAAAAAAAATTTTTAAAAAATAAAAAGCCACTCGCTTCGCTCGCGGTTGACAAAAAGAACAAATTCGAAAAATAATTGTATGAAATTACGAAACTAAGCCGCTCGCTTCGCTCGCGGCTAAAGAAAAGAACATATTTCAGATTATCGATACTAAGAATTTTTTTATTTTATTACATTTTTTTTTGCTTTTTTTTTTAAAGCTTCTTAACTTAAATCATGGAATGTCTCAAAGACAAAAGTAGCATACAGCATGTAAAGCTAAAGAAAGATAATCATAATTAATACCTTAATTTTTAATATTACGCATTTTTAGGTGCAAAATTTAAAAACATTCTAATACAATAGAGCAGTTTCCAAAAGTAGCATACAGCATGTAAAGCTAAAGAAAGATAATCATAATTAATACCTTAATTTTTAATATTACGCATTTTTAGGTGCAAAATTTAAAAACATTCTAATACAATAGAGCAGTTTCCAAAAGTAGCATACAGCATGTAAAGCTAAAGAAAGATAATCATAATTAATACCTTAATTTTTAATATTACGCATTTTTAGGTGCAAAATTTAAAAACATTCTAATACAATAGAGCAGTTTCCAAAAGTAGCATACAGCATGCAAAGCTAAAGAAAGATAATCATAATTAATACTTTTAAAGTTTAAAATCTTGATTTTTTTTAAAATCAAATATTTATAACTTTAATACATACAGCTTAAACCTTATACTTGTTTTCTCTTGTGAGAAAGCAATCTTACAAAGCTAACAATCCTAAAAAATAAAGAATTAAAATTTAATAATTTAATCTAAAATTAAAATCAAAATTAAATAAAATGAGTTCTTTGTAATAATACTTTCAAGGTAGGATATATTTTAGTGGGATCTATTGAGTCATCACTAACAGCATTGAGGAATCTATTGAGCATTGAAATACTCTCGATTTTTCTTTGTCTTTTTACATCAATTTCTGCGTTAGTTGCTTTTTCCATGATCCTAATGACACGGTCATCTGCTGGATTTTGATCAATTTTGAGTTTGATAACGAAAGATGGTATCACTTTTGTATAAATTTCTATAATAACATCATCAATTCTGAGATTTTTTCGATCAGGAAAATAGTCATGTTTGAGTGTTCTAAAATGAGCTTCGGCAATATTGTTAGTTGCGTCGCCTTCACGCCTGTCACGAGCAATCCATCTTGATATGTTGTAACGCCATTGTCTGTTAAAGTATTGAGATGCTGTTGGATCTGTGTCGAGCAACTCCAGAACTTGATCATAGGCAGCATTTGCTTCTTCCTCATGTTCTGCATCTAATTTGAAGACTAAATCCTTCATCAAATTATAGAATTGTTCAAATTTTTCTTGAGAAGAAAACTTATTTGATTTGCGAAGAATTGCACGAAGAACATGTACTCCGCACCAAAGTATTTGAGCTTGTGGAATGCTTTCTTCTATTGCTTGAGCTATCTGTGGAGCACAGTCCATGCTAATGTATTCTGGCTCAATTGTTACCCATCTGAGATAGGCGCACACGCAAACTTGAATGTTTTGATAAGTGTCTGGTTGACAAAAGAAATATAAAAAAGGGAAAATGTGAAAATCTTTGATTTTGCCAGTAAATGCATACAATGGAATGTTTGATCGCAACAATTTATAGGTGCTGTCTATATGAAATGTCTTGATACTATGCGCATAAGCTTTGCCTTCAAAAGGCGCGTAATAGAAACACATATTATTGTCTGAGACTTCAAATGCAATGAGATCATCTGGAGATTCTTCTTGTACTGTCTGAACAAAGATTTGCAATGACACAACATCGTCAGGAGAATATCTAGTTTGAAGAGCATGTATTCTCTCTGCAAATCGTTTGATTGCACGTGGTTTTTGAGCGTACATCTCTGGAATGGACGGACCTGTAAGAGGAATTTCAAGATCTTTGAATGCATTTAGCTGTGCTATCGCTCTTTGATTGTCATCTGTTTGGAAGTAATGTTCTAAATATTTGCGATAAAAGACAGACGAATATTGACTTTTGTCATTTGGGGCGGAATGATCATGTTCTTCAACTATTTTGATTAGTTTGTATTTATTTTGATCCAAGATTGCAACATTAAAATGTGCAGGACATTTTGGATATTTGCAGTGGAATGAAATCTGAGATCTTTCTTTCCTGACACGTTCACCATATCCATACTGTGCTTGTATTTCTTGTTTAACTCCAAATTTACAAAGATCCATAACAGTAAAGATAGTTTCTTCTTCTAATTCCATTTGAAATTGAAATGAAAATTAAAAATTCAGAAATTTGAATAGATTTGGTCTGTAATTAAATGAGAATAGCAGTTTGTTCGTCATTGTTTGAGGCAAGAGTATTATAGGAATATTATATGATGGATTTGAGTTGCATATAAAGAGTGCAAAAGGATAAAGAGAGAAATTTTGTTAGATTAAATTATTAAATTTTAATTCTTTATTTTTTAGGATTGTTAGCTTTGTAAGATTGCTTTCTCACAAGAGAAAACAAGTATAAGGTTTAAGCTGTATGTATTAAAGTTATAAATATTTGATTTTAAAAAAAATCAAGATTTTAAACTTTAAAGGTATTAATTATGATTATCTTTCTTTAGCTTTGCATGCTGTATGCTACTTTTGGAAACTGCTCTATTGTATTAGAATGTTTTTAAATTTTGCACCTAAAAATGCGTAATATTAAAAATTAAGGTATTAATTATGATTATCTTTCTTTAGCTTTACATGCTGTATGCTACTTTTGGAAACTGCTCTATTGTATTAGAATGTTTTTAAATTTTGCACCTAAAAATGCGTAATATTAAAAATTAAGGTATTAATTATGATTATCTTTCTTTAGCTTTACATGCTGTATGCTACTTTTGGAAACTGCTCTATTGTATTAGAATGTTTTTAAATTTTGCACCTAAAAATGCGTAATATTAAAAATTAAGGTATTAATTATGATTATCTTTCTTTAGCTTTACATGCTGTATGCTACTTTTGTCTTTGAGACATTCCATGATTTAAGTTAAGAAGCTTTAAAAAAAATGCAAAAAAAATTGAATACTTTACTGGCTGGGCAAATTTGTCGCCGCCCCAAAAATTGAGAGTTCAGATATGAAATCGGATATGTCATTTGATGATCTTGCTCTTTATTAAACTTGCTTTTAGTTTAGAAGAGATGCACGGACGCGTTGCCAACTCATGGAAGAATGAATCAAAAAGGTTAGCAACCAGTGATTTCCCAGATTTTTGCGATAGAGATGCAACTGCATATATATAATGATGGTTGGCATTTTTCTAAGCCCGACAATTTTATTCTTCATTGTAAATCTATTCACTCGCTCGAATGTCGTTCCAACTACATGGGTTCATAATATTATTAAAAATGCTGTTATTGGAGCATTCACATGCTTATTTATATGCAAAGAGTTCGATCCATTTATGCTTTTCACGTTTGTATTTATAAATTTTGTATTATTCGGTTTTACCAGATGCTTTGCTTGTTGTGCAGGTCCAACTTGCAAAGAATTTAATGAGCTTGAAGAAGAAGATTATCGATTCAGAATGGCCTCTCGAGAAGCGTTGGAAATTCAATACGCCGAATCATGCTGCGCATGCTGCACATGCTGTACTGGAGTTCATGCATACGATCCAATGAAGGAAGAACCAGAAGTTGGATGCACCAGACAAACGCTCGAAACATATTGGGACACTGGACGAACAATCCGTGAGATGAAATATCAATTAGTTTCAAGTGAAGATATGCAGCAAATTATCACCGAAAACATTGTTGTTCCACCGACACCAAAAGCATGTGCAGTAGGTTTCGTCAACGGAAAGCATATTGTCATCCAAGATAGACAAGAAGAACCTATTAATTATGCTACATGGCAAGAATCACTAAATGAAGATGTCAAAAATGCGAAGGGCTCTAAAATCATTTACAAATGCACTCCAAGGTATCATTACGACCAAAACATGTTACCTGAAATCACAAGAGCCAGACAAGCTGCAATTGCAAAGCTTTCTGAAGGAGCAACAAAGGCTGCATATGATTCTTTCCAAAATGGCGGTGTAACTCGTTTTGTTTTATCTGATCAAAGTTCATGCGCTTTCAGAGTTTTGAGAACAATTCCAATGAAAATATTATATGAATTATTGTTCTTCCTTGGTTACAACGCATTGCTTGATATCATTTGGGGATATGGAGCTGTGAGAATTTATCACAAAACAAATAAGAGAATGAGTATGGAAAATAATTACAAAAATCCTGCTAATCAAAGAGCTAATATTGATTTTGAGTCCATATCAAAGGAAGATGAATTGAAAGGATCATTGGTTTAAAATGTATGTTTCTTTTTATATTGAATTTTTCCAAATTTTATTATTGGTAAACGAAAATTGGATTTCAATTGAATAAACAATGAATATAGTTACTTCTCATCTTTTCTTAATTAAACATTTCTTAAATTGGCTTTGAATTTGATACGAAATTTTTTGTACATATAATTAATAAAGATAAATCCAGTCCGGAAAGAATATACTTCATTATTTATTGACATAGTTAGATCCTGCGATATTAAATTTTCTGAAATTATATTTCAGATTTATATCGTATTAGAGTATTGAAAATCAATGATGTTCATCTGATAACTTTCCAAATTGATCATGTTTCAACACATTAAAACACAAAAAATAAGGAAAATTAAAAAATTTAATTCAAAAAACAGTCATATTCATTGGAACAATTTTGCATTCAATAGAGCACTACGAGAATATTCAGATGAACCCTGAAATGATCAATTTCGCACAATGAATTCCTCATGGAATTTCTAAAAATTTTCAAAATACTCTACTAAACACAAATAACCAAATGGATAATTTTTTTATTATGAATTCAGTTTCATAATTTTTTAAAAAATTGAAATAGTTTGTTCTCATAAATCATGGCAATGATTCAGCATAAAGTTGTATTTGTAGGAAATTCAGCTGTAGGCAAAACATCTATCATTAACCAATATATGTACGATTCTGTATCAGCTGATCACCAACCAACAGTTGGTATCGACTTTTTCGCAAAAACAGTAAATTACGAAGGCAAATCTATTAGAATGCAGATCTGGGATACCGCAGGACAAGAGAAATTCCATTCATTAATTCCTTCTTACATTCGTGATTCTACAGTTGCAATTTTTGTTTTTGATATCACATCTCGTTCTTCATTCGAAGATCTTGAAAAATGGTTCAAGATGGTTTTAGATATTGCCAATCCTAGACTTATCATTGTTGGCAACAAATGCGATTTAGACGCAGAACGTGAAGTTACTAAAGATGATGCCGAGAAATACGCAATTATTAAATCAGCAGACTATATCGAAACAAGTGCAATTGCACCAACAAATATCACAGAACTCTTTAATCTCATCGCATCTACACCATCTGAAAGCGAATCTACACCACAGAACACAAATCAACTTGCTCTCGATACAACACCACGACAAGCTCTGCCTGCTCCAGAGCCTACTCCAGCTGCAGCTCCAGCTCCTAGTGTTGACCTTACAAAGCCAGCAAACCCACAAGCTGGAGGTGGCTGTTCTTGCTAAAAGTATTACCAACATTTCCTTTAACTCCTATTATACTTTTTGATTTAAATCTAAAATATTAAAAATATCAGTCAGATTATAACAATTTATTTCATTGATTAATGCTAAGTACATATAAGAGGATTAACTAGAACCATTATGAGCAATCCTAAATAGGTTTAATAAAAATTTTGAAATAAAATGTGATTTTTTGTGAAGAAAAATATACCAGAATTGCAGTACTAGTTCCTGTAAAGAAAATTTTATAGGATTTTCACGTATTCTTTCAAAAAATGAAAAATTATGAATTAATATTTTAAGTCTTTGATTTAAAAAAATATAATGTAATTTGCATAATACTTGTATTGATAAGTTTTTAACGGTATGACATCTGTCTGCGGACACGAGCGCCTTGACCACCAAACTTCTTTGGTTCCATACGACGTGGATCGGCAACAAGAAGAGTACGATCGTAGCCAAGAAGGGTGTTCTTGATTTCTGTCTTTGTGGCTTCATCAACATACTTCTGATAGTAAGCAACAATGGCTTTGGCAACGGCCTGGCGGATAGCATAGACCTGTGCAACATGGCCACCACCGTGGACACGAACGCGGATGTCGAGGTTGCCCCATGACTCTTCGCCAATTAACTGGAGTGGTTCGAGAATCTTGGCACGGAGTGTTTCGGAGGAAACCATGTTGATTGGTGTGCCATTGAGCTTGATAAGGCCACTGCCCTCGCAGCAGTAGGCAACAGCTGTAGCTGTCTTCTTGCGACCAAAGACTTGGACACTCTTCATATCAAAAAGGATCGACCATCCCAACCGAAAAATTCTCACAAATTTAGAAGAATTGTATTTTGGAAAAATTTCATGGAAAATAGAAACAGCCCCAAGTGTAGTTACCAGTTTACAAGTTAGATTAATAATTTATTTTCATCACCAATTTGATGTAAATATCCATAATATACATCCTTATACTTTCTTGATCGAACGTATCTCTTGAACTTTAATATGTATTTTGATTCTTTTTGTATAAATTACAATATTACTATTGGCTAAAATTTTATTGGAATGTTTTCTTGATAATTGGGAATTCAGGATATTGCCATTGAACAGTCTTATTATAAGCCAGTAATAATAGAAACATATATACCATTTCATCAAGGGATATTATTTATATTATTGATTTATTTAATCTAGTGAAGCTATTTATAAATAAAAATATCAGGAATGGTTATTCAAATAAACCACCTAAGTATAGTTTATTTAAACTGTAAGGTTCATGACGGCTGTAACCATATCGTTGTTGTTATCTCTGAGAGCCTTGATAGCCTTGGCGCGGGAAACGTTAGCCTGCTGCATGACCATCTTGATATCATTCTCATCGAGGCCTGTGGCATCTGGAGCCTCTTCGTCTTCGTTCTCAACGACGACTGGAGCCTGTTCAGCAGCCTTGCCAGCAGCATCAGAGATGGACTGGGAAGCAGCGGAAGCAGCATCGGATCTGTTGTTCTCGCCGAAGACGATGTAGACGTTGTCGATGTAGAAAACGTCTGGCTGGGAGAAGGAGAAGACCATCTGGTTGCCAGCGCGCATTGTGACTGTTGTGACGTTCTCGAGTTCCTTAAGGTTGTGCTTGAGGAGGGCATCGCGCATCTTCTTCTCAGCACGGTTGATCTTGCGTGGCTGCTTTGGTGGAATTTCCTCTGTCTTTGTTTCTTCCTTCTTCTCTTCAACTGGAGCTTGGGCATGAGCTTCTTCAGCAGACATCCTAAGTTTTGTGGCCGTGCAAAAGTTTACAAATGCTCTCAAATAAAAAAGTCTTAAAATTTTTCAATTTCCTTGCCCAATAAAACAATAGTTTTGGTTTACTCACTCTTACATTCGCTAAATGAGTGGTCCTGGCAGCGCCACTAGACATCTCGATCTTAATATTTTACAACTCTTTGTATGCCAACAAATCGTCGTCTCCTGCAATATTACGAGCTGGAAACATCAGAAACAAACGATGAAACTAATATTGACTCTCTCAACTTCAATTCTGATAAATATTATCTCAACACAAAGTTTGAAGTGCTATTCATATACAGTATGCTCAGAAATTGCATATATATATATATTAAATAAATGATATTTAGCTTCTGACTAATTATAAACATATTATATTTAAATAAGATAATAAGAAAAGATATTTAGTCATCCTCAGGATTCTACATACCACCCTCCCACGCAGCAATATCATATTTTATGCTCTGCGCAGCCTCATCATAGCATTCCAAGGCATCTTCTAATGTATATGGATTACGATCGTATACCGATGTATGTCCATCATAATATCTACGAGTACATAGTGTAAAGAACATTCTATAATCGTTGGCTGCATAATGAAGAGGACTCTTAAAATTGTTATCATGGTGTGGAAAAGAACAAGTGGATTTTTTGATCTTTTTCGCAATTGCAATATTACCACTTATTACTGCATAGTGAAGAGGAAGTTTTCCCTCATCATCAGATAAATCCCAATCGCAGCGATAACCTAAATCAGTCAGCAAATCTATGATGGAATCATCTTCATTTATAGCTGCGTAGTGTGAAGCCGTTTTTCCTTCGTTGTCAACAGCATCAATATCACAGTCATCAGAATGGATCAGAGCATTTGCAGCGTGATAATTTTCATTTATAGCTGCATAGTGTAGGGCAGTTTTTCCATCCTTGTCAGCAGCATTAACATCACAGCCTTCAGAATAGATCAGAGCATTTACAACTTCAGAATTGTCATTTATAGCTGCATAGTGTAGGGCAGTTTTTCCTTCGTTGTCAGCAGCATTAATATTGCGGCCGGGAGAATAGATCAGTTTATCTAAAACTTCGATATTATCATTTATAGCTGCATAATGTAAAGCAGTTTTTCCTTCGTTGTCTACGGCATTTTTAAGAATATTATCGTAGCCCATTGGGCAAAAGAAGCTTACTCGATGAAAACATTCTGCAGTATAATGCAGAAGAATTTTTCCGTATTCATCTTTCTCATTTCCATCATTATCGATGTGATAATATTTTTGGGCTGCAATTTTTTAGCAGCCCTTACAAGTGCTTGTGATTTGTTATCAATGAAATTTGGCAATATAGAAAGAACTTTTTCCCAAAGAGATGGGAAATAGCATATTTTTTCAACGAATTCATTGATATTATTTGTTCCATCAAAATGAATAAAAAATGCTTGTATATTATTGTATTTTATGCAATCTTCGACGTCGATTGGAATTTTATATTCGTTCATTAAAAATGTAACAAAATCGACGTTGTGAGACATGATTGCATACTCCATGCATTCATCATCTGGCTTTTGATATTTCAAACACGTACTCATAATCTCTGGATTTCCTCCTAAAAATGAAAGAAGAAGACACTTTTTTGTGATTTCTGCAGAGAATTTTGTTCTTAAAAACTTGAAACAATTGACAGAGCCGTAATAACAACATAATTCGAAAATATTTAATTTTTCTATCACACACGGAATGAAATCAAAGTTGGCAAGTTTGAGATAATTAAAATTTTCTCGTTCTGTGAATGGAATAAACAAATTCACGTCATCATCAATAATTGATTGCAAAGGTTCATTGTAGTGGGATGAAAAATCATTACGAAAAGATTCATTGAATAGCTTTTGCTTTAAGATCAAATAATATAGCCAGTACCGATTGTTCTGCTTTTCTGCGTTTGAAATTATTTCCTTTAAATGGTCCCTTAAATGTTCTTCCGAGTTATTCAATAATTTGTTTTTAATTTCTTCACAAAAAGCATTAATTTCATCTGCACTTGTTATGTGTAGCCTATACAACCTAGTGGTAATATCGTCATAATCTTTGAAACAATCAATAAAATCATTATAATGGAGATTATTCATGAAAATGATTTGATTAGTTTACAATAAAATTAAAAAAAAAATATCGTCGAAAGAAATTCAGACGAGCATTTTTGAAGGGAAACTACGACATATTCAAGTCATATGTAAAAACAGCAGGTTGTCCTCTTTCACATGAAATGTTTGAAGATTTTCAAAAAAAAGTCGGATTTTACGATATTATGAAAAAGTGAATTCAAGTGAGCATTTCTGAATAAAAATCGATTTTTCAATAAAAAATTTAAGTTTAGTAATGGCACCTTTTGCGAGAAGCAACAACGACATATTCAAGTAATGCGTAGAAAACAGCCTTATAAAAGTCATGCCTGTATTCTATCCTATATATACATTTAAAAAAAAAAATAAAGATATTAGCATTTATTTAATTGGGTGTAATTTCAGCAAGCTTTCCTGTATAGAAATCATATACTCTAACAAAATCTCCCATGTTTGCGATAATTCTTTCACCATCAAAAATAATTTGCTTGAGAATTCCAAAATTCTCGATCATTCTCATACGAACAGATCCACATTTAAGTGGGGATCTGACTTCTGATATAACAAATTCTTCTTTCTCATAATGAGGAGCGACAATGTGTACATTGAAGTCTCCAGCAATAACAACTTTGTCGTTTAAGTCATTATGATATATAAACCTTATCTTTTCATCATCCCCGAATAACTGCGTTCCTAACTTCAATTTCTTGTTGATATCATAGTAAATAACGCCTTCTGTCATTGTTCCTAATACAGCAATTCCATTATTGAGTATAGCACTTGTTGATATGTTCTGTTCATCAAAAGTAAAAAGATTTCTGCCAGATATAAGTTTAATGGCTTGATTTCCATAAATTGCAATTCCTGCCTTATAATTAAATGAGCAATGAGTAACATTAACATCATCACGCTCCGAAAAACTCCAAATAATGGGTGCATGAGGGTTATATACGTCAATACACATTAAATCTTTTGATGTAGCGATATATAAGTGGTAATTATTGGATCCTAATGCTATGGGCTTTCCAATATGCTTAAAATCTGATCGTGGAGATGTGATATCTGTTGTATCAAAAACATAACCGCGACTTTCTGTAACAACAACAAACATTTTAGGAGAAATTGCATGCATAAGTGGATTTTTACCAATTCCTTTGGTTATTTCAGCAATTTGACCAGTCTTGACATTTATCATTGAAAGAACTTCATCTGCAACGGAAACAATAGTGTTTTGATCAACATAAAGAAAATCATTAGACTTAAAAGGAATGCTTTTGATAGATTCGTATTCACAGCCATTTTCCAAATAATCATAAGCATAAATTGAAAGATTATCCTTTCCTGAAAACGCAAATGAGTTAGAATAACTGTGTATTTGATTAATTTCGGTTCCTTTAAATGATTTTGCTTTCGGTTTGTGATTTTCAATGTTAAATGAAACTGAATTACGCTTTGCATAGCTTTCAAGCCAGTCAACATTCATAGGTGACTTAGATATATGATATGTTAATTGATTGAACTTTTTATTATACTTATCTTCCCACAATGTTTGAGATAAACATGCTTCTGAAAGATCTTTGTTTACTGGTGCTATTTCAGCTATCTTTTCTGGTTCCATTTTTTCCAAAATTGGATATAAACACCATGCTGGTATATGTCCTAAATCAATCATTTATAAAAAAATTATGACAAAAAATTTACACTTTGATTGCGTATTTATGCAGGCGTGAAGCCTGTTTAAAATACAATAAAAGTGTAATTATCATACTAATTATTATTTTTGATTCTAATGCCGAACAATATTTGAATCAAAAATAATCGTTTGTTTGATAATTTATTTTTGATCAAAATTTTTCTGACATTTTAATTATCAAAAATATGAACTACAATTAATAACAAAAAGTTTTCATTTGAGCGAGACAGATTTTTTTTATTTCAATTTTTCTGACAATCAATTTATGCTTCAAAAAAACATCATTTCTGCAAAGAATCTCAAAAGTTAATAATATATTTAATAGTATCAAAACAGAAGATCATAATACTAAAACACTGATATCTGAGACATAATCTATACTGTAATTATAACAACAAATAATGATCATGTTCAATTGAATAAAAAAAGTATGAAAATATAATGAAAAATACAAACAATATTTAGTCTTGCGCATTAATCACTCTTTCTGGAAATAAATCAGTAACTTTATCCCACATATTCTCACTTTCACAAAATAATTTGTTCAATTGAACATTAATTTGATTCCCGTCAACAATTAGCTTAAGAGTCAATACAGTTCGATGGAATGGATGAACAATATTGTAATCTGTATTGGAAATTTCTTTTATCTTAAATCCAAGAGAAATAAAGAATTCTAACATCTTTGCCTTGAACGGTGCTAATTGTTTGGATGTTACATATCCAAAAGTGTCTGATTTCGGTCTTGAAAGGTCAGAATTATGAGATTCTGAAACAGCTTTCAATCTACGTCGTTCTTCTAGTCTTAAACTTGTGATCCAAGGATCCTTATCCAATTCGTTAACTGTAATTCGTTTTGTTGGGTTTGATTCGAGCATTCTAGAAATCAAATTTTTTGCTGCGGGATGGAGATATTCTGGTATCTTAATTTTGCTTTCTACAATTTGCTGGGTTAAAAAATCCTTCTTTTCTTTTAATGAGAGATCATCTGGAATAATAAAAGGATCTTTGCCTGTAAGAATGAATAGAAGAGTCAAACCCATGGCCCATATATCTGCAGCTTTAGGATATTGAGTTTGTCTATCAATATAGAATTCTGGAGCTTGATAATTTAAAGTTCCATATGATTTAGTAACTGTATCAAAATCTACATACTGAGCATGCATGAAATTCGATAGTTTAAATCCTCTGTCAATATAAATTACGTTTTCTGGCCTAATATCATTATGAATTATATTATTTTCGTGTAAATATTTAACGGCATCAATAACACTTAAGAATTTTAAACCAGCTTCAGGTTCTGGTAATTGTCCTTTTTCTTGAATTAATGTAAATGCATTTCCTTGGCTTTTTTCGAAAAATAAATATGCGATTTCACCGTCTAATTTATAATTTGCTAAACTGTGTATGCATGGATGAGATAGAGATCCCAAAATTTCAATCATATTTCGAATTTTAAGAAATTGAGGATAATCAAAATTACATAAACGAGAAATGATGACTTCCATTGCAGTATATGATTGCCCATTGACTTTTTTGGCTTCATACTCTATATAGTAATCTTTATTTGTAGGAGTTGTGAGAGTATATTCACCAATTGTTTTCGTTTGCTGAAACATCAGTGACAAATTTGACACATGTAATTCTATCACTTCAACAATGGCTCATTTATAGTCACTCATTTCAAACTGCTACACGTCTATTTGTACCTAAGATTTTTCCTAGCTTATAAAGAATTTTCAATCAGATTTGATTTATTTGTGTATTAATTTTGCAAACAAATTAGATCAATGGATATTCTGAAACTCAAAATCAATAGTTTCTTTCGAAGTCAGATGCTAGTCCTTCTGATTTAAAAATTGATTCTATTTACATTCAATTAAAGTTTCAAAGATTTATATCACGAAATTAATTCTCCAACCAAGCCATTTGTATCGTCAATCAGCTCACATTTTGTGGAAAGCTTAGCTTTTTTTTCTTCTCGAAAGCAAAAAATTTCGAAAACAACCTCTTTTCATAAACATGCTTGAAAAATAACTTATTGATATATGAGGTATTTTAAAGGTTAAGAGAAAGTTTTGATTAATATGCTATATAAGCACTTAAGTACCCTCTATGTTAGCGAAAGTTGAGAGGCTCAGTTCACTTGAGAGTATCTCCTTAAGTGTGCTAATATGTTGGTATAATATTAAATTATTATGAAATGTTTATTCTTAAATAATGCGGTGTAAAATCTCGCGATAGAAAAAGAATTATTTGATATTTGTAGCGCCATGTTCAACTAAGAATTTAGCAATTTTGGCACATTTAAATTCCTTTGCATAACTAAGAGGGCATTCATGAATATCAAGAGAATGTAATAAAACAACGATGAGTGTAAAAGGAAAGAGAATTATGTAAAAAAACAATAAATATGAAAAGAAGGAGAAAACGATAGAGCAATGATAAATATGAAAAGAAAGAAAATTTTATAAAACAATGATGAATATCAAAATAAATAGAATGTTAAAAAACAATGATATATATTATAAGAAAGAAAATTCTATAAAACAATGATAAGCATTAAAAGAAAGAAAGTTTGATAAATCAATGATAAATGTGAAAACAAATAGAATGTCATATGATAAAGGTGAATATAAAAAGAAAGAGAATGCGGTAAAACAATGATGTGTATGAAATGAAAGAGAATTCCATAAAACAATGATGAATATGAAAAGAAAGAGAATCCGATCAAACAATGATAAAAATGGAAAGAAAGAGAATGTAATAAAACAAATATAAATATGAAAAGGGAGAGAATATGTTTCACATTAACATTAGCACCATGTTCAACTAAGAATGTGACAATTTCCATTGATTTCACAGAGATGGCAATAAAAAGAGGACATTCATGAATATTGAGAGAATATCATAAAATAATGATAAATATGAAATGAAAGAGAATCCAATAAAACAATGATAAACATTAAAAGAATGTAAATTTTGTAAAGCAATGATGAATATAAAAAGAAAGAGAATGTCATAAAGCAATGATGAGTTTGAAACGAAAGATAATTCCATAAAACAATGATGAATATGAAATGAAAGAAAATGGTATAAAACAGTGATAAATATCATAAAAAAGAATGCTATTAAGCAATGATAAATATAAAAACAAAGAGAATGAAACAAAATAATGATAAATATAAAAAGAAAGAGAATTCCATAAATCAATGATAAATATGAAAAGATAGAGAATTCTATAAAACAGTGATAAATACGAAAAGAATGAAAATGTCATATAACAATTATAAACATAAAACGAGTAAAAATGTTATAATTCAATGATAAACATGAAAAGAAAGAGTATGTAATAAAATAATGATAAATATGAAAAGAAAGAGAATAAGTTTCACGTTAACATCAGCACCATGCTCAACTAGGTATTTGACAATATCGATTGAATTGGCTTGGATTGCAAAACCAAGAGGGCATTTATGAATATTGAGAGAATATCATAAAATATTGATAAATATGAAATGAAAGAGAAACCAATAAAACAATGATAAATATGAAAAGAAAGAAAACGACATAAAACAGTATTAAATATGAAAAGAAATGGAATGTAATAAAACAGTGTTAAATATAAAAAGAAAGAAAATGCGGTAAAACAACGATAAATATGGAATGAAAAAGAATTTCATAAAACGATGATAAATATGAAAAGAAAGAGAATTCCATAAATCAATGATAAATATGAAAAGAAAGAGAATTCCATAAATCAATGATAAATATGAAAAGAAAGAGAAGGATATAAATCAATGATAAATATAAAAAGAAAGAGAATGTAACAAAATAATGATAAATATGAAAAGAAAAATAATATTATAAAACAATGATAAATATAGGGTGTCCAAAGGTGCGTTTAGCACAGCGCTCTATATGAGACTATTAAAGGAGATATATGCTGATTATAAATATATAATAAAAAATATGAATATATGTATATGATGAGTATGTTGTATTTTGGCGCCATGCCGGGATATAAAATGAATTTTGAGACAAGAGGCGGTTTCGCGGGAAATTTTGGCGGGATTTTTTTCATTTTTTTAATGAATCATAAAGAAAACATCCTCGCTCTTGCAAAAAAATGCAAAGACTGTAAAAAAATCTACGAGACATTGGTAAAATGCTTCGGTATGGATGCTCCTAGCTATTCCACTGTAACGTATCATGTTAGGATGTATCACTTCATGAACAAAAAGGCGCCCATCATAAAAATTGACAAAAAATCGCCGGATCAAAGAAAAATCAAAGCAATTCTTCAAGCGCTAGATGAAGACCCAAGAGCATCACTCAGAAGGATAGAGGAGATGACAAAGATACCACGTACAACAGTCAGTTATTATCTGCACAATTATTTGAACTACAAACTAGCGTATACACGTTGGGTTCCGCACAACCTTAATTCAGTTCAAAAAAAATCTAGAGTCCAATCTTCGAAAGAGCTCCTCTCTATATTGGGTGCGTATCAATCCAAGAAGTTTCGCTTTTTAGTAACAGGGGACGAGTCTTGGTTTCAATATGCAACAGAAGCCAAAATCATGTGGATTCCGAAGGATGAAAATCCGCAAACATTCCGAAGAAAAAAATTGACACACCAATGATGATGTTGTCGGTTTTTTGGGGCGTGAATGGCATCATCGCAATTGATATTTTTCAAAAACCTAATACGATGAATGCTCAGTATCTAATTGACAATGTTCTTACTCAAATTATTTCTGATGAGTTTGAGAAATCCAAACAACAAAAACAAAAGTTTGCAATTCATTTTGATAATTCAAGAGTTCACAAAAGTCATAAGGTAATGAATTACTTGGTGGAAAACAATGTCAAAGTTGTTTTTATTCACCTGATATTGCACCCTCTGACTTTTATTTATTCGGCACGCTAAAAAGAGAGCTGAAGGACGCGAATTCGCGAGTCCAGATGATCTTGAAAATTTTGTAAGAGAGCAATTTGAGCAATTTTCTCATGATGATTTAAAGCGTGTCTTTCAAGCCTGGATCGATCGCTGCGAACGCGTGATTGAATCCAATGGTGATTATATTTAAATAAACTTTATATATATGTAACTTGTTTATTTCTATTCGCAGTATTCAGGTTTGTGCTAAACACACCTTTGGACACCCTATATTAAAAGAAAGAGGATGTCGTAAAACAGTGATCAATATTAAAAGAATGAGAATGTAATAAAACAAAGATGAAAACGAAATGAAAAAGAATTTCATAAAACAATGGTAAATATAAAAAGAAAGAGAATGAGTTTCTTGTTAATATCAGCACCATGTTCAACTAAAAATTTGACAATTTCCATTGAATTCGCTTTGATTGCAATACTAAGAGGGGATTCATTAATATTGAGAGAATTTCATAAAACAATGATAAATATTTAAAGAATGAGAATGTAATAAAATAATGATAAGCATGAAAAGAAAGGGAATGCACTTATACAATGATAAACATGAAAAGAAAAAAAAAGTCACAAAACAATGATAAATATGAAAAGAAAGAGAAGGATATAAAGCAATGATAAATATAAAAAGAAAGAGAATGTAACAAAATAATGATAAAAATGAAGAGAAAGAGAATTCCATAAACCAATGATAAGTATTAAAAGAAAGAGAATATCATAAAAACAATGATAAATACTAAAAGAAAGAGAATGTCATAAAAATAATGATCAATACTAAAAGAAAGAGAATGTTATAAAAACAATGATAAATATGAAAAGAAGGAAAATGTAATAAAGCAGTGATTAATATGAATAGAAAGAAAATACAGTAAGTCAACGATAAATATAAAAAGAAAGAGAATTCCATTATACAATGATAAATATGAAAAGAAAAATAATATTATAAAACAATGATAAATATGAAAAGAAAGAGAATTCTATAAATCAATGATAAATATGAGGAGAAAGGAAATGCAAGTTTGGTTGATGTCCGCTCCATTAGAAATTAAGCAAGATGCAACATCATAATTTCCAAAAAGCATGCTTTCTGCTATTGAATCAAAAGTTTGTCCACAATTTGATTTAAGGTATTCGGCAATTTCATAATTATGGTACTCAAATGCTGTATCAATCAAGTCATTAAATGATTGACCATCTTCGATCATTTGCATAAATATGTTTTTATTTCCTCATTGAACAGCTAATCTTGGGGAGCTAATATTGTATTTGGCTCCCATATTTTTCAAGTAGTTGAAACATAATTCTGATCCGTATTTAATAGCACAATTAAGTGGTGTGAAAATATAATCTATTTCTCGATTAAGAGCAAGTTTTGGGAATTTACTTTTAAGTTCATCAACTTTATCCCATGCAATATAATACAACGGGGATTCTTTTGAAAATATATTGAGAATTTCTCCTTTTTTCTTTCTAGGTTCAAATCCTTCGAATTTGATGCCGTTATAATACAACAACGTGGCTACATTACGATTTGTCGGTTTGTAGTTGCATGAAAATTTGTTCGATATATTGAAATAAAGTTCTGCAAATAATTTAATATCTTTTTCACGAATTAATGAAAAGGTAGCAATCAAGTGGATTGCCATTTGGATAGTAATTTTGGAAGTTGTAATGAATTCTATAATTTGTGAAGATACTTCTGAAATATTATTGGAATTGACACCCCAAATAATTTTTGAAGCCTGACTAGGGTATTCGAATACTTCACTTGGCTTAAGGTGGCTGAAGTCACATCCATTTTCATTTTTTGGTTGGTCAGAGTGTGACATTCTTTGTGAATTTCTATTGTGGCACTTTTGTTTACAAAATTTACTGGATCTGCTACGAACTAAATCCAAATACATAATAATTGTTTTCTACATGTATAGCTAAGCTTATCCATTTTATTTTGAAAGATTCAATATGCGTATTGATCTACAAAGAATTGGATAAATTAATTTCAATCCGAAAATTGGTGTTTAGTAATGCCATACATTATATTATTCCAATTATAAGGTCATCCAAAGGTTGGAGAAATTGTGTCAAAAAGAATATTCCAAAATATCATTGAACAAAAATGAGGAGGAGAATATTAAATTTTCTCACAAGCAATGACAACCGTGTCCAAACTCAGGAATTTCCTAATTAATAAAAAAAATTAGAAATTCCTGGTGAGGAACCAAGTAAATCCTTTAATTTTTGTCATAATATGGTTCATCCAAAAGTTGGAGGAATTATATCATGGTATTATTATTAAAATATATTTTTACATACAAAAATCGTTGACGTTAGTAGGTTGAACATTTCTATTTTGAACTCTGTAGAGAAACAGTCGCAGACTTACCTTTAGGAACCTGGAAAACATAATTTTCGTCATATTCTGCTGCATTTGGATTAACATTTTGTAAATCAATATAGTCATCTGAGTAATCTCCTGCAAATTCTTCTCTCAATTGTGAGAATGTAGAGGTGGCCGGTGCATTTAATAATGGAGGTCCTTCTTCACTATCTACAAACTCTGAAACAGTATTTTCTTGTTGTTTTCGTTGTCTATCTCGCCCTCTTCTTCGTAATTCGTAGGCAGTAATAATCTTTTCTTCTTGTTTTTCTTCAACTGGTTTTGATTCTGTTCTGGTACGACGTGTTGGCCTTCCCGATGCTTTTGCTTGTGGTTCTGGAGCATCAGGGAGTTTAATTTCAAGGACAACTTTTTTAGGTTCTTCTTTTTCTGTAATTTCATTTATTTGACTAGAAGTTTCCTTTGGAGTCGTTCTTGTTCGTGTTCTGCGGCGAGATGTATTTGTTGTTTCTTTTGTATTATCTGTATTTTCGTTAGCATTTGTTTTGTTTCCTTCAGAAGTTTTATCATTCTGACATTCAGTATTAGCGCCTTCGTCAGGTTTATTTTCCTCTTTATTTCTTTGGCGACGAACTCGCCTCGACATAAAAAATAAAATTAGAAAAAAATCTTGAGAAAAGGGGGGAACTTCGTCGACAACAAAGGTATCAACCAAAATTGTTCCCATTATACTTGACATATGAAGTATAGGAATGGTGTGTATGGACTCATAGAATGGCTTTCGTTTGATTTCGAGATATATTATGATCTTCTAAAATATCCATATTTTACTTGATAACGCATATGTTTTATCGTATTATGAAAATTTAACGAAAAATATGGCTCAAAACGAGCAAAATTCGATGCTAAAAAAGTAAATTGTTTATTGATTAGGGTGCTTTCAGGTATTTTTTTGAAGTAACACTTTATTCGTTTTTCTTTCTACATCTGTATGTAAAGCTTGCACAAATAAGGATTTATAATTAAAAATATTATACGAATTGGGTAAATAAATCTTTAGATCTTAGATTTTATTAATCCTTTCTTCTTAAAATGAGACTATGGTAATTATTTTTATATGATATAGAAAAGAGGCATATTTTCCAAAGCCATAAATCACTAGTATTTTACTATCAAATGTAGTATATAATTCTATATAGATAACCAGCAGTCTGTAGTTTTATACAATTATTTCTGGTTAAAATTAAGGATTGGCTTCACATAATTAGAAACCATAGTAAACATCTAGAAAGTAATCAATAACATCATGATTTTATTCACAGATGAGTTCAAGATATATATTGTGATTTTCATTTCGACAATAAATCTGAATAAAATATGTATTAAACTCGCACATTTAGATCTCTTAACATAATCATGTTATCAGTTAGTGACTATTGCTAAAGAACAAGCAACATTAGATCTGTATCTCATAATCAAACGGATGTTAAGCTAAGATATTTGAGTCAATATCACCTGATAGTATGCATAATACTATACTAGAATGACTAGTCAATCTGTTGTTTCAATATCGTTTTAATATTTTGATGCCAAAATAGTACTTTGGCTATCATTAGTAATACGTAAGGTTGCTACTGTTGTAATATTTCGAAAAAATAAAGGTATTAACTTTAATGCAAGATATTATGAGTTGAACATCGAATAATTGGATTTTTGCAATATTAATATTCTTTAGTCCCTAGTATATCATCGTTTCATACTAATCACGTGGATGCAATCCGTTTCAATGATCAGATAAAGCAGAAACAATATACTCAGATGCCACTTTTTTGGTCTAAAAAATGAGTTTCCCCCTTTTTTAGACGAAATCATAATTCTTCAATTTTTTCAGATTTCTAAGAGGAATCGGAGGTCATGAAACGATAATTCTAAATCAGTGGCTCAAAAACTTCAATTTTTCTAACGAAGCCATTATATATATTTGGTTCAAGAAACTTTTCGTTTCTTTAAACTTGCTTTCATATTTTTCGCTTCTGGTTCTCTAAAGCTAAGAGAATTGCGATGTTTTCATGCGAAAATTATGAAAACGAGTTTAAAAAAATAAAAAATATCAATAAAAAATTGCTAAAGACCGTAATGCGATAGATTTTTAAACACTAAAATGCACATCTGATGCATTTATGAAGGCCAAAGCTCAATTCATTTGAGATAATGCCTTCTTGAGAAGAACAAGACGAGGAGTATAGAACTTAGCGAAGTTCTTCTGGATGAGTGGGGTAGTACTGTAAGCTAAATCGCCACCAATGTGCAGCTTGCAGTTCCTGATTGCGTCATTTAATTTCTGCCTGATCAGGATTTTGTTATTATCCCCGGAATCATTATACTCCTGAATCATTTGTTGCACCTCTGTTTTAAACAAAGCAAAATCCTCATCATAAATTGGGCGATGAAGACGTGCATGATGCATACGTATAATTGAAGTGCGAAGATTTTTATCGTACTCACAACTTTTGAGAATGTCAACAATCATCGATTGTTTTTTGGGAAATTATAAACTACATCAATAGTGTGATGATCGCTAATCCAATTTTTTGAAACACACGTTATAAATTGAATATTTTGAATCATTTTAGAGATTCCCAAGTACATAGTTTATATATAGAAAAATCTATTATTTGATGCTATTTGGTCAGATGTCAAAATCTTGAACGGTACAAAATTGAGAGATGATGATTTGATAATTAAAATCTCAGGTATGTAGAAATTCTCCCGGAATTAGGATTGACATCATATAAAATATTAAAATTGACAATTTCCGATTATTTATAAAAAGCTAAAATATTAATAAGTGCAATTTATATATCAATATTGAAAAATTATCAAATTGAATTATTCGCAGATTTTTTATAGAAACCTTTAATAAATACTCACAGAATATTTTCTCGAGTCAGAGAAATAATATCTAGAAACTGTTCCAATTACTTATTTCAGTTTAATTTCAAATCTGCCTACGATCTTCCTTGAAATCGAAAATCCAATTATAAACAATGCTAATACCATGTCAATAATTGGGTAAATAATACCTAATACAATGGAAACAAGTCAGCAGTTTCGCTTGATATTGCTTTGGCATAATTGTAAACGCATGTTTTTATAATTTCAATCGGAGATATCCCAACATTTTATGAAGATTAATCTTCCTTAATTTGTTAAGTTGACTTTTGTTAATATCAATTTTCATTTTAAGTATATAATTGTCGGCATTTCTCTAATTCGTGTGTTAAAGTATGTTTTTGGTCACTTTCGAAGCTAACCACATCATTCCATAATTATTGTATATTCAAATTACTCGAACTCCCAGTTTTATCACCAAAATAATTATATCTTTTGATTTATTTATCATTCAATGCAAAAGATATCTCCAAAACTTATTTAAACGAGAAAATTATTAGATTCAAAGCATGCATACTTTCTATTTGTACTTATGGGGAAATATCAAAATAATTTTGATTCCAGTCAGATTTATATTAACCAATATGTCTTCATTGAAATTAATTTAAAATTAGAAATTAAGCAATGAAATTCGAGTAACGATTTAAAATTTTCATCCTAAAACTCTTTATCTGTTTGTCATCATGGTATAAATAATAATTTATGAATATAGCATATCTTTATTCATGATAAAAACAACAAATTACATAACAATAATATAATCAGTTTGAAATTAATGACCAAAGAGATGAATATTCTGAAAATATTTGATCAATTGTAATACGCTTCTTTGGATCTGGCTCTAAGCATTTGTAAATCAATTCCTTCAATTCATTTGAAAAATGATTCCAAATCTTACCTTCAAGCTTGTAATCTCTCTTCTTCTTAGATGCTTGCATGGCCTTGTTCGAATCACAATCAAAAGGTACAGTTCCGCCGCAAGCGACACATAAAGTTACACCAATGGAGAAAATATCACATTCTTTTGAGTAAGCGCCATCATAAACTTCTGGAGCAGCATAATAGCATGATCCAACTCTTTCCTGATGAAGTCTGTCATTTATTTCGCAAGCCATGCCTAAATCAATAACTTTGATATCATCAACGTTAAGATTTGAGTTCATGATGACAACATTCTCTGGTTTGTAATCTCTGTGCATAACTCCGTTCTGATTGAGGTATTCCACTGACTTGAAAAGAACATAAGCAATATTTCTAACTTTCTTTTCAGGAATTGGAAATTCTGGTGTTTTATCGAGAAAGTCTAAAAGATCTTTCTCTTGAGCACGTGGAAATACAGAACATTTCAAGTTATTCACAATATCAAATGTTTGTATTGGCTTCAATATGAAATTGGAGTTAAATTTCTCCAAATATGCAATCTCACGAAGATACTTTCGTGGATTATTCTTATACACCTTCAAAACAACTTGTTGTTCATCTGATGTATTATATCCGAAAAATGTTGAAGAATTCTGTGTGCTTTCGCATAATGATGTAACTTTGAATCCATTTATAACTCGTCCAGGGTATACATACTTCTCTAATGTCATGAATAATAAATAATGAATTGAACGGGCAGCATTTTTTCAGAATTTTATTTTCAGAAGTTTACAAAAAAATTTACCGAAATTTTTGTTTGATATGATTATTTTGAAAGGAAAAATACGACACAAATTTATGGCCCTTCAAAAATTTTAAGAATTTTGTAATTAAAGACTAATGCAGTAGAACTATATCTGATGAAATTGGTCTGATAATTGTTTTGTCAATTTTATAAAAGATTCTGAATCAATTCCAGACCATTTTTCAGGGTCTCTTCTCTCTACGAGTGCACTTTCAATTGCTGTGTTTTGGATCCAGTTATTAAATGAATTTATGATAATAATATCTCCGCCCCATTCAAAAGCTTGTTTCCATTGATGAATGTATTCCAATCCATCATTTCTCCCTATTGTCTTATGTAACAACTGTAAATCTCTTCGTGATTCATTGAATCCAGGCATAACTGTTGGAATAATATCAAAATTGCGTTTTCTCCAAGGTTCAAACAGTTGGGCAGAAAAATTAAAGCAGGTGAAGGCCGAGTATATTGACTGAAATGCAGAATAAACATTGTTGCATTGTTCTGAATTTTGAATTAAATAAAATTGCTTGAAAAAATTAATATTATTTGTGAAATTGAGGTCTTCATCAATCATTATTACAAATTTATCATTTATCATTAGTGAATTATCATTATTTTTTGTTATTTGTTGAAATATTTTAATTTCTTGAATAATATTTTCTGTTGATCTATTGTGTGCCGAAACAGCGAGTCCAACACTTATATTATTAAGTGCAGCCATTCGAACAACGTTAAGAATCGGGTCATTAATTCCTATGCTTTCTATATTAATAAAGGTCTCAGTTACATTACGATTCTGAAATGATGGATAGTTGTTCATCACTATAATTTGACTTTTATATTCTGGATGATTATATACTGATAATCTCGTCCAATTAATGAGAATTCCTTGAATATTGGCGGATTTAATCATTTTCATATGAGTTTCTATGATATTCTCATTATTTAATGAATAATATCCAAGTTTTGGCTTCATTTGAGTTGGATTTCTGACAAATGGAAACAAAAATTCATTAATTTGACTAATTATAGGAACTTTCCATCCAAACCATGATACATCATTTTCAAAATTCCCATAATTACTTGAATAAATCGCCAATACTTTTTTATTTTGGTTTCTATTTATTGTTGAGTGTTCTTTTGATGACGGATATCGTATGAAAAGACCCAATGAAGCAGATATAATAAAGAAGATGGTTATTGCAAAATATGTTTTTCGATGAGAACGTTTCAGCTTCTTCATTAATCAAATTTAAAGGTTTCAAGCCGGAAATTACCTAGTTATAGCTAATATTAATACATAATGCAAAGATTGGCCATGGATAAATATTGTTTCAATTTGATTTGATTTTATCAAACTCCAGATCATTCATTTGACTTAAGCAATTAATTATATGCACAATTTGCTGATGAATGTACAAATTAATTTATGATGTATTTTGTTTTCAAAATTGTGCCATTTAATTTACTCGCAGAAAAGCTGCAAAAACCATGAAAACGTTGTCTACAGATGATAATATAATTCATAGCATATAGTATTTGGGAGAGGGGGAGGGTAGGGGTAAAAATGTTTTGATTTTTAACAAACAAACAACATGATACATCTTTTTTTATTAATTTGAAAAAATGATTAATAAATAAGATAAAAAATATAATTAACAATATGTATTTGGATTAAGATTAAGATTAAGATTATGCCAACTCTTTGAGTGTGGAATGGATGAGAACCACTTGTGATCGAGACACTGGTTAACAGTGTAACGCTCCAATGGATCTACTTTGATCATATGGGATATTAAATCCTTTGCTTCTCTAGAAATGCCTTTCCACTTGGAAGCAGGGAATAAGTAAGCTCCATTCTGGATGCAGCGTCTGAGAGTACTCTCAGGGTTAGATGGGAATGGGTTGGATCCGCTCAATAATGTATACATGGAAACGCCTAACGACCAAATGTCGATAGATTTATCGTATGGCTTGCCGGAAATGATTTCTGGGGCGGCATAGTTAAGTGTGCCGACATATTCGTTGCAAAGCTGGTTACTTTCGACTTTTGTGGCAAAACCAAGATCTGTAAGTTGAACAGCTTCTTCTTCCTCTTCGCCGAGATAGAGAAGATTATCTGGTTTGATATCACGGTGGCAGATTTGGTTGTCGTGCAAGTATTTCAGAGCTAATAAAGCTGATCTAATAACTTCCTTGACCAAATCTTCATCAAGACGATGATTCTCTGCGCAGTGAAGGATGTTGTTCATATCTGACATAGCAAGTGGCATGACAAGGCACTTGTATGGAAGATAGTCGAAAATTTCCCTTGCCTGGATAATAAAAGGGCATTTGCAGTTGGACATAAGTTCGATCTCGGCATCTACTCTGCTAATGGCTGCTTTTCTGTATTTGATGAACTTGATGGCAACTTTTTCGTTGTCTTTTATGTTCTTAGCAAGGAATACAATGGAGTTCTTGGTGTTGTCAAGAATCTTCTCAAGGGAATAATTATTGATAACTTCTCCGACCTTTGGGACTGTGGACTCGTCCCCATAGAACTGAGAAGACATCAAAAAAATTGAAATTTATTTATTTCAATGAGACCGCTATTCGTTAAACTCCTCTCAAAAATTGAATACTTTTCATGGGCCATTTGTGTCTTTATATCATGCATATAAGATAAAATTAAAATTCATATAAGCCTTTTTAAAGGTGTTGTAAACTATTCAAAATAAATTTATATCAAATTCTGCCATTTTCAGATATTATATCAGAAATCGTCTTTACAACAAATTCATGTGGAAAAGTGTATACACGGTAAAAAAATTCAAACATTTGAATTAGTTCGACAATTTTTCAAAAATTTTCAGAGATTTTAGTCCACAATATATAATCAGGTACTTTTTAAAATTTTAACCTAAGAAAAACTGATGGTTTGTCAAAATTTTGTGTAAAGTTCAAATTTTATACCGAAAATTGAAAAACGGCGGAATTTATAGAGATATCGTGAAATTTTTAGTGGAAAATTATCACACGCATGTTTTTTGCCGCATGCAGAGCCATCTCTATCAATTTTGATCGAATACGTTTGAAGACTATTTTTTTCTCCAATTTTTTTTTCAAATGAAAACTTCACCGAATTAACCGAGTTCACTATTTGGAAAAGTCTTCATCATTGAGAAATTAATATGGATGATGCATATATGTTACTCTCCAACAATTTCCATCCTTATCATATAAAAAAAATTATTGTTCGATTTGAACCGAATATTTTAATCAAAATAATATATGAATAGCTATATCGGCTCCTTTTCTCTTTATATTGCTGTAGATTTATCCATCATTTTAATATTTCTAATTTTTTGTTTCAGTTTTTGAGAATATATTAAACAGAGCATTATTACACAGCCTATATATGCAATATATGTATTCCAAATTTGATTATTGACTGATAAGATATATAGAATTTTTGTTATCAGGTATTTTTATTATTTTGTGTTAATTTTTGCATAGTGCTTATAAACGTGGACAATTTTTGGGATTGTTGGAAACAAGAAAATTACTTATGTTATATTGATTTTTATGAATTAAGAATTGATCAATATTTTGATTCCCACAAACTAAAGGGTTGAAACACACGCATCTGAAGAATATGAATCTCTTGTTGAAGTAAAATGATAAATTTGAAATAATAATACCAAGATTTTTACGATATCAATGAATTGGTATTGAATTCAACTTTCATCTATAATAAATCCAAAATTCAGGGGAAAATAAGCCCAACTAATATTTTAATTTGAACTTATATATCTTGAACAGGTTGTAAAATGCAATATGAAATTAAAATTCAATAAGTATATATTTATTCTATATTTTAATTAGTATAAAGAACAAAAATTCGGAATTGATTTACATTAAGGTTCCGAACTATTATCATCATCCAAATTCGCTAACATTTAGCTTTTCCAAAGCAATATTGTGTTCAATCTTCTTTTGTGATTTTCTAATTTTATGAATTTTAATAATGATGAAAATAAGAGGAATACCAACTGTCAAAACACATCCGATTGATATCAAAATTATCGCTAGTGTAGAAATCCCACCATTGTGATAAGGAAGATTGGGACATCTAACATTATTAATAATTTTGGCACCTCCAATTTTACTTTTTGGATAATATTTATAAACTGAAATATTTTTGGGTTTGTTGTGAACAAAGAAATTGCCTTCAACAATTTGATTACCACAGTATAAGAAGTTGTTGATATGACTATGAGAAAATGAGTTGTCTGAAATCTGATGAATATTACCTGTGATGTTGATGTTCAAATTTGTTGAATTAACGAAATTGTCGTTGATAATTGAGTCATTGTGTTCTGTAATGATAGAAACATGTTCAATATGATTAAAATCTAAAATTGTTGGATATTCTTTGAAATATGATGAAAATGTGATAGATTTAACTGATTGATGAAGAATCTTTTGTTCAAATATATCTTTGTTTTCATTTTTAATAATAAGATTTTCAATATTATAGTCTTCATCAAAAACACTTTGATCAATAGAACAATTACTTTCAACAACAATTTCTCTTAATGATTTACAATTAGAGAATGAAAGATTTCCTAATATTGTGAGATTTTTAGGTAAATTGATCTTCATCAATGATTCACAAAATAGGAAACATTCATCCGATATCTCGTTTAGTCCATCTGGAAATGTCAACTCAGTTAAATTATAGCAGCAGAAAAATGACCTTCCTTGATACTTATGAGTGAACTTGGAAATGTAAATGATTTCAATAAATAACAGTTACAAAATGCTTGTAAGCCAATTACTACTAATTGATTCGACTTCATGGAAACATTTTCAAGAGATGAACAATTCTGGAAGCAAAATTGAGGTATTATTGTGAGAAAAGATGGTATTGTTACATTTTGGAGATCGGAACAACAATAAAATGATGCGTCGCCAATCTCTAAAACTGATTCAGGGATATCGACATAAATAAGACTAATGCAGTTTTCAAAAGCTTGAATTCCAATTTTTGTAACTTTGTTTGGTATTGTTATCGCTTCTAGATTAATGCAATCATAAAATAAGTAATTTGAAATTTCTTTCAATTCACTAGGAAGAACGATGCTCTCAAGGGATTCCATATTCCAAAAACATCGTTCATCAATAGTTGTTGATGAACTTAAAAATGTAATTGTTTTAACTTTAATACATCCAACAAACGCATTAGATCCAATATAACTAAGCTTTTCTGGTAAAGTTATATTTAATAATGAAATACAGTTAAAAAATGAATTTTCTTCGATATTTGTAAGACTATTTGGAAACTTCACTTCCTTCAAATTTTCACATTCCAAAAAAGCGTCATTACCTATTGAATAAATTGTATCAGGAAGGATTATACTTTTAAGTCCAGAACAAGATCTGAAAAGTGAAGCTTCTATTATTTGAAGCTCTTTTGGAAGGCTGACATTTGAAAGTTTTTCACATGACATGAATGCACCAGATGCTATTACTGAGGTATAATTTAAAAATTCTACTCTTTCTAATTTAGAACAATATGAAAAAGAATTCATCCCAATCATTGAACAATTTTCAGGAAACTGGATACTTTGAATGCTAGAACATGAATTAAATGCTGAATCATCAATCTTTATTAATGAAGATGGTAAAGAATCAAATGTTAATTGTTCACAAAAGGAAAATGCACTATTTAATATAGATCGTACTGTATTTGGGAAAGATATTTTGCCTAGATTTGTGCAATAAGAAAAAGCATAATAGTCAATTATTTCTAATGATGGAGGAAGTTGAATTGTTTTAAGTCCAGTGCAATAATAAAAAGTTTTTTCTTCAATTTTACTTGTTAGTGATGGAAGTTTAACTGATTCAAGGTTTTCACAATGCATGAACACTCCATCTAGAATAGTTGTATTTTCTGATTGGAATGTTACATTTTGTAGGGCTTTACAGTATGAAAATGATTCTGATAAAATATTTTTAAGATTTGATGGGAAATCAATGCTATTGATTTTTATGCAATTCTTAAATGCATATTCATCAATTTGTAAAAGTGATGTTGGTAAAGAATCAAATGTTAACTTGTGACAATTAAAAAATGCATACGATTCAATGTATTCGGTTGTATTTGGGAATATTATATTGTTTAGATTTACGCAGTTGTAAAATGTATTTTTGTTAATTTTTGATAAAGATGATGGAAAAATTATTGTTTCGAGATTTGTACAATTGTAGAAAGAACTTTCTGAAATAATTGTATTTTCTGAATAGAATCTTATTGATGTTAAGCTTGAACAAAATGAAAACGAATTTTTTGAAATTATTTGTAAGTTTTGAGGGAAATCAAGATTTTTTAGACTTGTACAGTTATAAAATGAATTTTCGCCAATGGATGTTAAAGAATCTGGAAACGAAATTGATGAGAAATTTGAAACATTTGCGAATTGATTTGACTCGATCTGAGATGTACCATCCGGAATTGTGAGTGTTTCATCACTTGACAGAGTGGAAAATATTTGTAATAAAAAGATGTGGTTTATAAGCATTTTTTATGTTGAAAAATTAAGAGTAGAATTTGACAGGTATCGTCAATAAAAATCCGAGAGGAAACATTAATCAGAATACTTTTTCAAAACTTTATTCTATATTGAAAACAATAAGAGTAAAAATTGACAGGTATCGTTATAAAAAATTTGACAGGTATCGTTAACATTCAGTTGAGACATAAGGGATCAAAACAATATTAGATTTATTTCAATTTGATATATTATAGAAGACACAAATATATTTTACATTTTTACGGGCTTGAAGTTTCTCTCAAAAAGTATGAAACATGTTGTGTAGTCATTTATTATTATTATTGAATATTCATCAGTATTGCAAGTTAACTGAACTACTTTTCATCTGCTTTCGATTGAGATTTAAAATTTGAATTATTCAATATACAAATTTTTGGAGATTTAAAGGGGACAATATACAATACAACTAAACGCAAATAAGTTTATATTATTATAAAAACAATTAAAAATTATAGCACTAATTCATTCGGTACGTCGATATAAGTTGAAATTGAAAGACAGATTAACCAAGATTTTGAACATAATTTGTTTTGTGGCTTTCAAATGATATGAAATATGAAATCACTTATTTAAAGTTTGATTGTTATGAAAGAACTCAGTTCATAACAATAAAAGATCAGAAATCATCCAAATTCGCTAACAATTAGCTTTTCCAAAGCAATATTGTGTTCAATCTTCTTTTGTGATTTTCTAATCTTTTGAAGCTTAATAATGATGAAAATAAGAGGAATACCAACAGTCAAAACACATCCAATTGATATTAAAATTATCGCCAGTGTAGAAATCCTGCCTTTTTGATAAGGAATGTTTGGACATTCTGCATCTCGTTTGGCTGGGACACCTCCAATTGATTTAGATGGATAGTGTTTATAAACTGAAATATTGTTGTATGATTGTGAATTAGAAAGGAATTTGCCTTCGACAATTTGAATACCACAGTATAAAAAGTTGTTGATGTGACTATGAGAAAATGAGTTGTCTGAAATCTGATGAATGTTGCCTGTGATGTTGATGTTCAAATTTGTTGAATTAACGAAATTGTCGTTGATAATTGAGTCATTGTGTTCTGTAATGATAGAAACATGTTCAACATGATTAAATTCTGAAATACTTGGATATTCTTTGAAATATGATGAAAATGTGATAGATTTAACTGATTGATGAAGAAAATCTTGATGAAGTACATTGTCATTTGGATATGAAATAACAAGACTTTCAATTATTGTATTGTTTAGAAAAGCATTTTGATTAATTGAACGATTTGATTCTATAACAATTTCTTTCAATGATGTGCAATAATAAAAAGAAAAGTTTTCTAGAATTGTAAGGCCTTTTGGTAAATTAATCTTCATTAAAGATGTACAACAAGAGAAAGCATATGAAGAAATTTGACGAAGAGAATCAGGAAAAGTTAATTCTGTTAAATTAGAGCAATTCCCAAATGCATAATTTTGAATGCATTCAAGAGAAACTGGGAATATTATTAATTTTAAGGAATAGCATTTTTGGAATGAATACAATCTGATATTTGTCAGTTTATTGGAATTGATTATAACCGTTTCTATAGATCTACAATCATAAAAACATTTCACAGGAATTTCTGTAATTGATTTTGAAATTGTCACTTTTCGGAGATTTTGACAAAGTGCAAATACATTGTGATAAATTATATTGACTGAATCAGGGATTTCTACTTCAACAAGGTTCATGCACCCTTCAAATGCACTTGGCCCTATTCGAGTAACTGTGTTCGGTATTTTGATTTCTTGTAATTTTGCACATCTATAAAATAATTCGGAAGGAATAACGTGCAATTCACTTGGAAGTGTAATCCTCTCTAATGCTATATTCCGTTCGAAACACGCATCAGAAATACATGTGAATTTACCTAAAAAAGTAACACTTTTAATTCCAGTACAATATAAAAAAGCAGATAGCTCAATAGTCTGGACATTTTGTGGTATGATGATACTTGTTAATGAAAGGCATGTTTTAAAAGCATCATCTAATATTTCTATAAGAGAATTCGGAAAGTTTATTTCGCTTAAATTTCTGCATTCAGAAAATGCATCGAAACTTATACTTTGTAATGTATCTGGAAGTATAATTGACTTCAATGACGTGCAAAAATGAAATGTATTATCATAAATTTTAGTGATTTTTAAAGGAAGTTTTACTTCAGAGAGTTTGCTGCAACTGTTGAATGCACACATGTTTATAGTTGTATCAGGATTTAGGAATTCAATTTGTTCTAAACAACCGCAATTTGAAAAAGAATATTTTCCGAGAAAACTCATGGTTTCTGGGAACTTTATTTTAGTTATACTGTCACAATACCTAAAAGCAGATTCATCAATATGCTTTAACGAGAATGGTAAAGATTCGAAGTTTAACTTTCGGCAATCGAAAAAAGCATTTACTCCAATATATTCTATTGTATCTGGGAATGAAATCTTCTCGAGATTCATACAGTTGCGGAAAGTACAATCACCAATTTTTTTCATTGAAGAAGGAAGTTGTATAGCTTCGAGTTTTGTGCATAATTCAAACGAGTTTTCGTAAATTGTAGTATTTTCTGAATGAAATATGATAGTTTTTAAACTTTTACAATATGAAAACGAATTTTTGTAAATATTTTGTAAGTTTGGAGGCAATTCAAGACTTTGTAAACCTGTACAGTTATGAAATGCGCTTTCCCCAATAGAAATTAATGAATCTAGGAAAGAAATAGTTGTAAAATTTTTCCAATTATTGAATTTCTTTGTGTCTATCTGAGTTATACCCTCCGGAATAATAAGTGTATCATTATTAATGGAATGTGTTACAGTTTCGGAGAGAAAAATGAAATGAATAAGCAATATTTCGAACAAGTATTAAAAAATTTATCGTCTGCCACAGTCTGCCATGTAAAAAAAATCTGATCAGATCAATTTGCTATCACTTTTGCAGGTTAGATACGTATTTAGGATTTCTATATAGTGCAGGCAGTTTTTTATTCTGTCAATTCATGTTTCTCGGATATTGTGATACTTTTGTTACTCTTCGACCTGAATCTCGAATCTCGAATGATGAATCGAAAAGTCATATAATTTATGTAATATGCATCTTATACATGTGTTAACAATATTGTCTTATACATGTGTATCAAAAAAAACTATCAATTGTGAGTGGAACTTGCCGAGAAATTTTTTGGTAAAAGATTTTTCAGACGATATTTTTTACATTATAACCATAATGCAATATGATCGATATATAGTTCTATTTGCTTTTTGAATGCAGTTCAAAAAGTAAAATGAATAATGCTGACTATTTTTTTCAATAAGTTATTTCATCTTCAGAAAAACTCAGAAAATTCGATATGTTTTTCCCACTCGAAATTTTCAGACAAGATATAACATTTTTAAGAGATTTTCACTATTGCTGCATACAAAAGAAGAGAGATATCACATATATATTGTCAACTTCAAGATACAAAATAAATTTCATTTTAGAAATTTAATTAAGAAAACAAGAAACATAATATTGCTTGATATAGCATACAAATTATGCTTTAAATCACAATAGAATTTCATTGCTTAATATAACAAGCAACTTTTAATCGGACTTGAATTTATTTCATTTTTTTCTTCAGCATACCACAATTGTTCACTACATTTCATATGACTGATATAGTTATGCATGATACATCTTACTATTACATGTCCATTTAATTTTTAATTTTTTTTTAAAAAATCATTATCTTTCTCATTATTATCATTATTTCTGATTGCGCATTTCTTCCAGCACTATTAACTATTACACATTCCGAATTATGAATTTAATTTAAATTAATTGCAATAATTGATATCAATTTCTACAAATCAAATATTATTGTATTATATATGTATATGAGCATATAAAAATATTGAATCCATTTTTTTTTCTTTCACACAAATTACTTTTTGAATACCTTTTCAAATTCCAAAGATCATTTTCATAGCTAAATATTCTTTTTGAATCCCCCTGGCAAACTTTTAAGTTTCATTCAAATCAAAAATTTTTTGTTTCAATTTATTGAAATTTTCAAACAATATTTGCAATTTAAGTAATCTCCATGTCCAAGAGGGTGATTCATAGGTTTTCCAAAGAAGAAGACAACATGATTATCGACGAAGTTAAAAAACATGATGATAATATCAAATGGGCAATTGACATGCTTGTGAATAAACTTAAGGAAAATCACTCGAGGAGAGCAATTCTTGAACGATTCAAAAGTTTCCTAAGCCAAAGTAGAGGCGAATGGACAACTGAAGAAGATAAACGGATTTTAGAGTATCATAATAAGTTTGGCAATAGGTGGTCTCTTATTTCTAAATACTTCAAGAATAGGTCTGGTGATCAAATTAAGATTCGTTACAATCAATTGACAAAGAAAAATGAGTCAAGTACGGTAATTGAAAACCAAAATATTGAGAATAATACTATACCAAGCTGTGATAATAGTATTTGGGAAGAACTATTCGAAATGGAAGAAGAACAGATTGAAAAGATGTTTGCATGATTAAATGAAAATTTTCATTATCTCAGGAATATTTATATATCACATTATGCTCATATACATATACATATATAATACAATAGTATTTGATTTGTAGAAATTGATATCAATTATTGCAATCGAAGTTTAAATATCAATTCTTAATTAAATTTCTAAAATATTGAGTATCAGAATTCGGAATGTGTAATAGTTAATAGTGCTGGAAGAAATGCGCAATCAGAAATAATGATAATAATGAGAAAGATAATGATTTTTTAAAAAAAAATTAAAAATTAAATGGACATGTAATAGTAAGATGTATCATGCATAACTATATCAGTCATATGAAATGTAGTGAACAATTGTGGTATGCTGAAGAAAAAAATGAAATAAATTCAAGTCCGATTAAAAGTTGCTTGTTATATTAAGCAATGAAATTCTATTGTGATTTAAAGCATAATTTGTATGCTATATCAAGCAATATTATGTTTCTTGTTTTCTTAATTAAATTTCTAAAATGAAATTTATTTTGTATCTTGAAGTTGACAATATATATGTGATATCTCTCTTCTTTTGTATGCAGCAATAGTGAAAATCTCTTAAAAATGTTATATCTTGTCTGAAAATTTCGAGTGGGAAAAACATATCGAATTTTCTGAGTTTTTCTGAAGATGAAATAACTTATTGAAAAAAATAGTCAGCATTATTCATTTTACTTTTTGAACTGCATTCAAAAAGCAAATAGAACTATATATCGATCATATTGCATTATGGTTATAATGTAAAAAATATCGTCTGAAAAATCTTTTACCAAAAAATTTCTCGGCAAGTTCCACTCACAATTGATAGTTTTTTTTGATACACATGTATAAGACAATATTGTTAACACATGTATAAGATGCATATTACATAAATTATATGACTTTTCGATTCATCATTCGAAATTCGAGTTCATTGTCAAAAATTTAAAAAAAATTCTTAACTCCGTCTCCTCTTATGAGTCTCACTTAAACATTAATGATAGAGGTTCCATCTAATTGCTCTTCAAGCAGTCTATGAAATAATGTAATATTTCTAGGAAATTTCTGCTAAATGACTTCTAATTTAATCTACCATGGCATATAGAAATATCTTAGAAGCCCGTGTTCAAATATATTATCATTCGGTTGTTTAATAATAAATGTCTTATTGTGAGCCAAAGCTTATTCGGAATTAAAAAAGAAAAATTCATTAAACAAAAATAAATATCAAAAGAATTTATTTTTATTTTTCAAAGAAATTCGAAACTAATTTTATTTGTTTCTGACAATTTAGTAAGTAAATTACTAACTGTGTCGTCTTCGTTTAACAAATATAAAAGTTTCGTGAGTAAAGTTCGAATTGGAAGTTCTCGTGTTTTATCGATCATTGATAAATACTCTGATTTAGAGGATTTTGCTCGTTTGGTTTCGTATTTATTGATCATATCAACAAGATTTAAGAATGTGTTAAGATATCCTGGACAACCATGACATTCCATCGAACTAAACTTGAAATTATCAAAAATGATGTGTTCGTATGTTATTTGTTGATTAAAAATGTCTCTAAATACAATTTTAATTGTTTTCTCTTCTGTTTGAATTAATTCATCCAAAACGATTTAACATAATGATATTTTTCCTAATTTAATAGCTCTGAGAGAAGATGGTAATGAACCTAATGGTAACTTTGTATAATATTGAAGCACTGATGATCCAATATATTTTATTGTGTCTTGATGTGAAATTTGAGCTAGCTTTTCACATTTTTGAAATGGAGATTCACCAATTTCATTCAACTTAGTAGGAAGTTTGATTCGAGATTAATTCAATATGTATAGAAGATATTTTTAATAAATACACATAAAATTATTCAAAATTATTATATATAGATATCTTTAATAAATACATACAAAAATATTCATAATTATGAATTAGATAAAAATAGAAGATTGAAAAGAATTCATCCAAAATCATCATTAACTAATTTTTCCAATAGCATTTTTCCTTCAATTCTCTTTTGGGACTGACGAATTATATGATTTCTTATGAATAAAATAATCATAGCTATAACTATAATAGCACAGCCTATACTAATCAAAACAATATAAACTGGTTTGAGTTTCAATGTTTGAGATGGAATATTAGGACATTTTGCATCTCGTTTGGCTGGGACACCTCCAATTGATTTCGATGGATAGTGTTTATAAACTGAAAGATTTTGGGTTTGTTATCAACAAAGAAATTGCCTTCGACAATTTGATTACCACAGTATAAGAAGTTGTTGATGTGACTATGAGAAAATGAGTTGTCTGAAATCTGATGAATGTTGCCCGTGATGTTGATGTTCAAATTTGTTGAATTAACGAAATTGTCGTTGATAATTGAGTCACCATGTTCTGTAATGATAGAAACATGTTCAATATGATTAAATTCTGAAATTGTTGGATATTCTTTGAAATATGATGAAAATGTGATAGATTTAACTGATTGATGAAGAATCTTTTGTTCAAATATATCTTTGTTTTCATTTTTAATGATAAGATTTTCAATATTATAGTCTTCATCAAAAACACTTTGATCAATAGAACAATTGGAATTAATAACAATTTCTTTCAATAGTGTGCAATTAGAGAATAAAATATTTCCTAATTTTTTGAGATTTTTAGGTAAATTGATCTTCGTCAATGATGTACATCCCAAGAAAGAACCTTCATTTATTTCTTTTAAGCTTTCTGGAAGCAATAGTTTGGTTAATGAAGAGCAAAATGAAAATGCATATGCATCAATAAATATCAGTGAGTGGGAGAATGAGACAGAATTTAATGAAGAACAATATTTGAAAGCGCCTTCTCCTATTATTAATAAATTAGCTGAATTTATGAGCACAATTTCTTTCATTTCTACACAATTGGAGAATGAATAGCTTGCAAGCTTTGAAAGGCTGTTTGGAAGAGTGATCTTTGTTAATGATCTGCAATCAAGGAATGATCTGTCCCAAATCTCAGTCATGTCATTTGGAAATGTGAAATCTGCTAAGTTGTAACATGAAGCAAAAGCAAAGTTTTTAATAACGCGAAGTGAATTTGGTAATGATATTGATTTCAAAGAATAGCAATTCTGAAAAGATGATATTTCGATTGATTTAATGAGAGTTGATTGCATGGTAATCGATTGAAACGATTGGCAATTAAAGAAGCAATAATCAGAAATCACAGTGATCGAGCTTGGTAATTTAATTTCTCGAAGATTAGTGCAATTATAAAAAGCTTTTGGAGCTATTTTTTGCACAGAATCAGGAATATCAACAGTTATAAGCCTAATGCAATTTTGAAAAGCCATTTGTTGAATTTCAGAAAGAGCCTTTGGAAGTATGATTTCTCGTAAATTATAAATGTCGTAAAATAGCTGTTCGAAAATGATTGTTAGGTTATTTGACATGGTAACTTTCTCTAATGATTCAAATTGTCGATAAAAACTATTGTTTAAGATTATTGAATTAGTTAAAATAGTAATTTCTTTGAGACCTGAGCAGCCAAGCAAAGCTTTTTTCCCAAGTTTTTTCAAAGTTTCTGGAAGTGTTATGCTCTTTAGTGAAGAACAATTTGCAAATGCATAATCAATAATAGTATCTAAATTGTTTGATAAATGAATTTCAGCTAAATTTGAGCATCCCCAGAAAGCAGTAGTTCCTATTGTTTTAACAGTATCTGGAATATAAATTGATTTCAATGAAGCGCAAAATGCAAATGTAGACTCTTCAATTTCCTTAATTTGCGAAGGAAGTTCAACGTCTGATAGCTTAATGCACGTAACAAATGCATCATGGCCAATATTTGTGCGTGGATTTAAAAATTTTATTCTTTCAAGATTAATGCAGTTAGTAAAAGAGTTAGGATTAATTATTTCTAAATTCTTTGGAAATTCAATGCCGCTTATACTAGAGCAATTTAAAAACGCTTCCTCTATTATATATGTTAATGAAGATGGTAGAGAATCAAAATTTAAATTTGTGCAATAAGAAAATGCTCTTTGATCAATTAATTCAATTGAATTTGGTAATGATATTTTTCCTAATTTGACGCAATTATTAAATGCAGATTTGCCGATTTTTTTCAATCTGGTAGGAAGTTGTATTGACTCGAGATTTATGCAATTTTGAAATGATTCATCTGATATAACTGTATTTTCTGAAAGAAATGTGACTGTTTTTAAGCTTGTACAAAATGAAAATGAATTTTGATAAATTGTTTGTAAGTTTATCGGTAATTCAAGACTTTCTAAATTTGTGCATCCAGAAAATGAGTTTTCTCCAATAGAAATTAATGAATTTGGAAAGGAAATTTCTGTAAAGTTATGAATATTAGTGAACTGATTCGGATCTATTTGAGTTGTACCATCGGAAATGATAAGTGTGTCAGAATTCGAAGTATCAAATATTTTACGTATTAAAAGAAGGTTAATTAAGGGTGCACACGAGAGGATCATGTAAACTTCAGAATTTAGAACCTTATTTTTAGGCATTATCTTTGCTACCTATTTAGGCTCGAAAAGCAAAAAATATCAAAAAATACAACTTGAGTCCATTATGACCCTTTCATGGAGGTAGTTTTTATCCGCTAGTATTTTCCCAATCTTCAATTCGAAATCAAATTCAAAACTCAGTAGAAGAAAGGAAGAATCGACTTACTACGGTTGTAATACGAATAAATACATATATTTAATTATTTTTATTTACATAATAATTGTTTGAAGCTCATATTCCATCAAATTTTTAAATAAAAACATTAAAATGTTGAAAATGTTCATATATTTTAATAGGGTTTTGGCACTTTATTGAGGAATTACTACATACATAGTCGAACTGAACTTGATATTTTGAAATTTAAATTATTTATCAAAATTAAAATTTAACTTGAAATTTATAATTATTTAGTCATATTTTGCATAATTCTAAGTAGATTTTGTAAAAAATCAAGAAAGAAAAATTTTAACGTGCTTTATTTTTTCTTTTTTATAATAATACATATTATTATATAATTAACATATTCATAATGTTTCACCCTTTCAAAAATATAATCCTCCTCCTCTCAAATAAACGTACATACGGGTGGCCTCTTTTTTCAAAAAATTAAAATTTGAAATTTTGGGCTCAAATATTAGAGATTTTTTCAACCTTCAACGATATGTTGTCTATATCAGACCTCCTTTCTTTTTGATACTTAACATTGTTCCTAAATCTTAGCCGTTAAGGCTGTTCTGAAAATATTTTTTTTCGAAAAAAATTCGAAAAAATTCTTAAAATTCAAAATCCCTTAATTCCTGAGGATTTTGGAAAAAAGTTTTTACATGAACATGTGTATATTATATGAAGTATATTGATAAGGTAAAAATCAAATTTTATTGCATATTCATCGAGAAAATAAACTAACGAATCCCTCAAAATTGAGAGGGTAATCCTCCTCCTCTCAAATAAACGTACATACGGGTGCACCCTTAAAAGCATAAAAGTTCTCAAAAAAATGGAAAATCTGACATTTGTAAAGTTTTTAAATAAATGAGGTGATAAAATTTTACGATTTCGGAATAATTAACTTGACTCAAATTTTGAGAGACAGTTGGTAAGACTAGAATTTCAAGTTCACAAAAAATTTCGGAATTGTGAATTACATTAAAAGAATCTTTTTAAATTTTTACTATTGCATATACTTTTTACGGGCGCTTTAATACCCAAAAAGTATATAAAAGTGGAATTGTCTTAATTTTGATTATTTTTGCCTATAATGCCGAAAAACATTTGAATCAAAAAATAATTGAGATATAAGTAATTTCTATTTTTAAGGGTCCACTGTAAAAATTGAAAGTCTCTCAAAATTGAGAGGCGATTTGCAAATAATCGTTATCGTCATTTTTCGAAAATCCACTTTTCCTAGTGTTCTGATTAATATTATGTGAATACAACAATGAAGCATATGTTTCAATAAGATGGTAATATATTCTATCACTTCAAATCTCATAAAAATTGCAAAATCAGTGAGTTTTATAAGAACATGATTTTTTCGAATTTTTTCGCTTTTGGATGCGTGTTTTGAAAAATAGATATTTTCGAATTTTAATTTTATCTTAAGTATAAGTTTTATATTAGGAATTTTTTTGACCTATTTCCAATCATTAATTCCAATGTTTTTCAAGGAATTTAATTGAGAAGAAATTAGGAATTTCGCTTTAATGCCATTACAAACTAATATTATGATGCATAATATATATATTTATTGAGGCTAATGCCGGGATATCTTGCATTTAAAAAAAATTCAAAGAATTGACAATTGGATAGCACAAATTTAATTCCCTGGACAAAGTATTATTGTTTATATATTCAAACCATTATCCTTAGTTTTGAAATGTTGGCCAAAAATTTTCGTGTTATTTTTTGTGTTTCAGCATAAATTATGTATTTACTTATGAAAAATAAGCATTTTATTCATTATCATAAAGATATACCATAACAATTGATAAAATTTTTTTAAAAAAAATTGTGTATTTTAGTGGGTATTATTCTGGATAATGCCAATTTTTACAAGATTTAATATTAACCATATCAATAGCCGACTCAATGTAAAAATTTAGATATTATTTTTTCATTAATCAAACTTTGATAAATTTTAGTATAATGAACGATTTTGTTTCGTGTATGATACAGAAATGAAAAGCTTAATTAATATCATTTTGCATTTTTTAAAGGATGTTAGAGTACATCTACATTAAAAAATCAGATTTGAACTGCGATACTGCATCAAATTGATGCATATCTGATAAGGATCTCAAAAGAGTAAAGTTAATTTTTTTGTGTTTTTTTAAGTTTTGGGCCTTAGTAAAACACCATCTCGAGCAATATTTTTGGGACGACGATAGGCCTTATTTGGCCTTACAGTGGACCCTTAAATGGAAATACATATAAATAGAAAACTGAAAAGAAATCACCCGAAATCTTCACTAACTAATTTTTCCAATAGCATTTTCCCTTCAATTCTCTTTTGGGACTTTCGAACTATATGATTTCTTATTAATAAAATAATTATAGCTATACTTATAATAGCACAGCCTATAGCAATCAGAACAACATAGCGTGTTTTGAGTTTTCCTTTTTCATATGGAATGTTGGGACATTCTGCATTTCGTTTAGCATCAGCACCACCAAATTTACTTTTTGGATAGTGTTTATAAACTGAAAGATTTTTGGGTTTGTTATCAACAAAGAAATTGCCTTCGACAATTTGATTACCACAGTATAAAAAGTTGTTGATATGACTATGAGAAAATGAGTTGTCTGAAATCTGATGAATGTTGCCTGTGATGTTGATGTTCAGATTTGTTGAATTAACGAAATTGTCGTTGATAATTGAGTCACCATGTTCTGTAATGAAAGAAACATGTTCAATATGATTAAAATCTAAAATTGTTGGATATTCTTTGAAATATGATGAAAATGTGATAGATTTAACTGATTGATGAAGAATCTTTTGTTCAAATATATCTTTGTTTTCGTTTTTAATAATAATATTTTCAATATTATAGTCTTCATCAAACACACTTTGATCAATAGAACAATTTGAATTAATAACAATTTCTCTTAATGATTTACAATTAGAAAATGAATAGTTTCCTAAAGAAATCAAGTTCATCGGAAGTGATATAACACGCAATGATGTGCAACCAAAGAATGATTTTTCACTAATTTCCACAAGACTATCTGGTAATGAAATCTCTGTTAAACTCGAACAATCCATAAATGCTAATGGTTTGATCGAATTCAAAAGATTTGGGAAATTAACTATTTTCAATGAATGACAATTCTGAAATGATGAATTTCCTATCACGAATTGGTTATTTACATTCATAACAATCTTTTCAAGAGATTCGCATGCATAGAAACATTGATCTGGGATAATTTTTACTTCAATAGGAATTGTAACGCTTTTGAGTTTAGAACAATTATAAAAAGCTTTAGAATGAATTTCTAACACTGACTCAGGAATTTCTATATTTTCAAGACTAGTGCAATTTTCAAAAGCTGATTCTTGGATTTGAATAACTTTATTTGGGATTTTAAAATCTCGCAAATTTGTGGAACCGGCAAATAATAGTTTACTTATTATTTTTAGTTCGCTTGGAAGAGTAACAGATTCTAATGATTCAAGTCCATGGAAGTTGATAGTGCTTAAGTTTGTTGATTTGCCTAAAAATATAATACTTTTGAGATTCTTACAATCATCTAATGCATGTTCTTCAATAATGACCAAACTCTCTGGAAATCTGATTTTTCTAATGAAGAACAGTTTGTGAATGCGTATTTTTCGGTTTTATTGAGACCCTTTGGAAGATTAATGTCGATCAAATTAATACAATCTCGAAAAGCTCCTTGTCCAATTTGATAAACTGATTCTGGAATATAAATCGATTTCAATGAAATATCTTCTTTAAATGTGAATTCATTAATTACTTTAAGATTTGAAGGGAGTTTAACTTCAAATAGTTTATGACACATCGAAAATGCATTGTGTTCTATTGTAGTATATAAAAACTCTATTCTTTCTAAAAGAGCGCAATTTGCAAAACAGCATTTACCAACCGAAACTAAGCATGTTGGAAAAGTTAAATTGGTTATACTGTTACATTCCTGGAACGCTTCTTCACGAATAATTTTAATGCCTTCTGGAAATGAATCAAATGTTAATTTGAAACAATGATAAAATGCTTGCTTTCTTATATGTTGTAATGTATCTGGGAAAGAAACTTTACCGAGATTAATGCACATGGAAAAAGCGTTTTCGCCAATCATATTCAATGATGAAGGAAATTGAACAGTTTTGAGACTTGTACAATTCTGAAATGATCTATCGGCAATTTCGACATTTTTTGATTGAAATTTTACACTTTTCAAATTTTCACAGTACGCAAAAGATTCCCATGAAATGGTTACTAGTTTTTCTGGTATTTCAAGGCTTTCAATACTATAACAATACTTAAACGCATCATTTCTAATCTCGATTAGAGATTTTGGTAATGAATCAAAAGTTAATTTTGAGCAATTAAAAAATGCATATGATCCAATTTGACTAATTGTATTTGGAAAAGATATATGACCTAGGTTTTCGCAATTGTAAAATGTATAGTCAGCAATTTCTGAAATCGAAGAAGGAAAAATTATCGTTTCAAGATTATAACAGTTGTAGAACGAATGGTCTAAAATAGTTGTAATAGTTGAACTAAATGTGACTACTTTTAAGCTTGTACAAAGCGCAAATGAATACTTTGAAATAACTTCTATGTTTGGAGGTAATTCAAGGCTTTGTAAACTTGTACAGTTATAAAATGAATTCTTACCAATGGATTTTAACGATTTTGGAAAAGTTATTGCTATGAAATCATCCCGATTTGCAAATTGGTCGTAATTTATTTGAGATGTTCCATCTGGAATGATCAGGGTATCTGCATTTGAGGTCCGGTAATCCGTTAATATGAAAATAATGAAATTAATAAGCATGTTTTTTTGGGAAATCCTTTGATAAATAAATCCGATGACTTCTCTCAAAATATTCTATGAGTTATTCTCAAATGTTTTGAATTCAACACATACAAGTTTTTGATAAAATAATTTGTCAAAAATCTTATGAATTTTCCGGTGATTTTTCCAATGATGCTGATGTTCAAATTTCCTGAACTCGTCAGTGTGTCCTGCAATGAGAGAATCATGTTCAACATTGAAAAAGTCTGAAATTACCAATATTAGATATTCTTGAAATATAAATTAAATATGATAAATTTAACTGATTGATGAAGAATCCCATGTTCAAATATATTTTCATTCGTTTTTTTAATAATAACTGTCTCAATCATATCTTCGATTTCGGTTAATATATCCGAATTAAAAACAATTGTGGACCAAAGTTTATTCCGAATTAAAAAAGAAAAATTCATTAAACAAAAATAAATATCAGCAGAATTTATTTATATTTTTCAAAGAAATTCGAACCTAATTTTATTTATTTCTGACAACTTAGTGAGTAGATTACTAAATGTGTCGTCTTCGTTTAACAAATATAAAAGATTTGTGAGTAATGTTCGAATTGGAAGTTCTCGTGATTTATCAATCATTGATAAATACTCTGATTTAGAAGATTCTGCTCGTTTGGTTTCGTATTTATTGATCATATCAACAAGATTTAAAAATGTATTAAGATATCCTGAAATATCCATGACATTCGGTTGAACTAAACTTGAAAATATCTGAAATGATGTGTTCGTATGTTATCTGCTGATTAAAAATATCTCTATATAAAATTTATTTGTTTTCTCATATGTTTGAATTAATGCTCCGGTCCCACTCTCTCAATTTTAAAAATAGAATATATCTGTAAATAAGAGTTTTTCTTGACTTATAATTAAAGTCATTATATTAGTGCAATATAAGCTATAATATTATATCAAGATGAATGGCGTTGCATTGCCAGAAAACTCTTATTGACAGTAATATTCATGTTTAAAAATTGAAAGGGTGGAACTGGAGCCTTAATATCTCTAATAATTAATTATTGAGACTTTCCCCAATTTAATAGCTCTGAGAAAAGATCGTAATGAGCCTAATGTTAACTTTGTATAATATTGAAACACAGTTGATCCAATATTTTTGATAGTGGTTGATAGTGGAATTTGATCTAGTTTTACGCAATTTTGAAATGTTGATTCGCCAATTTCATTCAATCTTGTAAAGAGTATAGAAGAAATTTTTAATAAATACATACAAAAATATTCAGAATTATGAATTAGATAAAAATAGAAAATTGAAAAGAAATCACCCGAAATCTTCATTAACTAATTTTTGCAATAGCTCTTTTCCTTCAATTCTCTTTTGGGATTGACGAATTATATGGTTTCTTATGAATAAAATAATAATAGCTGTAACTATAATAGCACAGCCTATACTAATCAATACTATATAAACTGGTTTGAGTTTCAATGTTTGAGATTGAATATTAGGACATTCTACATCTCGTTTGGCTGGGGCACCACCAATTGATGTGGATGGATAGTGTTTATAAACTGAAATATTGTTATATGATTGAGAATTAGAAAGGAATTTACCTTCGACAATTTGATTACCACAGTATAAAAAGTTGTTGATATGACTATGAGAAAATGAGTTGTCTGAAATCTGATGAATGTTGCCTGTGATGTTGATGTTCAGATTTGTTGAATTAACGAAATTGTCGTTGATAATTGAGTCACCATGTTCTGTAATGAAAGAAACATGTTCAATATGATTAAAATCTAAAATTGTTGGATATTCTTTGAAATATGATGAAAATGTGATAGATTTAACTGATTGATGAAGAATCTTTTGTTCAAATATATCTTTGTTTTCGTTTTTAATAATAATATTTTCAATATTATAGTCTTCATCAAACACACTTTGATCAATAGAACAATTTGAATTAATAACAATTTCTCTTAATGATTTACAATTAGAAAATGAATAGTTTCCTAAAGAAATCAAGTTCATCGGAAGTGATATAACACGCAATGATGTGCAACCAAAGAATGATTTTTCACTAATTTCCACAAGACTATCTGGTAATGAAATCTCTGTTAAACTCGAACAATCCATAAATGCAAATGGTTTGATCGAATTCAGACAATTTGGATAGATGATGATCTTTAATGAATGACAATTCTGAAATGATGAATTTCCTATCACGAATTGGTTATTTACATTCATAACAATCTTTTCAAGAGATTCGCATGCATAGAAACATTGATCTGGGATAATTTTTACTTCAATAGGAATTGTAACGCTTTTGAGTTTAGAACAATTATAAAAAGCTTTAGAATGAATTTCTAACACTGACTCAGGAATTTCTATATTTTCAAGACTAGTGCAATTTTCAAAAGCTGATTCTTGGATTTGAATAACTTTATTTGGGATTTTAAAATCTCGCAAATTTGTGGAACCGGCAAATAATAGTTTACTTATTATTTTTAGTTTGCTTGGAAGAGTAACAGATTCTAATGATTCAAGTCCATGGAAGTTGATAGTGCTTAAGTTTGTTGATTTGCCTAAAAATATAATACTTTTGAGATTCTTACAATCATCTAATGCATGTTCTTCAATAATGACCAAACTCTCTGGAAATCTGATTTTTCTAATGAAGAACAGTTTGTGAATGCGTATTTTTCGGTTTTATTGAGACCCTTTGGAAGATTAATGTCGATCAAATTAATACAATCTCGAAAAGCTCCTTGTCCAATTTGATAAACTGATTCTGGAATATAAATCGATTTCAATGAAATATCTTCTTTAAATGTGAATTCATTAATTACTTTAAGATTTGAAGGGAGTTTAACTTCAAATAGTTTATGACACATCGAAAATGCATTGTGTTCTATTGTAGTATATAAAAACTCTATTCTTTCTAAAAGAGCGCAATTTGCAAAACAGTATTTACCAACCGAAACTAAGCATGTTGGAAAAGTTAAATTGGTTATTTTGTTACAATTACAAAATGATCCTTCATGTATAAATTTAAGGTCTGTTGGTAATGAATCAAATGTTAATTTATGGCAATTGTAAAATGCATAGCTTTGTATTTTCTGTATTGTATCTGGGAGTGATATTTTACCGAGATCAACGCACTCGTAAAAAGCGTATATGTCAATCGCTTTCAAAGATGAAGATAGTTGAATTGTTTCAAGATGTTTACAATATATAAATAAATGATTAGGAATTTCGAATTTTCTGGATTTGAATATTACTCTTTTCAATTTTTTACAGTATGCAAATGATTGATCTGAAATATTTATTAGTTTTTCTGGAATTTCAATGCTTTCAATACTATTACATGATTGAAATGCACAAGATTCAATCACCAATAATGATGCTGGTAAAGAATCAAACGTTAGCTTTGAACAATCAAAAAATGCTTCAGCTCCGATTTGACTAATTGTATTTGGAAAAGTTATATGACCTAGATTTATACAATTGAAAAAAGTGTAATTTTTTATTTCTGAAATCGAAGAAGGAAAAGTTATTGTTTCAAGATTGGTACACTTATAGAACGAATATTCTGAAATAGTTGTATGTGTTGAACGAAATGTAACTACTTTTAAATTAGTGCAAAATTCAAATGAATGTTCTGAAATAATTTCTAAGTTTGGAGGTAAGTCAAGGCTTTGCAAACTTGTACAGTTATAAAATGAATAATCACCAATGGATTTTAACGATTTTGGAAAAGTAATTGCTATGAAATCTCCCCTATTAGCAAATTGACTGTAATTTATCTGAATGGTTCCATCTGGAATGATAAGAGTATCTGCTTCTGAGGAATAATAAGCTATTTTAATGAAAATAATGAAATTTAAAAGCATTTTTCGGAGTGTAATCTGAAGCGGTTTTATCGTTTTCCAAATTTTGAATAGTATTTAAAATTTTGATCAAACTCTGAAAAAAAAATCCACCAAAAATTCCAAATCCCAACGGAGGTGTAATTACATGTGCTTGCGAAGGACATCGATTTTATCCGAAGATATAATTATGGAAATTCCTGAAGAATTATTTGACAAATGCGTAGAGAGATTGAGAAGATACTTGCGATATATGTGATAAAGGTTCTGGTCGATCATTGAGATTTTTCAAGCCCAAACTATAGATTAAACATAATTAAATTCCTAATTCGATAATTGTATAACTCATAATACAACATTTACGAGCCAAATCTTACTTGAAATTAAAAAATAAAGATTCACTAAATAAAAATAAATAACAAAAGAGTTTATTTGTATTTTTCAAAGAAGTTCAAACCTAATTTTATTTGTTTCTGACAATTTAGTAAGTAAATTAGTGAATGTGTCGTCTTCGTTTAACAAATATAAAAGATTTGTGAGTAATGTTCGAATTGGAAGTTCTCGTGATTTATCAATCATTGATAAATACTCTGATTTAGAAGATTCTGCTCGTGCTGTTTCGTATTTGTTGATCATATCAACAAGATTTAAGAATGTGTTAAGATAACCTGGACATCCGTGACATTCGGTTGAACTAAACTTGAAAATATCTGAAATGATGTGTTCGTATGTTATCTGTTGATTAAAAATATCCCTAAATACAATTTTAATTGTTTTCTCATCTGTTTGAATTAAATCACTGGTTTGGATATCAATTGCAGGCAAACTAAAATCATCTTCATTTGCAATGATATATGATATGTTTTGGAGTGAATCTCTGAATATTTCATCAACTTTGACAGTTTTCAAATAATCAGGGAATTTAGAAATTTTAGATAATTCGACTTGTGTTTGGCTTATTGAGTCTATCACTAGCAATGGATTCAAGTTAAATGCTTTTGCAATGGAAATCGGTAATTTTATTGTCTCTGTTAAGAAATCTAGTAATCCATCTCTATGATGATAGGATGAATATAGATGTTTTAATGTTTTGTTGAGCAATGATGCATTCAGATTTGGAATAGATTCCATTTCTTGAGAAATTGTTGGAATTGTTGGTGAATCCAAAATTCCATAAATTATATCTTTGAATTCCTCATAGTAAGGCATCATTGGGATAACACAATACTCCATGGAATATAGTACTGAATTGGCAATCCATATAAATATTGATGCAGGATTACTAAAATCTGGATTATTGCAATTTAAGGGAACAAAAAGTATTGAATCTGGTGTATTAGATAATTGAACTTTTCTGTATACGTTCATAGCAGCTTCCTTTAACATTGATGTTTTTCCTGAGAAATGTTTTCCTGTGAATACAATTTGAATATCTTTAAACTGCATTTCTTTCGTAGACGATATGGCAACACTAATTAATTTCTCGTTTACAGATTTATTTGTAATGCTGTTTCTTATTTTTTCATATAATAAATGTTCATTCAATAATTTGAGTTGATGGCTTTGAAGTTGCTTGATTAGTAGCTCAGATTCTGGAATATTGTATCTATTTTCGAATGGAAGCGATGATAATACAATTAAGTATGGCATAATTTTAAGATCATCAGGTAATCTCTTTTCTTCTTTGGTTGGTTTTGATTTTGCTCTTGCCTCAGCTTCCTTGCTTGCTATTACAGATGCTTCTGCTGTTAATTTTTCTGCGCGTTCTCTTAGGAAATCGGCAAAAGGTGAAAATTCTTCTTGCTTTTCTTCCTCTTCCTGTACATTAACTTCTTTAGATAATGAAATTTTTGGAGAAACTGGTTTTGGTGGTGGTATTGTTTTGAAAAATTCTTCCCCACATGATACATAAATTTTCGATTTTCGTATAACTTCTTCATTCGATGTGATTTTTGTTCCATATTCAGAATATAGTATTGTTGGATTATCAGTGAGTTGTAATAATAGTATTGAATCTGAAAATACTTTATTTATTGTTGTGAATTCGTAATTTTTTATGAACATTTTAGGATTGGAGTTTCTAACCAACGTAACTTTAATTCCATTAGATTTTTTAGTTGGAATTTTAGATGGGGAAGCTTGTACTGCTTTCAATCTTCTTGGGGATAAAGGTATTTTGCTCTGCATAATTTATGCACGTTTAAAAATTATTTTATATAGAAAATGAAAATGCCTGTGAATATTTATATGTCATCCATTAGAGATATAGTTTTTAAAACTTAAAATGTCTAGAAACTTGGCATATTAATCAAACATGATTGAAAATTGATTAAACTAAACAGCGTTAGTGCACATTAGAGAGTTATTGGAAGTCTATTAAAAATTTGGCTATTCAAAGGATTATTTCTACTTTTTTTGAATCGAAAAAATAATTCATAATGAAAAAGAATTTTGTAATGGGTAACCAAAAAAAGCTCTTTGTCTGGTTTGTAGAAATGTTTAACTGATTATGAATTTCAATAAAAAAATTCTAAAAAATTTCAAATAAGAAAAAAAATGTTATGATTTTATGAAACATCTCTAAAAACGGATAGTGAGATTTACTTGCACTTCTCGATGGCAGCAAGAGCGAGCTTTCTGCCTAATTCCTCGCACTTGGCAAGGTCAGCTTCCTTTGGATTCCAGTGAGCCATGACTGGTTCAGCGACTTCTGGGATCTTGCATGGCTTGACGATGGCGTTGCGGAGCTCGTTTGGAACGATCTTCTCCTGCCAGCCGAATGTGCCGAAGAGACCTACTGGCTTATCATGGATGCCAAGGCAGCGGAGGTAGTTAAGGTGCATAGCGATATCTGGAAGGATGCATTCGTGAAGTGTGGATGAGCCAAATGCGACAGCAGCAGAATCCATAACTTCTGTAGCAGAGCGTGTGATGTGTGTCTTACGGGCGTTCATCATGATGCACTCAAGCTTCTCCTTGCAAATACCAGAAGCGACGGCCTCGGCCATCTTCTCAGTGCCGTACCAGTTGCAGTCATAGATGACGGAAACCTTTGGATTTGGCTTGTATGTGGCCCATTGTGTGTAGAGCTTGATGGCCTGCTCGAGATCTTCCTTGCGGCGGAAGCCAACACCGTGAGCTGGGAGGACAATGTCAAGTCCTGGGAGCTTGGAGGCTGTAGCAAGAGCCTTAAGAACTGGCTTGCCAAGGCGCTGAAGAATGTTAGCGTAGTATGACTTGATTTCTGTGAGGAAGAGGCCCTGATCGACTTCATCGACGAAACGCTTGTTGGAAGCGATGTGCTGGCCGAAGCAGTCGGATGAGAAGAGAATCTTCTGAGCTGGAAGATATGTAACAGCTGACTCTGGCCAGTGAGCCATTGGAACGCCAGCCATGACGGCAACGCGATCACCAAGGTTGATCTTTTCGCCAAGCTTGACAATCTTAACGTTCCACTTGGAAACATCGTAGAATCTGGCCATTGTGTTGTAGCATTGCTTTGTCATAACAACCTCAATGTGTGGGGCTTCCTTGACAAGCATGGCTGTGCCAGAGGAGTGATCTGGTTCAGCGTGCTGAACGATGATTCTCTTGATGCCCTTAAGATCATCACCACCGATTGATTTAAGGCGATCAATCCATGCATGGGCCATTGTGTATTTAACTGCATCAACAATTGTTGGCTCAGATGATTGAATTAAGTAAGAGTTGTAAGATGTGCCAACTGGGGATTGCATTGAGTGGAATTCACGAAGATCCCAGTCATTGACACCGATCCAGAGAACATCATCGGCAACCTTTGTGACACCTAAGTCAAGAGCAGAGAATGAGCGAGCGCTAGAAGTGCTGAGCATTTGTGATTTGAGGTAACCCACAAAAATGGTAAAAATTCAGAGCTTAGCGGGCTCATATAATTTTGAAAAATTCGGCGGTTTAGTACTTAATATATGATCGTCAAGTTGGCCATATGTTTCAATATTACATATCATGGATGAGAGTGCGAAAACGAAGTTTTCAGCATTTCAATATTTAATAACCGAACCGAACATACACTCAGAATTATATGAAAATTCGATATATATCCGCCACTCAGTATTATACTATTATTGAGAGCGATTTATTCTGAATTCACTTAGGAGAAATATTTTGATAAGAACTTTCATGAAATTATCTTTAAAAATTCAATTAGATGATTCATTTAAACAATCTTATTTCCGGAATATTCGATTGATAAGACTCATCTGAAAAAATTAAATTAAAAATATAAATTGAGCAATGAAGTTTTTATTGAAATTTTGTGAGCTCATAAAAACGCTAAATCGAACATCCTATTAAAGGTTTTGCCAGCAAAATGACTTACTCAAGTAGCATCTAAAAACGCTATTTATCCGAGATAAAAGAATAAATTTTACGACATAACCTATCATTTATAGTAAAAATACGAGGATTTAGGAGAATATTCACCTTAAAGAATCGGAGCATGCTTAAAATGTTACTCAATCTATATTTCGAAATTGAAGTTCGAATACGTTTTCTCAGAATTAGGCGATTTCATGCAAGCCGTTTAATTGGAATTATTATCAGTATTTATTTTCGATCAGTTATTTTTGATAATATAATAAATAGAGAATTATCGAGATTGAAAGTAATGATATTTCCAGCCATAAACCTTCTATCAAAGCAATATTTTCTCTGAGCTTTAACTTTATCACTTCATTTAGATAATCTCATGGAAACCGATAATTTTGACGTGATAAAACATGATCATAGGGCAAATTCAACCCATCAATCAGGCGCTTAACTAGTATGATAATATGGTTATTAATCCGAAACTCTCGCAATCCAAAATTTTTATTTTAAAATCACAAATTAAACTGTTCAAGCCGAATAATAAACTTACACTATGTATGGCAAATCCTTAAGATGGGATTTCGTTATGTATTTTTAAAATATAAAAATTATATTACGAATAGTAACTTATACAGATAATATATATAAAAAAGAAAGAAAGAAAAAACTTAAATTAAAATAATTTTTTTATTTTTTACCTTGGACCCATTGTATCAGGTCTCTTTTGTTGAGCTGAGTTATAAGTATTTTGCGGCGCGTACTGTTGCATTTGCTGCTTCAAATGCTGCTGGTAGACCTGTTGATTTTGTTGTTGCTGTGCATATTGTTGTGGATACTGTTGTTGTGCAAATTGTTGTGGATATTGTGGTTGTGAATACTGTTGTTGTGAATATTGTTGTCCTTGTTGTTGTGCATATTGTGATTGTTGTTGTGAATATTGTTGTTGTGCATATTGTGATTGTTGTTGTTGTTGTTGTTGCTGGTACACTTGGTATTGTTGATTTGCTGCTGCTTGAGGATACATCTGTCCTTGTCTTGACTGATTATAATTCTGATATTGACTAGTCTGTGTTGCGTAAGCTGGACTTTGTGCTGGTCTCTGTGTGTAAGGAGTAGCAGATGCATAAGCGGAATTACCTTGTTGTACCTGTGCGGATTTCTGGAATTGTCCACCTGGCATCATCGTTGCATTTGTTGCGTATGCAGGTGGTTGCATTGTAAATCCTCCAGCAGGTTTGTAGTTTGTCGCGTAAGGAGATTGTCCTGTCATTGCAGGGTTCATTGAAGCGAATGCTGCAGTTCCTGTATTCATTCCACCAGGAGATGTTTGTGTTCTTGCATATGCAGGATTAACAGCGCCGCCAACTTGTGTCTGGAACATTCCTGGACGTAATGTATTCGCTGCGTATCCAGGATATTGTGATTGTATTTGTGCCTGTGCTGTTGTTTGTCCTGAAGCAGCTGAACTAGTAGCAGCAGTTCCAGGAGGTGGAAAAGCAGCATATGCTTGTGAGCCAATCTTTGGCACTGCTCCTGGTTGTCCTGCACCTGGAGGCAATGATTTGAGTGTAGTTTGGTTTCCTGCAGTAGGAAATGATTGCAAACCAGGAGTCAATGTTTGTCCTGAATTTGTTCCTTGTTGTAATTTTCCTGAGTTCGTTCCCTTTGAAGGATCATTTGCTTGTGCTTCTTTCTTCTCTTTCGGTGTCATGACCTTGAGATTCTGGCCTTTGACATTAGAGAAGTTATTATCTTGGATACTGTCTTTGTTCATCTCGTAATACTTGTTAACAACAATGATACCATTCGAACAATCAGAAATTTCATTTCCTTTGATTGCGCATTTACCAGAAATGAGCAAAACAGCTTCATTATAAATATGATGGATCTGGTTGTTAATTATCTGTGGAATAAATGATGTATCAGGTGGTAATTCAAGTCTTACACCTGTCTTGCATTTATAGATTTCTGATTCATCGATTGTACAATTACCATCTTTAATGAAAACACCAACTGTTTGATCATTAACCTTGCACTTCTTAATATGTGTTGTAGCTTTCTTATCAACAGCAATTGCAATGCCTGTAATTGAATCTTGGAAAACGCATTCGTTGAGCATACCAATAGCATTGCTAAAAATAACAGATACTTTTCTGTTATTTGAGAATGTGCAGCCATCAAATATTGGTGATGCTTCGTTCTTAGCATCAACACCCATTGATGCTGAAAAGATGTTACATCGTGAGAAGCGAGGTGATGAACCTTTTTGATCTTTTGCATCAATAAGAATTCCTGTGTTACGAACAGCTTCAATTGTACAGTTAGTGAATGAGGAATTACTTGCATTGGTAATTCTGATGCCATCAAGCATGATGATGTAGAACTTGCAGCTGTCGAAACTTGGTGATGAATTGTCAATATCGGCTGAAATGGAACAGTTGGAGAATTCACATGACTTTAATATTGGATGACTGCCATTTGTGATGACTGTACCATACGTGTAGCCATTGAACTTGCAATTCTCAATTATTGGCTCTGATGATGGTTCGAGGATACGAAGAGCAACGAATTTGTTGTTCTTCTGATTGGATGATTTCTCGTGTTGCTCCTTTCCAACGAAATTGCAGTTCTTGATATGTGGCTTTGGACTGCTGATGATGTGGATGCAGTATTCGTTGTTTCCGAGGAAATCGCAATCGGAAATGCAAATTTGGCCGGAAGCAACATTGAATTGAATACTGGTGTTAAGGTTCTGGAATTTGCAGTTTTCTACTGTAGCCGTGGCCTCTCCTTTGAATTGAATGGCCAATTTGACAGCAGTAAATGTAGTTTCCTTGATAATTGAGTTGACTTTGTCGGCTATCGTAATGCATCTAGTGCCAATTTGGTCGAATATACACTGGTTGAGTATTAAATTGGCAGATTCGTGGAAGTAAAGGATATCTGAGCCGCCTTGGACCAAAGAGAAGAATTTTGCTTGGGTTGCTTCTAATGTGGCATAATCGCATGCATGGATGCAGTTCTTGCATTGTCCGGAGAAGAAATCCGACTCGGAAATCATCTTTGATTCGTTTCTGAGATCAATAACGCTGGAATCCGGAGCATCTTCGAATTTGTTCGACTTCGATGATACAACGGATTGGCTTGTAGAAAGAATGCAACATTTATTGGATTTAAATTTGCAATCTTGAATCGTAATAGCAGCGCGCTTGTTGGTATAAATTGCAGCACCAGGCTCCTTATCGGCGACGAGTTTGCTGTTTTCGGATATTTCGCATTGATCAAGTTTGATGAATGTAGAGTTAGAACTAATGACGAGACCACACTTTGAGTGGTTGTAAATTTCTGTTTCGCGGAAAATGGCTGAAGCTGAATTCTGAATGATGACGCCGTCATGAGATGAGGAAATCCTGCATTTATTGAAGAAAGAGGCGGAATTAGAGAACAAACCAATACTGGATTTTAAGCCATTGCTAATCTCTGTGTTGTAGCATTTGGCCATTGCGAAATCTGTAATATTTAAGACGTACTCTTCGGATTCACGAATTGTGCAGTTAAAGAAGCTGGCGCATGCGAGGTTTGAAACTTTGACTGCAGCACCTTTCGATCCGATAATAGTACAACGGAAAATTTTAATATTTCCATCAACAACTTCAACTGTTGGGTAAACTGAAGGTTCTGCTGTCTGGAATGTAATTCCTTGGATCATGCCACCTGGAGCAGCGCATGTAATGGCGTTCATGAGCTTTGGAGCTATAATTTGGACCTTTCCTGCATTTTCTAAACCAATTAAGTTAATTTGGCGTCTGAGCTTGAGGGAAGCAACGTAGTCGCCTGGTGGAATTAAAACTGTATAATTTGTTTTAACCGCGTTAAGAAAATCATTTAAGTTTCCTTTCTCTTTAGAATAAATGACGAATCCTGGAACGTTTTGGATGGCCCTTGCGTAGAGATCATCCAAGTTGAAACCTTGTTCTTGGTAATCTGGGCAGATTGTAGATCTTTCAAATTGACCTTTTAAGTTATCAACATGTGATTTAAGGTTGTCTGTAATACTCTTGATAGCATCTTTATATTGACTTGAATTGATTGTGTATTCGTGATTCCTTTCAGAGTAATCTGGAGAAAGAACGCTTGGAAGGAGCTGCTCTAGCTTATCGAATCTTTCATTTTCTAATTCACGTGTGTTTTCTGGTTCTTTATCGAATGGATATAAGCCAAGTAGAGCTTCGAGGTTTTGGATCTTATCTTCTGCCCCTGTTTGCAAGCTCATTTATAAAAAGTGACAAATCATATCACTTTCGACAAAAAAATATCAAACCGATATATTCATATCATTATAAATCTCACCTAAAAGGTTTGAAGAAAAATAAAATAAATTGATAATTTTGATCAACAAATTTGTTCACCAATGATCTCTTGATAAAGCCATGAATATCATCAATCATCTCAATTCAACTACACATATATTTGTAACTGCAATTATGTAATGACATATATTTATAAGATATCCTAATAATATAGCTTAATAAACTATGAAATCCTAAAAAAAACTAAAAATCTTATAAAGATGGAAAGAATACAAACAATTTATTAAGATTCAATCGATCTTTTGATCTCTATAAATCTTATGAACAAAAATACATGAGGCGAAATAGCCTGATGATCCAGCAATTAAGCTTATTATAACACAGGAAAGGAGAGAGAAAAGAGCATCGTTAACGATTTGGCAAGAAGCCAAATTTTCAGAATAACAAAAAATATAGTATAAGCAGTATAACATTAGATAAAGAAATGAAAACGCAGGAGATATAAATGAAATCCATTGCCATCTATAATCCTCTTCTTGAAGACAATGAAATACTGAAATTATGGAAGTAAAACTACTACTAAAAATAAGATAAATAAGGTATATCAGTACATAATCCCATGAATATATTACTTTCATATTGTTATATGATGATAATAAATAATATAATTCTCCAAATGTTGGAGTTGAAATAACTAGACCACAAACCAAATAATTAAGAATATGATAATTCTTTGTTATTGTTCTTGGGATTTGTGCGATTTCACTTGATTTCTGAAGGAAAAATTTGGTTCTTTCTGCTAATACGTTGCCAACTACTGTTAAAGGAAGTGAAATGATTGAAATGATTAGTAATTTGAAAAACAATGAAATAACTGGAACTCTTCTCGTTGTTCCATAAAAAATTGCAATAATAGATGTTAAAACCAAGTGTAATATAAGTACAAAAGAAGATTGAATCCATCCGAAAGTTGAATGAATGAGCTTATTGTTAATTCCATTCAACCTGAAAGTTAATGTGTTCAAAAATCCAGTTAATGGGCAAGCTAATACAAGACCTATAATATATGCATAAATCATTCCATTTCTTCGGTTGTAAGACTCAAAAATCATGTTATATAAACAAAATAATAGGATTGAAAATCCAAAATGAAATCCGCATGATATCAAATTGCATAATATGATGATAAACTTAGCTGGTCTAAAAACTTCAGCGTGAAGCAATCTCCAGCCAGAGTCATTCGTAGAATCGTATTCGAAGTTATCGAGAGCATTATCATTCCTACGAGATCGTACTGTCAATTTCGTAATAACTATATATATTGCCAATGCAAGTAAAAATAATATAAACATCATATTATATGCTGATAATTTTCGATATCCACTTTTGAAAAATAAGGGTTCTTCGTATTTTTTGTACTTGTTCTTGATATTTGTTGATGTTTCATTCCAAAAAACAGAATATTTGAAAGTGATGCTTTCTTCTATCACTGGATCAACAGGATCAGTCATTAGAACATCTGCATCGATAATATGTGACTCATTTGTATATATTGTGAAGATTAAATTTGTAAAAATTTCGAAGATATCATCCACAAATGTGGAAAAATGTGAATAAACTGGTATATCATCTATGTAAAACTTTGTCCAAAATCCTCTCAAGGAATAATTTCCGATTCGTATATAGTCTTTATATTTCAATTTTGTTGAGCAAAGAATTTGATTTACTTTATTTTCTTGAAATTTGATATCAATACCAAAAGGAACAAGGTAGTCACCATGAATTTTGTCAGTTAATGTACTTTTTGTCTTATTTTTTTTACTCAACGAACAATATGGTAATTTATGCATTGGATAAGATTCTGTGGGATTAAATCTAGGTGCAATTTGAGCAGACAAAAGATCTATGTTATCTCCTTTGGTATATGTCTTAACTGAAAATGAAAGCCATACCAAAGAAAGAAAGTTCATGAAAGAAAATAATGAAATTAAATACAGAATGATTATGCATATGATAGATATGTGGATTGGGATTATAATTTTATGATTTTCAATGCACATAAAATATATAAATTTTTGTTTTTTATTGTATTAAGATAAATCTGTGGAAAATAAAAATGACTTATATAAACAAATAGAATTCTAGATTTAATTTTATATGATTCTTTTCATCTCAAGAAAAAATCTCAAATAAATAAATATTTTTCAAAAAAAAATCGAAGACCGGAAATTCAAAACAAATTTTCATATAAATTATTTTTAAATAGGCCATCGATGAATTTTTGAAATAGAGCTGTTTTCATTTTACAAATAAAATAGAAATTATCGCGTATAAAATCTTTTAAACTTCCAATTTCAACAAAATTTCTGGGGTCATTATTGATTTTGTAATTTAATCGTCGTCGTTATCGATTTTGTAATTTAATCGTTATCGTCTTTTTCTAAACGTGCATTTTTTGCTTTCGGAGCTATTGAACATACATTGGCCCTTACCAGCAATTGAAAACTATTTTTCATTATCAACAATTACATTACTCCGAGTTATTCATCAATCAATGAAAATCGATATATAGTCCATACTTCAATTTACAATATTGGCAAGTCCGATTTCACTTGGCATATTTAACTCATATAGAAAAACCAGTTGGAATCGGCAAAATTATCTTTAATTCCATACATAAGAAAAAAAAATTATAAAGTTCTTCAATAATAGCAAACTAATAGTTTAAATAGATTTACAAGTATCGCCCATCTACTTTTGATATAATTCACATATTAAATGTAGAAAACTGGTTTAAAATAAATATTTCAAAAGTTCGAAAACGATTTATGAAAAAATAACGTGATGACATTTACTAAATTTGCTCTGTATTAAAGTATCGATGATAGAAAGAGCATATTTTGTAAATATTTCAAAAATATTTAAAAGTCGGAGAAATTGTATTGTAATGTACTATAATTATGTTACAAATCCGATTAATACTAATCCTTCGCTATTGAAGTTGTTTTGAGAAGGATATTCTCTAAATTTTGATAAATCTTTAAAATCTAGAGTAATCGTTTTGTAAACTTAACAAAACTAAAATGTATACCAATAGATTGGCATTTTCTACGTTTTCAAAGTGAGAGAGTGTAAATTCTTTTTTTTTATCCTATTAAGGTTTTTAAAAAATTTATTTAACAATAGGATGTTTAACACTAATTTTTTAAGGACTTCGACTTTAGCATCACATAAATATGTTATTTTCTATATTAAAACGTAATTTTGGTGGTCTTAGAATAGAAAAATATGCAATATTCGTGGAGATAATGAGGGTTCTTAAACATGTTCTTAAAAATAAATAAAATAATACAAATCTTTATTCAATCTTTTGATATTGTTGGTCCTCTCTTTGTGAAAATACTTAACTTCAAAGAGTATTATGTTTTACCTAGTGAGGACCTTAAGTTTGCAAAAACATAATAAAAGTAAAATAAAAAAGATCTGATTTATCACAAAACTTTGAGTATTATAGGATTTAATATATTTTCTTAGTAGATTATATGATTTAGTTTCTTAAAATCTAAAGTATTTCTTGAGGAAAATATAAATTGAAATTCAAAAAGTAAAAAAATGTAAACAAATCAAATTTTAAATGGACCAAATGTTGATTTTTCATTCGTTTTCTCATTATCGAAAAAAATTTGGAAAGCTAAGAAGTCAATAACAAGTTATATAATACAACAAAACCCACATCGGATATGTTTTCATCAAATAGTCTCCTAGATTTGTTATGAAATTAAAATATCATGATATTTTAAGGGCTTTTGATTTCAATATTAGAATTATTCAGTTATATCGTGCTAATATCAATTGCTTTATACAATTAATCGTTTACAAGCTGCAAAAATCGAACAATAATTTGACTTTGTAAAAAAAGTGCGTCATTTTTATTCGTTATACTTACAAAATGTAAACATTACGAGAAACATTTACATTTGTAAATGTAACAAGTAAAGTTGTATCGCATAATTTGACTTTGTAAAAAAAGTGCGTCATTTTTATTCGTTATACTTACAAAATGTAAACATTACGAGAAACATTTACATTTGTAAATGTAACAAGTAAAGTTGTATCGCATAATTTGACTTTGTAAAAAAAGTGCGTCATTTTTATTCGTTATACTTACAAAATGTAAACATTACGAGAAACATTTACATTTGTAAATGTAACAAGTAAATACATCAGATTTAAATTGTAAATGTAGTTTATCTCTCTCATCTCCTTTTTAAAAGGTATTACATACATACGAACGCATGGGTCACTCAATAATTAGCGTGATAATAATTGAGGATAGACTGTAATCGTAATTTTATTTTTGGACTTATATTTCGACATTTTGAAGTCGCTTGAAAGTCTTGCAAATGATTAAATTTGGAAAATTTGACCTAAGTCTGCATTATTTTGATGACTTAAACAATTCTATAAATCTGTTTTCCTAAAAATTTAAAAAGATATAATTTCAATTTCCCTAAATTTATGTAATTCATATATCACCAAAATATTTGGACTGCATTTCGTTTGTCTGCACCTAATTAAAGTCTAAATACCAATTAATTTTGGAGTTGCATTGCTTTTAATGTAAAAATGCACGTTTAGAAAAAGACGATAACGATTAAATTACAAAATCGATAACGACGACGATTAAATTACAAAATCGATAACCTCTCAAATTTCTGAATTTTATCAAATGTTTATCTTTCAATAGACTTATCATCATCATTAACATTTATCTACACGTATATTATGCAGATGAAAACTCTTTCTTGATCATTTGTGTATCTAAAAGTCTATATTTTCTAGATATAGTAATTTCGAACGGATGCGATTTACAAATATTTCATTGTATGTTAGTTAAAGCGGGATTTTGCTTGTAGTTCTGATAAAGATTTGAGATATTTTCATATATATATTTTTTGATAGGTCATCTGTTACTTCATAAAACATCACAATTATAAAGAGTCCTTTCTTTTCCGATTTAAATCATAAGCATTTAGCAAATTTTGAATATTGAATAAAATTTACAAATAAGTAAGAATATTTGTGAGCCGATCCGACTTATGATTAGATACTCAACTCTGTGCATCATTCTTCTGTTTGATATATAAATTTTTCTGGAGTGAAAAGTAATGTCATTACTGAGGAAAAAAAATAAAAGAAATATCAAACAATATTATTGTATAGGATCACCTTAGTTGATGACCACAATTCCTCTCAAATATACCATTAGACCTTTCAAATTTTGGGTAAGTCATCAAAAAATCAAATAAATATTTACAATTCTCAATCTTAAACGATAGAAAATTTCATAGCTTCCATAGTCCATCGTTACCTAATTGTGCTCAAGAGATATATATTCAGACGGCCAAGAAATGTACTACAGATCGCATAAAGATAATCATTGATCGTTTTTAAGGAATCTATCATATCCATCAGCTATCAAGCATTATTTATTTTTTCCCTAAAAATGAAAAACTAGTAATTCCGAAGATATTCAAATCTAAGCTTATTTGATATTTTGATAGTCTACATTGAAAATTATATTCTTTCAAATTTTTCAATCTCTCTCTAAAGCAATAGTAAAACATTTCGTTCAAGATTATCCTCCTAATTTCAATAGTACTCAATTTATTGACTTTTGAGAGCGATGTGTTCATAATTGTCATTTCATTTTAGAGTTCGAGAGATGTCGAACGTCGGAAAGCCACATCCAAAGGATAAATTCACACCATCAGAGGACGAAAAATTAAGACTACTTGTTAATGTTCTAGGCGTTTCGAACTGGAAAAAAGTTAGTGAATACATGGTAACAAGAACTGCAAGACAATGTAGAGATAGATATAAAAACTATCTTGCTCCTCATCTCAATAACAGTCCTTGGATCAAAGTTGATGATGATAAACTTTTAAACTTGGTTGAAACAATGGGCAAGAAATGGTCATTAATAGCCAAGGAATTTCCAGGACGTACAGATATTAATATCAAAAGCCGCTATGCTTTGCTAATGCGTCAAGAAGAGAGAGATAGGCATAAACATGAATCCGAGCCAGAATTTCTTCACGAGAACGCACAACAATCTTTCGAATCACAGAGCATTATTGAAGATTTTACTCAGCAGCCAATTGTAGACGATGGAATCGATTCATTTGATTATATGAGTTTTCCATTTGATTTCGATATATAAGTTTATTACATTAATATATTAGTTGTTATTAAAGCATTCATTTCTATCTTTAATTATCATTTCTTTCCCAAATCAATATTGCCTATTCCGATAACTTTTACCATTACACAATGAATATAAGACATATAACATCTGACTATTTGATATTTGCGTATTAATGAAGCCTAATTAAAAAAATTCTCTTTCTTCATCAATATTTCATTTGATCATCAATCTTGAGTTGAAATATCAGTTTTCTGAGAACATTGATAGCACATTAGCCAAATATATTATTTAATGCAGATAATACTTGAAATGAAACGTTTCATTAAATGGAAGATGCCTTTACGTGCAGAAATTAATGTTGACATAGCTGCTTGGAGCTATTACATACCAGATACATATAAATAATTTTTTTCGGTTAAAAATAAAAAATCAGAAAAAATGGATGATAAAATTGATTTAATTTGGTATGAAGTGTGGTCAAGTGCCACACCACGTCCATTTTATTTTCACAAGAAAGATGAAGCAGTTTCTTGGGACCCGCCAGCTGATGCAATAATTTTTGATCCTCCTGACGGATTCTTCTGCTTCCCTCCAGCACCAAAATCATCAGATGAGCCAGAAATAGATATTAACGACAAAGATACGTCCTTAATGTCTCGAGTTGGTACCCTTAAATCTTATAAATCTCAAAATGTTATATCAAACTTCACATTAGAAGAAGAAACACAAGACATTTTCTCATTACAAGTACAAGAACCAGAATTATTAATGGATATTCCGTATTTTCCGGATGATTTATTCGTTTTAATGAGCAAAACCGCGATTATTAAATATTTACAAGATAATATCGGTCAACAGTTTGTAGGAACCCTTAGTAAGCAAGAAATGCCTTTTGATAAAGTAATAAAGCCGGGTAAGAAATCGTTAAGTGGCCCAATTCTTAAAAATCGATCTACTTCTTCGAAAAATGTATGTCAATCATTATTTAAGTACATAAGGACCTATTTGAATAGCGCTAGCGAATCTAGTTTAAATGATTTTACTAAATTAATTGATGGAAATGAAGATATGCTTGCTGATGAAGCCTCAGTACAAATATTAACAGAATTAAATACGACAGCAGTTACAAATAATACAATTAACGCATGGAATTTATTACTTTATGTCGGTTCAAAATATATTGTTACTGAACCAATAAGATTACTAATTAGAAGTTTCTGTTTTTTAGTTGCTACATCTGACGGTGTTGATTATGAACTGAAAGATTTAGCTTCTATTTGCTTATTAAGATTTTCATCTCGAATTCCTGTTAATTTTGGTCCAGAAGTCACTCTCATGGAATATATGAATATATGCACATCACAAACAGCATTGTTTGGCTTTTCAATTTCAGAAATTTTGTGGAAAGAACATTTACGTGGTGTTGAACATCCAGATAATGTGCCACAAATACTAAAGAAGATAGCAGTAAAGCTTCGTGACATGAATGCATTCCAGCATGAAGGAATTTTCAGAAAACCTGGTGGAAAAACTGAACAATTATCAATGGCAAATAAGATAAATAACGGAGAATGGGAGATAAACTCGCTATCAATTGATACTGTTGCATCAATGATAACTTTGTTCTTCTCAAGATTAAGAGAATCCGTAATTCCACCAGATATGATACTCAAAATGCAAGCTAATGCTCCATCATATGTTAGCATTTCTTGTGCAAACTCTCTTCCAGCTGAGCATCATGATACTTTGATGTTTTTCATAGGCTTACTTCAAGAATTTCTGATTTACAAGAGTAAAACCAGAATGAATGAGAAGAACTTTGTAATTTCTTTCGGAGCGATGTTATCCAACATTCCAGATCCACTTTCTTTGGCAGATGTAGCTACATTTCCGCCAAGAGTTGCACTTCAGCGGATGTTCACAAATCTTCTCCGATTTTGGAGAACAACAGACGTCTATACTTGTTTGACATTATAAATATTATATTGTTGTTTAATAAAAAAGATAATTTTTCGTATCAAAAGATTTTTTTATAGTAATTTGCTTCTAAAAGCAATCGGGTAGATTTAAAATCGATAGCTATTAATAGAGGTAATAAATGAATTAGCTGTTCATCGGTTTAGAAAACGATGTAAAATTCTACTGGTGGCAGAGATGAAAAATATTGTTTGTACTGATTTTCAAAAGCAATGTCGGAACTATGTTTTTAATTTCAGTTGATTTTCTCTTCTATCTTGCATTAATTTTTTTCAAACTTGGAAATTTTGCAAAATTAATGACAGCTTAGCAATTATACTGATCTAGTCTGTTAAACTGTCACTAAATTTTGTTCTTTCTAAGAAAATTTTATTGAAAAAAATTCAAAGATAGACATTTAATCGAAATTGGTTACAATATGGAATTATCACCAATTGCATTATATCATTCTAATTCTTCGAAGACGCTGATTTAAAAATTTTGACCGTGAGAATGAATTTCATTTCGAAAAAAAGCATCAATTCAACGTATTTCCGTTCGTATTATAATGATTACCAAATAAAGGACTATATATTAGAGTAATTCGATGATTCAGTCGACTGACCAGATTAAATTATGCAAATTGAAAATTTGCAATATCAGCTTTGATAATCAAGGCCATGGACTTATTTTTGATGTATATAATATGTTACTAACATCTGAATAAGCAATTCCCGGTTTCTTCATTGGGAAATGATGGGAAAATCTAAATGATCCCTCAAATTTACAAAATTGGTCATAGAGAAAATAATGTAGTATTATAGTAGATAGGTTGAATATTATTTTATAATCAATAGAAAAACGATGAATTCAAAATTTGGGAAAGTAGATGACAATGGGGTATTCAAATTTTGTGAAAACTTAATCCCCGAAGAAAAAATGATTATAAACAATATTACCAATATGAAAATCAAAAAATTGCTATGATTTATTTTTTTGCCACAAAATCTGAGGCTGATCCCGCATTAATATTTTGGAGCTCATACAATGATGAACTAAAATATTGTTACCGTTTATTAAAGCGCCGACCAAAATTTAATTCAATATTCGATTGTAAAATTTGAATGTGATCCCCAGATAAAAAATTTTGAATAGAGATCATAGTAATTTAGTTCACTTTATTTAGATGTCTCCAATCCTTCCACCTATCCAATCATTCAGCGCATACATGGGCGACTTCCAGCCAATCATTCTTGATATCTTGAACCACGCAGAAAAGCCACAACCCGTTGTTGAGAAAAAACAAAAGATCAAATACAACTGGACACCCCAGGAAGATTATTACCTTCAACAATTCGTATCAATGTATGGTACTAAGAATTGGTTCCTTATTTCCTATAAGATGGGATCAAGAAACCCAAGACAGTGCCGTGAAAGATGGGAAAACTACATCAACCCAGAGCTTTCAACAGATCCATGGACATGCGAAGAAGACCAGCTCCTCAGAGAGAAGTATAATGAGTTAGGAACTAAGTGGGGAAAGATTTCCAAATTCCTCAAGAACCGTTCTGCCATAGCTGCAAGAAATAGATGGTACCAACTCACAAAGATTGCTCGCAAAGAGAAGTTGTGAGCAATTTAAAGCTTGTTTTTAACTCTTTTTGTAAATAAATTTCTATCCGGTTAAATTAGTTAGATTTTTTCAAGCCAACATTAGTCAATTTCATTTGTTATCTTGATAAAAAGAAATATAGCTCGATTATGCATCAAACATTGAATGTTGGAAGCAAAATCGGATTACAAATTGCCGTAATATTGATAATATTGATAAATTTCTTTAATGTTTATAAATCATCTATTAAATACAAAATTAATCTAAGTCCTGCCTCCTTTAATTATCAAGATTGGTGGATAATTCATTTTCAACAATTTCTTAACTTGCCCCAATATAAATAAAATGGACAAACAACTGGTTAGTTGAAATACATTCTCAAATTCATGAGATTTTCTAATATAAGTTCTTCAAATTTCGAAGATTTGTAAATATATCACAGAAGCTCAGTCACAAGTCAGACAAATTGAACCTTATCATGATGATCAACTCTGACATAAAATATCGTTCAGTGCTGGACAAGGAGTTTACGGCAAGAGCTAAATTTTATCAGAAAAGGAAAAACCAACTTCATTATATGATAGGAGATGGGAACACAGATCTAGGATGTTTACAGGCATTTAATGAATTGCTATGATTTAGATTTCGGTTTGAAATCTATTGAGAATATCTGACAAGAGTAGTCCTTGATGGAACCCATCTTGTTGTAATGCTTCCCATTCACACACTTCTTCTCTAATCATGATCTGGCACCTTTGAAGAGCATTAAAAATGAAATTGAGAGAAGAAAAAATCAGTAAAAAATTGAAAAGGAGGACGAAAAAGTAGTTTTCAACAAGTATAATTAATTTTCAGAGAAAGATATGTTTTCTCCTTTCTAAGAATTCATTAAAATTTGAAAAGGAGAAACTGAAAATCTTCTGATGATGTTTGGGAACTTTTTTATGGAACATCAACTTCTCCAAAACCCATCACTGGGAAAAATGTTCGAGCAGCATCAACAGAAAACGCTTGCTTTATTTATAACAGCATATTCATCACAATTACAACCAATAGCGCCATTTATTTTACTAATGCAAACAACAAATTTCTTAATTCTGAGTGTTCATTTACTAACTGTAGTAGTAATTCAAATTGTGGATCTATCTACTTTGCTTGTGATAGTTCCATTGTCCAGCACCGAACATGTGGCTACAGATCAAAAACAAATAACTATGGACATCATTCATATGTTGAATTAGTTGATAAACCATATAATAAAAATTATCTTTATGAAAGTTCTTTTTATCAATGTGGAAATTTAGAAAAAATGAGAACAAATTTTCTTGATTATGGAAATATTGAAGTTAAATCAATCAACACAAGTTTCTGTGAAGCAGAATGTGAATCAGGAATTTATATATTAAGACCAACATGTCTAGGTAACGTAACATATTCATCATTTTGTAATACAACATCAGCACGTTTAATTTTACAGACAGATAATGGTAACTATAATTTTAATTTTTGTAATGTTTTGAATAATGAACACAAACTAGATTCACACGGAACATTTCATGCAATTGATTCAAATATGCTTATTGAAAACTGTTCATTTCTTGGAAACAAAGGACCAGGAGTAGAATTTTTTCAATATAGGTCTGGTTCAATTACAGTTAAGAATTCTTTCTGTGACAGAAAAGATAAAATAAGAGGATACGTTACAAAAATTAATGTTCATAATATATACTCTATTACCCAGATTTCCCACTTTTCATCATATTTCTGTGAAGCAAAGTTTCCTATTTTAGTGAAAAAGAACTCTATTATCACAAAAGTTGAAATTCTTTATCATTATTCGTATAATTTCATGACTTCTCTTTATATTGTTTTATTAAACTCATAAAGCTTATTCTTTTATAAATTTGATCAAATTATGAAGGCAAATATACAGAAGTTAATCCCTCTGCGATTTACAATAAATTAATCGATAATTTGGGTCAAATTTCTAGAAAGTTCTATTATGACTGTTCTTTTATGCAACATAAAACTTCCACATTCCTTAGCTTCCTTGTTAAAAAGTTTATTTTTACTCCGGCAAAATTATTATATTTATAAAATCTAAATCGTCTCATCAAGATTACAGCATTGAATACACAAGCAACTATGCTTTAATCTTATTAGAATGAAAAATGCATCATATAGGATTGAAGTTTTGATGAATTCTTCAAAAGAATATTCAAACTCGGTCCTCAATCAGGCAAATTGAACCTTATCATGATGATCAACTCTGACATATAAATTCGTTCAAAATGCAATAGAATCATCATCAAGCACATCGAATTTCTAATATATCAGATTAATGAATGGGTGAGAATCTATTTTTAATATCATATCAATTAAAATTTTATGTCTCTCAATTCTGTCTATTGAAGCGAGGGAAAAAAAAAACAGAATCAAAAATGAGTGCAAAAGAAGCACTAAAGCCAAAAGTTGGTTCTACAAAGAAGGAAGAGAAGCGCAAACAGAAGAAAGAGAAACTTACCCAAGAATTAGCAGCTAAAGAAGAAGCTAAAGCCGAGATGCGGAAACAAGAAGAGCTTGAAAAGAAGCAAGCTCAGGTTGAGCAAGTTCCCGAAGCACAAGCTACTATGGGTTCTGCATTTGCCGAGTTAGTTACTAAAATTGCATTAGAAGGTAGCCAGAAAGAAGCAGATCCACGTCGTTCACAAAAGAAGAGCAAACATAATGCTATCCAAAATGCAAAAGCCATGATTGCAAGTGCAGCATTCCAGTCTAATCCAGAAATGGCCTTTTCAGTAATCAACGCTCAATTACAACACAAAATTCCGAAATAAATAGAGTATAGATGTATTTTCTTTATGCTACATGCCTAATATTTTTAAAATATGAATAAAAATATTGAATCTTCATATAAATTATTTAATGCATATGTTATTTTGCCATAATAATTAATGAATCTGATTACTGTTAAAAATTAAATAATAAAGATTGTAGTATCATGAAGTAAATTTTTCTTTCTGAATTACCAAAATTTTCATTACGACAAGCCGGAAAGAGGTAATGCGTATATCTCATCTTATCAAGTAAAGGAAAAGAATAGAAAGGAATGTGATAACAAGTATTATCAGCATTTTTTTATTGTTTTCATATTCCTGTTTTGCTTTTTGTTTGTTTTTAAATTCAGAATCAAGTATATGAAGAAGACATATTATTTCAGTTCTCTGATGATATTTGGCTACTTGAAAGCAATCATTCCCCCTTGAATTATGCCTATAAATATTAGCGCCATGCAATATATGTAGCTTTACAATCTCGATATTATTTTTTATTATTGCATGCATAAGAGGAGTATATCCATCAAAATCTATGATGTCAATTTTTGCATGATTAGCAATAAGAAATTCTACAATATTTTTGCTATTTGTTTTCACTGCATAATAAAGTGCAGTTGATCCAATGTAATCTGAATTGATATCTGCACCGTGCTTAATAAGATATTTGCAAATTGAAATTCTATTAAATAAAGGTGAATAAATAAAGCACATGTTTAAATCATTGGTTTGATCTAAGTAAACTAAGAATGCTTGAAGATTATTGTATATACAGCACCACATTAAATTAATTTTAATATTGTGTTCGTATAGCAAATAAGTAACAAAGTCAATATTATGCGAAATAATAGCATATTTCATTGTTTTTTCATCAGGATGCCCGGGATTCCACTTAAAAATGAATAATTAAGACATTTTTCGGTGATTTCTGAGTTAAATTTTGATCTTAAAAATTTAAAGCAACGAACAGATCCATAAAGGCAACACAGCTCGAGCAATGTCGAAAAAGAAACTCGTGATCGATTTAAGTAATGAATACGCATATCCTTATCAAAACCGTTCCATTCTGTGATTTCAATAAACAACATGATGTCATCACCCCTTATTGCTTCCTCGATTTTGTTTTCTACTTGATTTCCCTTTAATTTATAAAATTCTTCGTAACTTTTCTTATTCACATCCTGAAAAACAATCCCATATTCTTCAAACATCAAGTAATTAAAATATATTGGAAATTTTTTAGTTATATTTGTTTGATAATCCTGATAAATTTTGAACATAATGGAGCAATAAGACTTTAAATATCGCCCATTGGCAAGGCATTTCTTCAAAATTATATTGATCATCTTGTATTGAGAAAAGTAGTTTGTTTCAATCAAATTGAATTTGATATCTTTATAAATTTTGTTGATCTCTTCTTCATTGCATGTGTTTAGCCTATATAATGAAATGAAAGTATCGTTATAATCTCTACATTGTTTCATAAGTCTTTGATACATGGTTAACGAATTATTTATAATTTTGACAAAAAAATTGATGTGATGAGATATAGTGATATTTAGACTATCGATTTTCATGTCAATATATTTTTAAAAAATGGAATTAAAAAAAGTTGTAAAAAGAATGAACATGACGGAAAAGTGACAGTCAATTTTTAATGCTTCTTCCCGCTCTAATTTTAGCCGCGGCTAGTGTCCAGTATCCATTTAACTTCAGAGCAAGAAATACCCAAAGTAATGCAGTAGAAGGTCAGAAGGTCGCTTTGTCTCAAAATAAAGCATTTGGAAAACCTCTAAATACTCAAACTCCAAAACCATCTATTACTAAATTCCGTAAACTCTCTGCTCTTCAGGGAGCAAATATTCCTATGGAATTCCCAACTGATTCTGAAAATTCGAACAGTATCGCTGAAGAAATTAAACAACAACTCGTTTCAACCCCGATGATTATCTTCTATTCTGTTCTCAGCCTTTGCATTATTATTGCAATTGGTATCTTTATGTTCTACAAAGATCCAGAAGACGATGCCGCTGAAACCACCCAAGATGCCATCATCGAGAATCAACTTCATCAAGTTTTGGATTCAAAGCTTGAAAATGAGACAATGGTTATTTAATTTTGTTTTGTATTTTTTAAAATATATGTTCGTAACACTATCTTATTTGATCGCTTATTTTTGCAAACATTCAAATCAATTCATTAATATTTCATAGACTTTTCCATCTTAATAAATGAAATTTCCTTTTCATATGTTTAATATCTTGAGAAATATCACATCGTATTGTATTCATTCTAAAGTTACAAAGGCTACTCATTAACTTGTTACCACTATTTAATCAATTATTCAATTCAAAACAAGATTTATTAAACTACAGACTCACAAATGGATTCAAATTATATAATAGCATAGTCATCAGTTTTGATTATAGCAAAACCGTACCACGACATGGTTAAATCGATGTCTTTCTGCAATGTATTATAGAGATTTCTCAAATCTACGATGCCCACTTCATAAAATTATATTCTTTTCTAGACATTAGCATTTATACTGTATACACTCAATAATTAAATTAGTGATGGCTAATGAATTTAAAAGCAACAAGCTTTTTATACAGATATACAAGGTTGATTCGCGTCCGTAATAAATCGAACTTGTCACTTTTAAGGGGTATTATTATTGTCGTCTGGCGGTTTTAGACGACAATGCGAATTTTCAAATAATAGGATTTTTAGCCAGATAAAGAGCTACTCCATATATCATGCGTGTTTGCATACTATATACATAGATGGAATTGATGTTCTTCCTTTATTTAGGTACCGAAACATGCTTGAAAAATCTATTTTTTAGACGACAATGATAATTTTGTCACTTTTCCAGACGACAATAATAATTTGTCACCTTTTTAGACGACAATAATAATTTGTCACTTTTTCCAGACGACAATAAAACATCCTCCACTTTTAATATGAGATATGAGATAAGAACTTTATTCATCTCGCTTATAATAATTTTTTATTATTTGAGTACATCACAATCATGGGATCCAATTTTTACTTTAACGATAAAGGCAAAACAACTTTTCATTGAATGTCTTGATAAATTTAAAATCGCTAATCCTGATTCTAGTAACATACTAAAAATTCAAGGTGTAAAAGAAGGATTATTCCCGGAATATTTAGATCAATTGATTCCTCTTCATTTATTCTACGAAGCCCCTCCTATTGGTAATTTTTTTGGTTTTTTGAAAAACTCCCAAAATTTGCCATACAAAAAGTACTTTTCAAATCTGAGCATTATTCCATTATACAAAACAAAACAGACTCTAGATATTGTAACCGATTTCAAAGGCAAAATAGCAATATACAAAGATGCGTATGCAAATCAATTCGGAGAATTTGTAATAAATAATTATGTAATAAGACCTCCATATGATTCAGGGTTACATTATATACGCTAATACCATGAAGGCCCAGTCGTTTTTGAATGCGACAAAGCATGTGTTTTTGGTCATATATGGATGTATAATTTCGGACATTTCATAGACGATTGTCTCTCTCCTTTGATATTAGTTCCTGAAGATTTTTTAGAAGATTGCATTGTTATTTTATCAGAGCAAACAAGAAAATTTGGAGAAGATGTTCTGAAAGCCATTGGAGTAAGGAAATACATTTATCTTACAAACAACACATGGATACATGCTAATAGACTTGCTGTTGCTGTAGAAGGAAGACCATATCTTATGCATTTTGGAGTGCCATTACAAAAATTAGTTGACACGTTAAGAATTTATTTTAAAGCATTAAATATTAAACCAACGAAATATGTAGTAATAAATAGAGATTTAAATAGTCGTAGACATATAACTAATGTCAAAGCACTTATGATTGCTATCAAAAACAATATAAAGGAAGTAGAATTTGAAGAAATTGAAGATAAACTAGGGACAATCGAATCATATGCGAAATTTTACCCTACAATCAAATGTGTTTTATTACCAACAGGAAGTAATGCAGTTAAAACAATTTTCATGAATCCTAATTCGGTTGTAATTATAAGGTCGATGAAAAAATGAGCGTTTTTAAAAAACCGCCGTTTGAGAGGAAAATTGAGAGCCCTGATGTATACTTTTTGACATTGTCAAAAACTTTGAAAGGACTAAAAAAATTTTAGTGTCAGAAAGTTTACAAATGTATACTTTCTGACAAACAGACTCTCAGAAAGTACTCAAACTGCGGTTTTTAATTTCCGCACTTTTTTTGGCGACCTTAGCCAGTAACGAAATGTTTGATTTTTCAGTCATCTGCTCAATTTTATCTGTTCATGTGAAAGTAGTTTATTTTTTCATTACCAATATCACTTTAATAACATTGATATTGATGTTGATCTTGCAATTCAAGCAATTGAAGTTGGAGTTTATGCATCCATTCATGGATACTTTCCAAAGCCGAAAGAATTCATCTCATTTATTGATTATGTTCCCAATTTCAAACCAGCGCTTATTGAAAAATGATATATTTTGTTTCATTTTATTATTGAATTTTCTAAATATTATGAATCACTGGAAATTAAGATGAAGAATGTATTTAATCTTTCTTTACTATAGCAATAATTATATTAACTTTTTGCGATTGTCTAATGAACAAATTATTGATAGATTGCTTCTAAATATGTTGATATTTGATATAAATGAATGATAAGTCTTAAAAAAATTCAATTCAGATATTATACAAATGTTCACAAAGGTGATTCTCCTCTACCAATTGCATTATAAAAACTATTATTAAAACAAATCGTAGCAAAAATACTTATTCTTTGATAATCTATACATGAATATTTATATATCAGATTAAAAATAATATTGATGTTTATATAGAGTTTTGAAGTTTATTTTAGAATGAACTTCGCAAGCTTTTAAGTGTCAATAAACTGTTTGGAGAGAGGGTCAAAGTTGCTATTTGTCACTTTTCCACAAGAATATAATGGGGAAAAAGTTATCATATAGTTGATCTCATTCACTGAGGTGAGAGATGCATGTAGTGTAATGGGATAAACAGTGGGATTGCTGCTCTAAGTCCTAGGTTCGAGACACATTGGCTTCATTTTTCTCTTTTTTATTGACGTAAACTATTCAATTTTTGTGTTCTCCATTCAAATTTCAGAATTTTTTTTGCAGATTTCACGCTACATTCGAAGTTACCTTTTGTAACAACCACCACTGCCTACGAAAGACGAAAGTGTGTCACGATTTCACCCGGAAATCCGACGGTTGTTTAAGAGTATGCACTTTTGTCACCTACTCATAATATTGATGTTTATATAGAGTTTTGAAGTTTATTTTAGAATGAACTTCGCAAGCTTTTAAGTGTCAATAAACTGTTTGTATGTTAGTCTATATAATATAGTTGGAATATCTTTTTTAAACGCGATATTGATGGGATATGTATTTCTTTTAAGAATGCACTTATGTCCATCTGACAACTAGCGTGGAAGATTGTGAAAGGAATTATAAGGATTTAAGCGCTTGATTAATATCTACTTCACTAAAAACTTGTTCTGATTAAAATTGAGATTTTCATAAAGTTAAATTTGTCAAAAAAAAATTGAGAAAATGTCAAAAAGCGCACACTTAAAAAAGTTTTTATAAATAACTATATAATACCTAATATAGATGCTATACATTTTTTGCTATTACAGTACAGATATATTGATCTTATGAGAGCATCCAAGAAAGTTGTAAATGTAGATAAGAAAAAAGTTATAAAAAAAAAATAAAAATAAAATAATTTACAATTCTTTGTTGTCTTCCTTTTGATCAATTTCTTCAGTAACAGTTTCATTATCCTTTAAAGTATGTTCATCAATGCTTGTCTGGTTCTTCTTATATTCCAGTTGTACGGCGTAAGCAGAAGGATCTTTTTCGAAGTATTTTTGCTTCGGTTTTCTTGGAGGAGACCTTAAATTGGTTATTTTCATGGCCAAGTTAGTTCTCCTCTGGTTAATCTTCTTTACAGTGATTGTTGGAACTGTTTTGTTGTCCATCTGCGCGATATCATCAATTAATGATTTGGAGCCATTAATATACTCAATAACTTCATTAATTGTGTCGTTATCTGTTGTAGCCGTATCCAATGCTTTCTCCGCTTTGGCAATTACCTTCTGTAAGTCAGCTACTGCTCTTGGACGCCTTGAAAATTCATCAAATTTTGTCAAAGTGGAGCCAATCGTTTCTTTGATCAAATTCTTTCTCTTTTCAAGGTCTTCGGCAGATACGTGTTGTCCTTGGAGGTCAACTGTTTGTCTTTCTCTGGATAATAATTCTTTTATTACTTGTCTTTCTTCTTCTGTAGTTACTTCGATCATATCTTGGTTGTAGTTGAGCTTTTCGTTCATATCAATGATGAAATTCATCAAATCATTGAAAGCTTTTCTGTGATTTGCAATTGATCGTCTGTAACCTCGAATTCCGTCAAGAAGAGTCTTGCTGGAGTTGAAGTCCATCTCAGAATCCCTGTACGTGACCTCTGTTGCAAGTTTCCATGATGTTTGGGAGACTTGATTTATTGATTCGTTTTCTATTGTCATGTTTACAGTCACATTAGCTGTTAATGCGGCTGAAATGTAATCTAAACTGTCTAAAGTTTGACTTACATCAAACATGAACGATAAAAACGGTTTTGTAGACTTATCAATTTGACTGGTAATTGATCTAGTGAACTTAGAGAGGTTTACGAGCTGTATATCAGCGTAGACTTCGTCTTTTGTTGGGACAAGAGATGTTTTGATCCTTGGGAATTTAGTTGGATCTCTTGTAATTTTGAGGGTGACGTTGAAATCAGTGAATTTCCTTATCTTTACAATCTTTCGCTCGATCAGATCGCCAGGACTAAATACTACGATGTCTTTACCACCTGTTTCGAAGGTCATTCCGTACAATGATGGTCTGATGAAATGTAAAACAGCTCCATTGATCAAACCGCTTTGTATACCTCCGAAATAGACAGCACCAAGTGCAACGGCTTCATCGGAATTGAGTGAACGATGAGCTGATTCACCGAATGTTCTCTTGATCGGATCTGAAAGGGAAGGAAGACGTGTGCAGCCACCAATAAGCTCTACTTCATCTGCTGTAATGTTTTCGATGAGTTTTTCGAACTTGTTGATCATTTCTGCGCACATTGTGTTTACATCATCGTTTGTTAATGTAATTTGCTGGCCAAAGTCCTCAGTAACGTCAATAACTGTTGAAGAACCAGCAGCTAAGCGCTCTTTCGCTTTGATAACTGAACGACGAATTGCAGGATATTCTACTTCTAAAGCAGGTCTTTTCAGTTTTGTAAGAGTCCAGTTGAAAAGTATGTCGTCGATGTAATCACCGCCGATTTCGTCTGTAAATCTGTAATCTTGGAGTGTAATTTCAACTGATTTGTTTGTTCTGACGAATTTGAAGAGAGAAAGTTCTGTTTGGATAGCACCACTATCAATAAATAAGACTGTCTTAGTAACATTGTCTGAAATAGGTAGTTTTTCAACTGCATAAAGAGCAGCAAGAGCAGAGTTGGAATTTATGATTTGAGCAGTACTAATACCGATTAATTTGAACGCATTCATTAAGTTGCGGCGAGCATGAGGTGAAAATACTGTTGGAACTGTGATTATAATTTTGTCATTTTTGCGCTTAAAAGATTTCAAGTATGTTGTAAGTGCAATGGCTATGCCTTCTGTAGGTGTGATATTCTTGAGTGGGTAATCCTTTGGATTGTTTAAGTAATTAAATGGATTATGAACTCCATGCGATGGATTTTTACGAATTGCACGTTCAGCATCAACACCAACAACCCACTCGATGCCTGTTAAGTTTGGCTCATCTGAATCTGAAATGTAAGCTAAATAATTCGGTGTATGTCTAGAACTTTGATCATTTGTAACAATTTCAACTTGCCTGCCTGGTTTTTGCTTGGCAAGTCTAACAAACTTGCTACCAAAATCAAGTGAATATATAACAGATGATGAAAGAACTAGTAAACAAAGAAACATTTTGATGAAGCGATTATTTTCAATTCAAATATAATCTGATATTGAAAATCCATTCACCTCATAAGAAACTGAACCTCAATATCAAATGTATCGACCAAAATTGTAAATTTTAGACTCAGTTTGTAGAGTATAGCAATAGATTGTATGAACTCAAAGAACGATTTTAGAATAATTTCGAAATATAGGGTATGATTCTCATAAAAATGATACTATAATGTACAGTGAGAATAAAATGAATAGTGAAGCTCAAAAAGAGCAAGATTATATGATTATACAGTAAATTGTTTATTTCATAAGATGTTTTTAGTAGATCTTTTGAGAAAATACTCTATTTGATGATGTACATAGAAAATATGCATCATTAAGGATTCCTGTGGAAATTGCATTTTAGAATTCGGTAAATAATCGCTGTATTCGCATATATTTAAGAAATTTTGCTTAGTATAAGATTGTAACATTTATTCATGTGTATGATAGTTTATAAAATTGTTGGATATTATGGAATTTTGAAAAAACAATTGATATTATGTTGAAACATGTTTAAATGTAATTTCATCTGATTCTGTCACATATCGGTCATCTATGATGGGTAAATGATGAAAATGAATATCAAAATTGAAATTTTTCACGTCATTTTTGCTGGACAGCTATTGCCTTGACCTTCTAGAAGGATATTCTCCAAGGTAATTTTTTCCAAATTTTTTAGAAAATAGGAGATGTCAATACAAACTCATTGAATTTCAAAATAATTTTTACAATTTTGAATTTTTTTTGGAATATTAAGGTTATTTTCTTAATAATTTCAAAATAATATTGGAATACAGAGGTTTTCTTTGATTCTAAATCGATGACTGCAATTTGTATTTGGTGAACTATTATTATATTCTAAATATGTCAATATAGAAGCAAAATCATATTTCATGCAAACAAAATCATATTGAAAAGACATGAAAAATTTCACAAATGTTAATGAGTATGTAGCAAAATATGAAATATGAAGACCATAGGCTTGATTTGAAAGCATTTTTGAATCAGAATGCTCAAGATATACGGAAAACTTGATTTTATTGCTTCAAAAAGGAAACATTTAATTTCGGAATTATCCAAAAATTTGATATCTTGATTTATAAAAAATTCTTTCTATAGAGTTTCTTAAGCTTGTAATAAATAAAAAATTAGGTAGGGTAAATGTGAAGCGCCGTTGGCCCAATTGGATAAGGCGACTGCCTACGGAGCAGTAGAGTCCAGGTTCAAGTCCTGGACGGCGCGTTTTTTCCTTTTTTATTCACATCTATGAGATGAAGAGAATTTTTTTCTAATTTCAAATCTATATTGCAGCACCAACAATGCCCATATCATATAAAATTGAAGAACTATGAAAGAAAACTTCATAGTCGAAAACGGCTTTCATTTAGGAAATCTTCGGAAATGAATACTCTGTCAATTTTTCGAAACGAAAAGTGACAAATAAAATGAGCCATTTTGACGTAATATGGAAGTGATCTGATAATAAATCAAAATTCATATTCTCTTGCAAAAAATTGCCTGATCAACCAACATGGCAAATTTTGAATTTAATCGGATTTTATATCATTGATCTCAATATATCACAGAGCATATTTTAGAAAAGTTAGTTCCAGAAAAAAAGTCTATAGTTTACATCAAATTGAGAACAACCGTTTGTAAATGAGTGATTCGAGCTCGTCAGGCGTACCTTCAGATTCAGATGAGTCTCCAAAACCAGAGGTACACGAAACACCAGAAGAAGCTCCAAAAGAGCCAACTCCAGCTCCAGCCGCAGCCCCAGCAGAGCAAAAACCAGCCGAAAAACCTAAGCCGAGACAAAAGAGAAAAGATGATTTCAATCTCGGCCAGGTTATTGGTCAAGGCGCATTCGGTCAAGTCTTAGAAGTCGAAGATAAGGAAACATTAAAACATTATGCAATGAAAGTTTTGCTTAAAAGCCACATCATGCGTGAAAAGAAGATGAATTATGTTACAATCGAGAGAGATGCAATGACGAAACTCAATCATCCAAACATTGTAAAATTATACTTGACATTCCAAGATCCCGGCAACCTCTTCTACGTTGTCGAGCTTGCTCCTAATGGCGACCTCCAGAAGGTTATCGCTGAGTACCACACACTCTGCATTCCTGCTGCAAAAGTTCTTTTAGGACAAGTTCTTCTTGCTATTGCACATATGCATAAAAAGAGAATCATGCATCGTGATCTCAAGCCAGAAAACATCCTTCTTGACAGCGAGAATCGTGTTAAAATTACAGATTTTGGTACTGCCAAGATATTCGGCCCAGATCAGGAATTCCGCTCCGAACGCGGCTCTTTCGTAGGAAGCGCTGACTATGTTTCACCAGAAACCCTCAAGGAAACGCCCATCACCCCTTCATCCGATCTTTGGTCTTACGGATGCATTGTATATGCATTATTAACTGGCGAAGGACCATTCCATACAGAATCTTCATACGCAACATTCCAACGTATCGAATCCAACGATTTCAAAGTTCCAGATTTCGTTCCAGAGGACGCAAAGGATCTTATCGAAAAGCTCTTGAAGCTCGACCCTACGGAACGTCTTGGTCACGAAACCTACGACGAAGATTACAAGCCGATTCGCGATCATCCATTTTTCGCCGGCATAGATTGGGATTCTCTTCCACTTACACCACCTCCTAAATTTGCTCCACTTGTAGAGCGCGAAGAGGAGCCTGTTAAGGAGGAAAAGCCAGTACAAGAAGAGAAACCAGTCCAAGAGGAAGAACCAGTCTTCCAAAAGAAGAGCCACATGGAACAGTTCCTTCTCTCTGGCGAACACATTATATACGAAGGAGATATCCAAAAGAGAGTCTTCTTATCCGTCAAAAATAGAAGACTTATCCTTACAGACAGACCAAGATTGTTCTACGTCGATCTTAAGGAGAATAAGATCAAAGGATCAATTACAATCTGCAAGGAATTGGAAGTTAAGATCGTATCTAAAACGAAATGGAACATTATCATTCCGGAGAGAACTTATAACCTAATCTCCGAGGACTGCGATATCAATCAATGGAAGAAGGTTATAGAGGAAGTTGTTGCTAAGATTTGAGGATTTTTTATATTAAAGGTTATGAATGTACTCATATTTCAATTTTTTTTAAACAAAAAGGAACTTCAACAAGTGATTTATCAACATTTAGTTATATTGCTTAATGACATACATAGTGTTATAATAAATCATCTCAAACCAACGAATTCCATAGTTTCTATCTCGCAATTTTTATCATTTCGATAAATTGCATAGAGTATTATATTCGCGGAAATTTCTCCATGCAAATACAATATAAATAATCTTGAATTTATCAAATTTATTTTTATGAAAAAATAATTAATAGAATAATCATATTTTAAGTCAATAAATAATGTTTTTAATGGATAATATTTAGGAAAATCAAATAAAAATGTTTTATACCAAATCATTCATAGAACGATATAGAATTTTTTTTTTGTTCGTTATAATAAATGTCCGACAACGAAATAGAGGTTATCGGCACCATAGATTATCCAGAAGAGGAAGATGAAATGAACTATGAGAAGCTTTTACTCAGCGATGATTCCGATGCTGATGATGACGAAACACTCGAAATATTACTGAGAAATGCGAAATCTCATACAGCCGCTAATGCAAAGCAAAATGAAGAAACAGTAGTCGAAGATCCATCCAACAATCTTATCGAAAATTGTGATAGCTTTGTCCGCGCTTTTCTCACACAAAAACGTTTACATGAAACATTGAATACTTTTCAAGCAGAATGGTATAAACTTGAAGCAACAGGCAGATTAGACCGTTCTAAAATAGGTAAAGTTCCATTACGTTACATTGAATATTATAATGCTGATCAAAAACTTCGCAAACTCGAGTCTGAAGTACGCAGAATGCAAGAAACAGCTACACGTGTACAAAAGACATGGTCAAAACTTAAAGTTGATCGTGATAACTACAAACTTAATCATATGCGTGTTGGATATGAAAAACATGCAACATTGGAAGCAATTCGTGGTGTATTAAATCAAACAAACAAGAAAATGCCTACACTCGACGATCTTAACAGTAAAATCGAAGCAGCTGACAAAGATCGCATGTTACTTGAGCTTGAAGTGCAAAGACTTCGTCAAATGCACGAGCGTCTTCTTGCAGCTCAACCAAAGCCAGAACCGAAGACTCCAAAGACGGCAAAGAAATCAAAAGAAGAACAAGAAGCCCAACAACCACCGAAAATCCAAATTACGCAAGTCCTTCCACAAAAAGAAGGTCTCAATCCATACGTCGATGTTGGAAAACCAAAGCTCGACCAACTTACTCATCGTGTTGTTCATAAAGCTCACGACTGCCCAGTTTCAGCAGTTGCCGTCCATCCAAAGCGCAAAGTCTATGCAACAGCAGGTGATGACGCCGTCTGGCATCTTTGGAACGCCGATAATAACGAACTCCTCATATCTGGTCGTGGTCATACCAAATACATCACTTCACTTGCCTTCCATCCACGTGGCGCCCACATAGCAACAACATCTGCCGATGGAACAGCCCGCGTTTGGGACTTTTTGTCCTCAAAGTGTTCGCTTGTTCTCCAAGGCCACACAGATGTTGTTTGGTCAGCTGATTTCCACTCAGGAGGCAGAGTTCTTGCAACATGTGGCATGGACTCAACGATCAGGCTCTGGGATATGCAGGGCGGCCAGCAGCTCTCTATTGTCCATCAAGGAGAAAGAGATGTAAACGTTGTTCGATGGCTTCCTTTCTCTAACACTTTCGTGACAGGAGATGCTGAACACGTCGTCGGATTATGGGATGCCAGACAGGCAGCAATGATAAACAGAGGTCTTGGCCATACAAGCACTGTTTTCGGTGTCGCGCCGTCATTAAATGGCAAATATATTGCTTCAGTTGATGGCGCTGGCGGTGTCAAAGTTTGGGATATAAGAAACATGGATGTTGCTTTCGAGACGAAATATACTTCATGCATTAACGCATGCGGATTCGATATGTCTGGATCATTCATTTTCGGTGCTTGCAATGATGGAAAGGCAATGGTTTTCCTCAACGACCAGGAGAAATCTACTTGGGCAATGGCTTCTTTCGACGCTCCTTGCGAGACAATTGCAGCTAATAACGACTGCGATTTGGTTGTCTGCGGCTGTATGGATGGAAATGTCGCTGTTTGCACAATGAATTAATTTTTATTCTTTTTTTTATTATTTTGTTAAAAATTAAGTCTCTTATTGTTTTATCTCATTTTAATTTCATCAATTTCTATATTCTACATACACAAATCTTTCATAATGAAATACTTTTACAATATGCCAAGGAATACATTGATCTTCATTTTGCATCATATGATAATTAAAAAATTATTGAATACAGATATGATGATGAAAATTGTAGGATCAATGATGATCATTCAGATATGAAAATGTAAAACAATCATATTACAATGAATTTCTTGAAACTATGAAGGATAAAACGATCCAAAAAGTAAACAAGATGAAATATATTACATTCAAAATACTCTAATTATATTCAAGAACCATAAGAAAGCTTCAACAAAAAAATTTATTTCTTGATTTATGGTATATTTGAGATAAATAAAAAATATTGAGGTAATTTATTTAAACTCTATTTTTTACAATCAAACATTATAATTACAAATGCTATTACAAATAAAATATAAAAATTAAAATGGTAAATCAATTGGAGTACGCATCTTATACTTCTTTGTTGGACGGTGGAATGGACGGCAGCGGATTGCTGATAAATTAATCTCGTAATTCTGTTTTGGATGATGAAGACAAATCAAAGTGTGATTTTTATTGATTTGCTTTACTTTATTATCACTGGATACAACTATAATTGCACCAGCAGATTCTTTAACTATCAAACCTTCAAAACCAATAAGATTTGGATCTCTTGATGCAACTACAGTGATTGGAGCTCCATGGAGGTCCATTTTAGTGACACTTTGCTCATTTCCGCCTACCCTTTCTGCATAGTCATGCCATAGTTTAGAAATAGGCTCAATCATTGCGTATGTTATTTTACTTTTATCGTATTTAAAGTTTTGCTTTCTGAATTTGCGTGTTGAAAGATTCTTCCAAGTAGAATGCTTCCTTTCATTTCTGTTTATTTTTCTCTGCTCAATAACATCTAATTTTGTTTTGCTTGTGGATAAATGATCCAACGGAATGAACTGTTGAACAAGCTTCGGTAAATCTTTCAATCCAGTTATATTTGTTTTGTGAGTTCTTGATAAGATATAATCAATTCCACGGTCAACAGACATCGAAAAAAATTGACAAAAAACTGACACAAAAAATTTAATAAATCAATTTCATGTTTATAACATGATATGTGATATAACATAAGAAATAAATCAAAATACCTCACAACAATTCCAAAATAATATATTTGTTCGATATTTGATTCAAATCCTATTGAATTTTCATCAGTGAGTATATGATATGCCAGATATTGCACAAAATATGCAGATAGGAATATACTTTACATATTCAATCGTTTGTTTGAAGAATTTCTTCATCGAAATACTGGATTGAAGCACGAACTTGAGAAATCTTTATGATTTTATACAATTATGTATTGAAATATTTCATTATTACCACACTATAATCTTTACTGACATAAGATTTTATAAAAATTTCGGAGAGTTTTCAATGATTGTCAGCAAAAATCCTGTTAATCCAGACAACCCAACCATAGGCAATGAAAGCGAAACACACGAAGATGATAACGTGACAGAAGAAATTGACTTTGATGATATAAAAGACGAAGATGAATCAGAGATTAAACATGAAGAATCATCTGATGGGGTAGATTACATTAAAAAATACAAATCGAATCAAAGACACTTAGATACAATTGTCAAATACTTAATAATCATTGGAATAATCATTAGAATTTTATTTTTTTTAATGCCAAAGTTCAAAAGACGTGTTGTTGACACTCCAATCCATCAGACTTCGATGAAATCATTTTTGAAAGATACATTTACATTACTTAATGAACCTTTGAAAAATAAAAATGAAATCATGGAGCAATATAATCAAATTGTGGAATTTCTGCGTGATAACTCCACACGCGAATCAATAATAGATGAAATCAATCGGACAAATCTAGTTGAACGTTCGAAAAAAGTAATTTTAGAATTATCAGAATACTGTGAAAACAATAACAATCAATTGATCATATTTATCATGATATCAGCACTCACAGAGCTTAGAAAATACAATTATCCAGTAACAGCAGATAAAACATATTTATTCAGACTTATTGATAGATGCATGGAAGCATCAACATTAATGAGTACATTATTCAACTTTATTAACACATTTGCAGATAAAAACGAACTATATAATGGATTTTTCAAGGATTTAAGCAAACATTACGCTGACTTTAAGCAAAGACCATATATGTTATCACCTGTTGAATTTATTTATAATCTTGTTCACTTTAGAAAATTGAATGAAAGTGATTATCAGCATGTTTGCAATTTTCTCTCGGAATCAGATCTTCAAAATATGCAAAAGTTTGAAATATATTCATTTTGCCATATTTTTAATAGATTATCATGCTCTGATCGTGATGCAATATTGAATTCAAATGAATGTCAAAAAAATAACTTCTAAGCCAAAGTGAGCTTATCAGCTCGATACTTAAATTATCCATGTTATTTTTGTCCAGATCTTCTATTCTTTTTATGAAATGGATTTTTTATTAACTTATATCAATATCAAATGAGTTAAATGAAATCTATAGAAACATAATTCCATAAATAAATTGACATCACAGATTATTATGGATATTCTCCTATTATGCATGCATTATTATCTGTATCGAGATTGTAAAGCTCCTTGTATTCCATGGTGATAATATTTATATATAAAATTCAAGGATGATGATTGTATTGAAAATGAATGTAAATCAGGATGAAAAATAATTAATAGATTCATGAAAATAAATTTTTTATTATTTAATTATTAACAGTAATTGCATTTGTCAATTATTATGGCAAAATAATCAATATATCAAAAAATTTATATGAAGATTCAATATTTTTATTCATATTTTAAAAATATTAGGCATGTAACATAAAGAAAATACATCTATACTCTATTTATTTCGGAATTTTGTGTTGTAATTGTGCGTTGATTACTGAAAAGGCCATTTCTGGGTTAGACTGGAATGCTGCACTTGCAATCATGGCTTTTGCATTTTGGATAGCATTATGTTTGCTCTTCTTTTGTGAACGACGTGGATCTGCTTCTTTCTGGCTACCTTCTAATGCAATTTTAGTAACTAACTCGGCAAATGCAGAGCCCATAGTAGCTTGTGCTTCGGGAACTTGCTCAACCTGAGCTTGCTTCTTTTCAAGCTCTTCTTGTTTCCGCATCTCGGCTTTAGCTTCTTCTTTAGCTGCTAATTCTTGGGTAAGTTTCTCTTTCTTCTGTTTGCGCTTCTCTTCCTTCTTTGTAGAACCAACTTTTGGCTTTAGTGCTTCTTTTGCACTCATTTTTGATTCTGTTTTTTTTTCCTCGCTTCAATAGACAGAATTGAGAGACATAAAATTTTAATTGATATGATATTAAAAATAGATTCTCACCCATTCATTAATCTGATATATTAGAAATTCGATGTGCTTGATGATGATTCTATTGCATTTCGAGCGAATTTATATGTCAGAGTTGATCATCATGATAAGGTTCAATTTGCCTGATTGAGGACCGAGTTTGAATATTCTTTTGAAGAATTCATCAAAACTTCAATCCTATATGATGCATTTTTCATTCTAATAAGATTAAAGCATAGTTGCTTGTGTGTTCAACGCTGTAGTCTTGTCGAGACGATTTAGATTTTATAAATATAATAATTTTGCCAATTTTTCCGGGGTAAAAATATTCTTTTTAACAAGGAAGCCAAGGAATGTGGAAGTTTTATGTTGCATAATAGACCAGTGATAATAGAACTTTCGAGACACTTAACCGAAATATCAAAATAAATTACTATTAATTTCAGAGGGATGAGCTTCAGTATATTTCATAATCTGACCGAATTTATGACAGAATAAACTTATGCTTATGAGTTTAGTAAAACAATACAAAGAGAAGAAATGAAATGATATGAATAATGATAAGCAATTTCAACTTTTGTGATAATAGAGTTCTTTTTCGCTAAAATAGGAAACTTTGCTTCACAGAAATATGATGAAAAGTGGGAAATCTGGGCAATACAATATCTATTTTGAACCTTAATTTTTGTAACGTATCCTCTTGTTTTATCATTTCTGTCACAGAAAGAATCCTTAACTGTAATTGAACCAGATTCAAATTGAAAAAATTCTACTCCTGGTCCTGTGTTTCCAAGAAATGAACAGTTTTCAATAAGCACATTTGAATTGATTGCATGGAGTGTTCCATGCGAATCTAGTTTGTGTTCATTATTCAAAACGTTACAAAAATTAAAATTATAGTTACCAATATCAATCTGTAAAATTAAACGTGTTGATGTTGTATTACAAAATGATGAATATGTTACGTTACTTAGACCTGTTGATCTTAATATATATATTCCTGAATCATATTCTGCTTCACAGAAACTTGTGTTGATTGCTTTAACTTCAATATTTCCACAGTTAAGACAATTGGTTCTAGGTTTTTCTAAATTTCCGCATTCATAAAATGAACTTTCATAAAGATAATTTTTATTATATGGTTTATCAACTAATTCAACATATGAATGATGTCCATCGTTATTTGTTTTTGATCTGAAGCCACATGTTCGGCGCTGGACAATGGAACTATCACACTTAAAGTAGATAGATCCACCATTGGTATTACTACTGCAGTTAGTAAATGAACACTCAGAATTAAGAAATTTGTTGTTTGCATTAGTAAAATAAATGGCGCTATTGATTGTAATTGTGATGAATATGCTGTTAAAAATAAAGCAAGCGTTTTCTGATGATGCTGCTCGAACATTTTCCCCAGCGATAAGTTTTGGAGAAGTTGATGTTCCATAAAAACGTTCACAAACATCACCAGAAGATTTTCAGTTTCTCCTTTTCAAATTTTAAGGGTCCACTGTAAAAATTGAAAGTCTCTCAAAATTGAGAGGCAATTTGCAATTAATCGTTATCGTCTTTTTTCGAAAATCCACTTTTCCTAGTGTTCTGATTAATATTTTGTGAATGTAACAATGAAGTATATGTTTTAGTAAGATGATAATATATTCTATCACTTCAAATCACATAAAAATTGCAAAATCAGCAAGTATTATAAGAAAATGATTTTTTCGAATTTTTTCGCTTCTGGATGCGTGTTTTGAAAAATAGATATTTTCGAATTTTGATTTTAATTTAAGTATAAATTTTATATTAGGAATTTTTTTGACCTATTTCCAATCATTAATTCCTAAGTTTTTCTAGGAATTTAATTGAGAAGAAATTAGGAAATTCGCTTTAATGCCATTCCATCCTAATATTGTGATGCATGTAGTTTATATTTATTGAGGCTAATGCCGGAATATCGTGCATTTTATAAAAAATTCAAAGAATTGACAATTGGATAGCACAAATTTAATTCTCTAGACAAAGTATTATTGTTTATATATTCAAAGCATTATCCTTAGTTTTGAAATGTTGGCCAAAAATTTTCGTGTTATTTTTTGTGTTTCAGCATAAATTATGTATTGACTTATGAAAGATAAGCATTTTATTCATTATCATAAAGATATACCAAAACAAATTGATAAAATTTAAAAAAAAAGTGTATTTTAGTGGGTATTATTCTGGCTAATGCCCATTTTTAAACGATTTAATATTGACCATATCAATAGACGACTCAATGTAAAAATTTAGATATTATTTTTTTCATTATTCAAACTTTGATAAATTTTAGTATAATGAATGATTTTGTTTCGTGTATGATACAGAAATGAAAAGCTTAATTAATATCATTTTGCATTTTTTCAAGAATGTTAGAGTACATCTACATTAAAAAATCGGATTCGAATTGCAATACTGCATCAAATTGTTGCACATCTGATAAGGATCTCAAAAGAGTAAAGTTAATTTTTTTGTGTTTTTTTAAGTTTTGGGCCTTAGTAAAAACACCATCTTGAGCAATATTTTTGGGACGACGATAGACCTTATTTGGCCTTACAGTGGACCCTTAATGAATTCTTAGAAAGGAGAAAACATATCTTTCTCTGAAAATTAATTATACTTGTTGAAAACTACTTTTTCGTCCTCCTTTTCAATTTTTTACTGATTTTTTCTTCTCTCAATTTCATTTTTAATGCTCTTCAAAGACGTCAGATCATGATTAGAGAAGAAGTGTGTGAATGGGAAGCATTACAACAAGGATTACTCTTTTCAGATATTCTCAAAAGATTTCAAACCGAAATCTATAAATCATAGCAATTCATTAAATGTCTGTAAACATCCTAGATCTGTGTTCTCATCTCCTATCATATAATGAAGTTGGTTTTTCCTTTTCTGATAAAATATAGCACTTGCCGTTAGCTCCTTGTCCAGCATTGACAATCACTTGATAAAGAGCTTTTATTTTGCCTGGGAGAATATTAAAGATCAGATTAAATAAATGGGATGAATTCAAATTTTAAATTAAATTTTGAATTAATAAGCAAAAACAATGCTTTGCATCTTTTATATCCAAACAAAACATAATTCAATGATTCTATGCATAGAAAATGCTTTTTTCAAATTGAATAATTAATTCACTTATAAATTTGATTTGTACATGGTCATAACAACTCTTCATAAAATTCTGGATTTAAATTTATATTTTGGATGCTGTTACTCAAGAAATCCATTGAATCAATATCAAGTCGAATGTTTTCAAGACTATCTATACCTGAATCATTTAAAACATCAAATTTTGACCCAGATGTTTCTGTTGGTGCGGTGCAATTAAGCGGGATTTCAATATTTTTTGTTTGAGATGTCCATTCAAGCTTTAAAACTTTAGCTTCGGCGTCATGAAAGTCAACTCCCTGTGGCGGTTGAATCTGCCTTTTATGACCTATAAAAGAATGAAATCTTTCCTCATGGAGGGGGAAGCCGTTTCTTCCTACGCAAATAATCCTTCCCCCAACTTGACCATTGCGAATATTATCAAATAACACTATACGAAGATGTTTCTTAGCTATTCTTACCATATGTTAAGTAAAAACCGAAATATTTGTTTCAAATACCGAAGCAATGTCAAAATTTGTCTATTTTGAATATCAGAAAACCGTTATTTTTTTTACCAAAGTTTTAAAATTCGATTAATAAATAACGAAACTATATGCTCACGAAAATACAGTTTTTGCGCTTGTTTTGCAAACAGTGAGTTTCAATTAAAAAAAATCAAGAGATTGTAATATCATTCATTGATCGAAAATGTTAAATTTATGTTTTTTCCGACGACGGTTTTAAATTCAATTTTTATATCCACCACAACGAAAATTTCAAAATTTTCGTTGTGAATTTTTATTTATTTTTTATTTATTTTGATTTTGTATAAACTCTATGAAAATTTTGTGAAAAATATTCCCATCATATTATGGGGACTCTTTTCTACAATGTTTGAGTGATTTCTTAACAAAATTTACAACTATTTAATTTTTCAAGTAACATTCAAAATTGAATTATAGAATTCTATTAGACGGCTGAAACATTTTTATACTCCACAACATTCTCTATAAAAATACACTATTTTTATTCTCAAAAATTTTTGACTCATTTTCTGATGGGAAATGTTTTTCATTCTATGCATTAAGACTTCATCCTTCAAGTATTCTAACATAACTCAAGACAAATTAGATGTACATGCCAAAATACTTGATGAATCCATTTTCTATAATGTAAGTTGCAGAGAAATTTCACTTATTGATACTGAATCAATAATCATTCTAACTGGAATTCAAAACCTCAAGATAATAAATCTCCCTTCTTCATTAAATAAAATAAACTTTTTGGCATTTCCCCATATGACAGATTTATCATTTACAGTTACACTGGAATCAGAAAATATCTATATTGATCATGATTCATTATTTTATAGCGACAAGCAAACATATTTAATACGCTATTTTGGAAAAAAAGATAAATTTAATATAAGTTTTCCATGCACAATATGTCCATATGCCTTTGACATACATAATTATTATGTTAATGAATTGATTTTTGATGCTGAAGTAGCAAATTTCATTCATAGCCAACCAAATATTTTCAATACAATAATTATCAAATCAAAAATTTTTATAGAGGGATCAAACCCCATCAAAACATCAAGGCTCTATCTTTATTCTGATGGGAAGGAAGTTTATTTTGACACGGAACATCTTTATCTTTTCCACCCCGAAATAAATCTTGATGGACTTAATCCACAATTATTTTTGGCAAAAAATGTCACATTTTACAGTGAGAATATTACTGGAGATTTGAGCGAATGGAGAAAATTAGAAAATATTACATTTGTAAATTCAGGAAATTTATGTTTATCTGATTCTTTGTTGCCGACATCAAGAACACTAAATATACATTTTCTCAATACAATTAATATCAAAACTTTTGAAGATACACCTCTTTTTTCACTCATAGATTACCAAATAAATTATACATTCCCAACAAACTATAACTTTATTCCTTCGAATTTCTTTAGTTGTGCAAATTTAGGAAAAGAATATAAAATTAAAGAAGATGTGATTGATATCGGTACAAATGCTTTTGAAGGTTGTATAACAATTGAAAAAATTATTCTTCCACCAGAAGTTCATTCATTAAAGAGGTGTACATTTAGAAATTGCAGGAATCTTAAAGAAATCGATTTGAGTAATATAGAAAGTATAGGTCATTCTTGTTTTAGTGGTTGCAAATCATTGAAAAAGATTAATATTTCTAATGTAAATAATTTAGGATCAAATGCATTCTCTAAATTCACAGATTTAAAGGAAGTCATTTTGTCAAATAAATTGAGGTATATACCTGAAAATTTGTTTTCTCATTGCTATAATTTGACTGTAATTAACATTCATGATAACGTTTCTGAACTAGGAAAGAATTGTTTTGATCAAACTTCTATTGAAGTACTTCGAATACCAAATTCTGTGGAAAGAATTGGTTCATTAGGAGAAATGAAATCTCTCAAGAAATTATATATTGAACAAAACTCTAGACTTTCAAAGATTATTTATACTTTATTTGGATCAATTCATTGTTATGGAACTAAGATAAATTTACCAAATCTAGAAAATATCGATTTGACAAGCAACGGAAATTTTAATATTAAAAACGACTGCTTGTATGATAAGGATTATTCAACATTAATTGTTTCTCTTCCAAGAAAAAATTCAGCGAGAGTTTATATCATGAATAGAACAAAAACAATACAAACACTTGCTTTCTTCAATAATCCAAATATAAAGTCGATTATTTCCATTGATAATATGAATTTGGAAATATCTACAGGTGCTTTTTATAATTTGACAAATCTAAGAACAATTGTTTTCAGAAATGAAACATTGCTTAGCAATAACTCTTTTATCGGATGCATGCGTCTTTCAAAACTAAAAACTAATGATTGCCAGCAAGAGTTTATTGACAAATTTAAATATTCAGGGATACAAACTGACATACTTAATTCGACAGATTTTTGTCAAATATTGCCAGAACCATCTGACAATGAAAACATCCGGTTCATTATAAAGGAAACATTAAAATATAGAAGAAGATAATATTTATAAGCAGTTACTATTATAAAATGTTAGCAACAATAAAGATGTTATATTAAATTTGTTTGTAATAATAAAATCTAATACTATTTATTAAGAATTCACGTATGATATGTGGAATTAGATTCGTAATTCCTAACACATTAAAATTGAGTTTCATATTAGTTTAAATCAATTTGATGCCTAAATATTACAATATACCTTTTTTAAATTATAACTTACTTTCAACTATTAACATTTTGATGTTATAATGCTAATATTACAAGTATAAAAATCATGCTTTATTTCTCTACAAAGTTTTCATATTTACATTAGCTCCTTATAAAACATGATATGAATCAAACTCTAAATCCACAGTTATCTTGTTAACATTAATACGTAACAAGGGTCAATAGTGTTTCAATACAAGTAATCATTATTCGATAATTTAATTTCGCATAATAAGGAAAAAAGTTCCAATTTAATGAAACTATTTCCATTTTGACTCATAAAGAGGATCACTAAATTGTGAGTGAATAAAAATTCTCGGAATCAAAAAAAAAGAAGTCAAAAATAAAATTAAACATAAAAAATTATTTTTAATTTTTTTACACCTTAGAATACTCAGCGAGAACTTTTTCGACGTCTTGTATCTGATCCAAAGCATCATTAGACATGACATCGCTTTGCAACATTGCAGACATTGCGAACATTGGATCTACACCACTTTTATTGATAATTCTCAAAGGATTTGAGTAATTTTCAACACTTCTCTTTAAAGAGTCCAATTTTCTTTGTATTATATTCTTCTGGTGTTCCTGGCATTCGCAGCACATATTTGTATTTTCGCCAAGACATTCGATATGATAAGAATGTCCACAAAGGAAGTGTTTTGCAGGGAGATCAATCACCCCATTACATTTTCTGCATCTTGTTTGATTAGCTTTGTAATGTTGTGTTGTCAGTTTTAGTTGTTGTGTGTCTTCATCAACTAATTCATATTCAGTTTGCATCAAAATTTTCTCCATTTTTTGAATTCTTGTTTGTTTTGCTTTGAATTCAGCTCTTGCGATTGATTTAATTATATACATTTTAAGTTTCCTGTCTTTACCAATTATCTCGAGAAGATCAAGGAAATCTATTGGTCCATTAACATCTTCCATTTCTCTGTAAATTTTTTTTTGGTTTTTATTTATTTTCATCTTCAATTTTTCTTGTGTTTGGTTTTCATCTTCTTCTTGTTCGACTTTTAAGTCAATATCTATTGTATCATAATACAATTCAGATACTCTTGTCTCTGCTTGTTTCCTCGCTAATACAATATTAATTATCATTTCTTCTATCGTAGTTGTTAACAATTCAATGTCACTTTTTGAAGATTTGACACGCGCTTCAACCAAATATTGTAAAGCGTATCTCCAGAGAGCTTTTGTTTGTCTCCAAATGGGAATTGGGTATGATTCAGCGAACAATTTAGGAATCTGTTCGTATCTCAACAGTTTGATGTATTCTTCATAGAACTTCACATCTTCTTTCATGTAAATTCTCTGCAAACCGTATTTGTAGTCCTCTGATTTGAAGAACAACATCAATGTTTCATTGTCATATTTTTGATCGTTCTGTTGTAAATTGAAATATTTGTCGAAAATTGCGTTTCTTTCTTGATCTTTGTCTTTAAAGATAACGCTCATCATTGCGACATTCCATACATCTTTTGTACAGATCGACGGATTGCTTTCGATGAGTTTTTCGACAAAATTTACTAAAATATGTGGTTTCAAGAAGAAAACACGCATTACTTCCTCTGGATCAACGAATTCCTTCTTGATTTCAATGTTGGGAGGTGGATTTGTCGGACAGCCGTAACAGCAGCAATCAGCTAAAAATTCTGTAAATTTTTTCATGTCACTTTTGTCCTTAAAACTGTCGACCATGTCTGTTCCGTATCTTTTGATGATGCTCATGACTTCGGAAGCGTTGATGGTCGTCATGTGCTGGAAAATGAGTTTGTATTCATGGTCTTCGGCCAACATTCCGCAGTATTCCATGTGCAAACCGTAATTTTTCGCAATTTCAAGGGCTTCCTTCCTGTAAGCACTCAAATTAAGGACTTCGACAGCTGTTGCTACATCGTAGTTAGGTTGCATCTGCTTCTGGGAGTTTTCTATGTACTTTTGGATTTTATCATCTTTTCTTAGCTTCGTGTAACAGTTGAACAGGAGAGTTGTGTGCTGCTTGTTGGCAAGCCTGTTCGCCTGAAGCCCTTCGAGGTATCTAACAAGGTATTCTGCGTACTGGGGGTCAATAAATTTCGTAATTACAGCAGAAGGCTCCAAAAAGCCAATTGTTTGGATGTATTCGTCAATTGACTTATCAAACTTATGTTTGGCGTAGTAGGAATCAGCTCTTTTCGCATGAATCATTGAGATATATTCTTGGCCCATCTTGTGAGTGGCCGCAATCGACAGAGCTACATCGAACTGCTCATTCTGAATAATTGTAGTGATCTTATCGTTCATGTCTACTTCGACCATTCTTGTGATAACATTATTTGAACGGACAAGAATGACGGAATTCCATTCATGGAAGACATAACGCACTGTATCACCATTTGCCGCCTTTCCGAATATGCAGGGAGGCTGGAAATTGTAGATTCTGATGGCAGAATCGTGGGATTTGTTGAAAATGCAGAGAAGAGCGTTTCCTATCCAATGGATTTGGTTTGGCTCTGCATTGAGAGTGTATTCAAGTGGATTTCCTAGCACTTGTTTGTTTAATTTGTTTACCATCGTAGAAAGGTTGCCGTTCGTGGTTTTAACCTGCTTGGAACGTTTCCTCTTCTCTGTTGCGGCCGTCTGCTGCGTATTATTTGAATGGCCGGACTCTGTAAGTTGTCCATATTTATCATAAAAGGAAATTTTGTTTTGCGTGCACGTAAGTAAGATGCCGTCTTCCTTAAGTGTAACCATGCCTGGCCCGATGTCTACATTTTGCATTGTAGAACGATTTACTGGTTCTTCGTTAAATTCGTCAGCCCAGTCGTAATAACGGATTGATTTTGCTGTGGTAACGAAGAATGCATGGACTTGAGGGTTGTTGGAGTCAACAGTGAACAGTAAATTAGTAATTGTATCTTGTAAAGTAACATTTATTGGTTTTGAGGTATACGGCTCTTGGAATATGATGATCTTACGCCCTTCCATCGTGTAGGCAAATTTAGAAAGGTCTTTGTTGATTGCTAGAATAAAAGGCTGATTTTGAATTAATTCTTGAGGATAGAACTCTTTTGGAACATGGATAACCTTCCTTTGTGGATCACCTGTTTCAAATAGTATGAAATAGAAACTATCACGTGATGAAGTTGATTTCACAGCAACTAATCCAAGAGCTTTCTTCTTTGCAAGGTAAATTGATAGGAAAAGCTCATTTTCTTGACGTTTTAGTGTCGTTGACTTGTCTGAATTTGGATTTGTAATGATAGCACCTTCAGAAGGTCTGATATATCCAAAATTTCCACCGAAACCAGTGTCACACTTCGACAAATCAAGATCCATAAGCTTGGGATATGGATTGTCGATGACATCATATAAGTGGTATTCACGGTAATTCGGATCAGTCATTAATTAATTATTTTTCTTTTTTCTGAAATTTGAAAAAAAATAAATTTCTGAGAAACGAGATCGCATTCCTCAGTTAGATCTGATTTTTAAATTTTGATAGTAAAATCGAATATACTTTTATAATTGCGGAGGATTTCCTTCTTATTCTTCTACTAATAGCATATTTTTAAATAAATCAAATTTAATTCCGAAATCAGGTATGAAAATATGGAACATTTTGTATCTATAAAGCAAAATAATCTATTGATCGGACTCTTGTCTATTTTTTCAAAAATTTATAAAAATATTTTACCAAATTACAGGATTAAGACATTCTTACAAATGGTTATGACCTAAACTTATGCAATATGGCTTTTTAATAATGATGTAATAGCAATACAATGAGAGATTACAACGAAATCGATTCGAATTTGGTACTTTTTGCTTCAAAATTCTACAGTAAGCTAATTTAAAAGATAGGTATCAAAAATAATGATATGATAGCTCTCGAAATCAAGGATTTGTTCATGAAATTTTGATAAGAAATGTCACTTTTTCTGCGAAAAGATAAGAAATCGATGTTTAACTTTGCTGACTTTGCCCACCCGGATTATTCTCAGGGAAGGCATAAGAATTTTACGCCAGGCAGAGTTAGAAACATTCAATTTTCTCCAGACAAGCCAAATGAAATCATAAAGACAGAAGAAGTTCAAAATATTTCTCCAAAATCTTCTCCTGACAAAACTACAAAAACAGAGCGACCAAAACTTGTTGTTGAGAAGATAAAGAAAGAAGAACCGAAAGAAGAACCTGAGCCTACCAATCAATTAACAGTAGAAAAAACACCTCAAGAGCAAACACCTGCTACTAATCAACAATACGCACAATATGCATATGGATATCAATATCCCAACCCATATATGTATCAATATGCACAAAATGCGCAATATCCAAGTCAATATCCTTATCCATACACAACACCTGAACAAATAGCTTATGCATATCAATACGCATATCAAATGTATGGTATACAACCACCAAATACTCAAGTTATGCCAAACCAACAACAAGAACAACCAAAACATAAGAAAACTGTTAAAAAAGTTAAAGTTTCAAGGCTCAAACCACGTGTTGAAGATGATAAACCAGCAGCACCATTCGGAAATGACTTAGAAAATAAGAATACAATTGATGATTATATAGAAGAATACGAATACTACGAAGAAGAAGAGGAAGAGAACGAATTACCTCAGCAGCAATCCGTAATGCAGAATCCGATTGTTAAACAACCACTTTTAGTACAGAAACCATTAAATCCGATTCCTACAACTCCATATCAATATGGAGAGCATTCTGGCATCATATTTGACCAAAGCGGACTCTCAATTGAACGACCAACTACGAATAAATCTCTCAAACTCGAATGGCTCCCTCCTGGCGTAAATTTGAAAGAAAAAGAGCCAATTGATGCAATTTTAAAGCGATCTGGCATCTCAATCATAAAGAAAGAGAAGGCCCAGTATAAGCCCATTGTCGTAAACCTAAGAGAAAAGACCCCAGAAGAAATTGAAGAAGAAAAACGTCAAAAAGAGGAAGAAGAAAGAATCCAGCACGAAAAGGAAGAAGCAGAAAAGCGCAAGAAGGAAGAAGAAGAGAGATTGGAAGCAGAAAGAATCGCTAGAGAAGAAGCAGAAAAAATTAGATTACAAGAAGAAGAGAAACTTAAAGAATTGGAACGAATTGAAGCAGAAAAGAATGAACCCGTTCAAGATCATCAAGTTATCCTCGATGAAGATCAGCCAATAGAAGAGAATAACGATGAAGATTTCGGACTTCCCCATTTCGATGAAAAAAGTGACACCCATTCACCCGAACCTAGTAATTTCATTCCAACTGTTAATATTAAATCAACTATTGAAGAAACAACGGAAACAAACACTGAAAGTGATGTTTTCCATCGTATGGACATAGAAGAGAATATTTTGAAGCAATCTCAACAGAAGAAAGAAGAAATTGAAGCAGAACAGCGTCCATTTGATGATCATAATGAAGAAGAGTTCCAATTCTTCGAGGGAGCCATGAGAAAGCCTCCGATTATCATTGCTCCTCCAGACAGCGGATTCGATGAGAATGCCTTCAGTATCCATAATGAAGATAAGCCAGGATTCACATCCCCGCAGCCAGATCCTTTCCTTTTCAGCAAAGAAAGTTCAGCAAGCGCATCTCAAGAAAAATTCCAACTTTCTCGAGATAATTCCGGCTCATCGGAGATGTTCAACTTCAATACTCCTCAAAATAACTCTTCAGACCTCTTGAAAGCTCCAACTTTCGGTTCATTTAATTTCAATTCCAATAATTCACAAGATTCCTTCGTCAAACCACCAACATTCAGTGGATTTAACTCCCAGTCCTCTCCATCCTTCAGTTTTGGCCAGAGTAGCTACTCCTTTGGCTCCCAGGCGATCGATGCATCAGCTCTTCCTCGCGCTCCTGTTTTCGCTTTCGGAGGAGGAAATTCCGACGAAACAATCAAAGCTCCTGTTTTCAGATTCGGTCAGCCATCGCTTAACGAAGGCCCTGTCACACCTACAACGGCAAATCCAATGCCAGAAGACGAAAACGACGAAAGCGAGAAAGAAGAAAACAATTTGATGAAAGATTCTGCTCCTGAATTTTCTTCTGACGTTTTCGGAGGTTTGATTCACTTGGAACGCGAACAGGAGAAACAGGAATCAGACCACGAAGCAGAGACAACGAAGGCGGAACCTGTTATTGATAATGATTTGGATGATATCCTCGGTATTGTTTAAATTTTATTTTTTATATACTTTTTATTTTTGTTTTTTTTTACAAAGACAAACTTTTAAAAGAATCATATGTAAGGAAGTACGGTGAAGTAACCCCAACAGCCCAAATTGGGTCACTTTAATAAATGATTAAACCTTTTGGCAATTTAATTGGTGATACTCAAGTTATTATGTTTCCATAATCATGCTCATTGCTTTTCTTTATTATAATTTGTAACAATTTAAGGAGTGATACTCAGGTCAAATTTGCAGAAATGGATACTGCAAGTGGCATTATATACTTTCCCCTCTGCTAGGGAAAAAAATTATATTATTCACATTAAGATGATAAAAATTATAATGAGGGAATATCCCTCCCATAGTAAACACTATTCTCTATAATATATTTTTATAAGAATTTATTTGGAAATAAAAGCTTTATCTCAAGTGTATTGATGAATCACATGACAACTTGAAAATAGAGTATCATAGTTATATTGATGAAAATGAATAAAAATGATTCTAAATATTAAAAGTTCCTTTATTATTTAACAACAACAAACAAAAAATAATAAGGAAAAGATAAAATTAAAACGCATAAAAAAATTAAACATGGTTATATAAATCCGAGTTAAATAAAGATATTATTAGGATCGATATCATCTTCATCACCATTAAAGAATGGATCATCCGTGTCGGATGCATATGCAATAGTAGTAAGAATTTCGGTAAGATATTTCGTCTTTTCAGCATCAACATTTAATGGATCGGTCTCTGAACTTTCCGCACTCTTGTCATTACTATTGTTGTCTTCGTTGTTCTTCTTGTGACGAACATATAAAACAATACCAACAATGATCAATGAAATCAAAATCAATGTACAAACAATACCAATGATCATGAAGTTCAGTGGATTGGATTTAGAACTGGAACCATTGTCTTTCTGTTGTTCGGTGTTACTTGATGTTGAAACTGCGGCGCCACCTTGTGCAATAGTACGTGCTAATGAACGTGTAGGAGAGATGGTTTCAACTGGAGTAGGATTGAATGTAATGAATGGTGTATCGAACATAGTTTCAAATGCAGTAGAAAATGGTGTTGAATGTGGAGTGGAAAATGCTGTTTCAAACGGAGTTGATGATGCGGTTGAAAATACTGTTTCGAATGCTGTAATAAATGGAGTTTCGAATGGAGTAACTGCCTTTGATAAGTCAGGTGTTTGATGGGCTGTTGAAAATGGAGTAGAATGTGCGGTAGAAAATGGAGTGTCAAATGCGGTTTCGAACGCAGTTAAAAATGGAGTGTCATATGGAGTAGAAAATGCGGTAGATGATGCGGTCGAGAATGCAGTTGAAAATGGTGTTTCAAATGATGTTTCAAATGGAGTGGAATGTGCAGTAGAAAATGCTGTTTCAAATGCAGTCAAATATGGTGTTTCGAAGACTGTTTCAACTGGTGTCTCTGCGAATGTTGGTGATGGCGGCGGCGTTGGACTTGGAATTGGTGTCTCCATTGGTGTTGGAATCCATCTTGCTTCAACTTTGAAATTATATGCGTAACGATAACCAAAGAAACCTTGTAATTGTGGACTAATAGCATCAGAGAAAACTGCAAAGTAAATTCTTCCTCCTTCTTCAATTACAAGTTCTGGTAATTCAAAATATGAATTAACAATTTGTGGAACATCAAGTTTCCACATGAAAATTGCATCACTAACGCTTGCAGATCCTCTAGAGGCGATTACATAAAATTTTGTCAATCCGGTATACCATATTTGGAAATTAATTTTTGGAATGAGTTTATAACCACCTTCAACATCAACATAATGCCAATTCACTAAATAAGCATTTGTTGGGAGTAATTCATCGCTTGCTTGTCCTTCTAATGCATTAAACATTACTGTTTGACAGAAGTAGCCTCTACTGTTTCCCTCGCATTGACAGACACCATTTTCACCACATGGTTGGCCCGAACAATTAGCTGGACATGTTGGATTTTCTAATTTCTGGAGTTTGAATGGAACTGCATCATTTTTAGTGTCAATACCTGCAGTGATAGACAAAGCGAATGTAACATCAACATCGTCATCAACATGGAAATCATTTGAAAATATATGGATTTTAACAGTTGTCGGATCAATTTGTCGGATATATGCTCTTTCTACTGTTGATCTTTGGTCTGCTTCATGTGTATTAAAAATGGAGTTTCCTGCAATTGTTGTTCCTGCAGCTTCAACAACCAAATTCAAATCAATGTAAACAAGATGTCCATCATCTCTTGGTAAAGGCAAATCAAGATAAGCCATTGTTACTGATAATCCAGAAGTTTTTGTTGTATTGAATTCATAAACAAAATGTTCATTTGGTCCTATTTTAACATTATCCAAAATTCTGATACCGCCATTAAATGGAGTATCAGCACCAACACCAAGAGGATCAGCAAGAATTGATGGGCCACGGAGATTTTCAAATAAGAAATAACCTTGACGACCAGAATTTACAGCAATGGCTCGAAGTAAGTTTCCTGATGGACTGAATGCATCGTCTGGATTTGGTTGTCCTGATGGATAATATCCTTTCTCAAAGAACTCTCTGACTAATGCAAGTTCTCCTGCTGCAAGAGCTGTAGCTCCTGATGTTCCATCTAATGAAATTAGACTGTCAAATGAAGTATCTCCAAGTGTTGAATTAGCTCTTGCTGATTTAGTTCCTGAACCAGCGAATATAACATCTGGTTTTCTGATGCCATCAAGTGTTGGACCAGTCTCAAATGGATAATTAAGATTTCCCCAGTCAAAATCGTTTTTATAAGTAATGCGTCCATATGATTCATTTGTCATTTGATTAATTGTTTCTTCTGATGTTGTTAAGATTAAAATAGGACCGGTTCGGGAACAGTTTGTCAGGTTGTCAAGGTAAACAAGAACACGTGTGCCATCAGGAATGTTTTCAACACATTCATATGAATACTTCATTAAGCCATCACCACTAATGTTTGAAATAGAAAGATTAGAATAATCAATAATTGGTGATTTCGTTTGATAAAAGAATGTCTCATTACTATATAATGTAGCAGGTTTTTCTCCAGACCATATTGATATAACTAAGTTTGAATTCGGGTTGTTTTCAATGTTAGAAACCTGTTGTCTTGTTGATGATCCAACTGTTAAGACATTGATGGCATCTGCAGGAGATGCAACTTTATTTCCTGTGGCTGGAAATAGGAAAAGTTTGTCTGGGTTTTCAAATGCAGCTTTGTTTAAGGCATTTGTAAGAGTGGGTGAATAACCTGATGACGCCCAACTGTTTGATGAGATCTTAGAGCCAACAGAATCCATTGATTCTGTAAGTTTTGTGAAATTGATTTGAGAATCAATTGTTGTATCTGAGATTTCAATGACATGAAGTTTAGCGTTCGTTGCTGCGCCTTCATATAAAGCATTTGCTGAATAGTCGGCTTCCGGAGTACCGGCAATAAGACCGGCACAGTATGTACCATGAACGTGATCACTGATGTTAAACTCAGTGGATGAATTAGTCCAGTTCTCGTATTTGTAGATCTTTCTGTGAGTAGGATATGTATTTGGACCATCAATTGAAACGATTGAATCTGAAAAGAAAGTATGTGAAAAATCAACACCGTCATCAACAATTGTGACAGTCTGACCGTCTCCTGTGAGGCCCAATAGTGTTGTAAGTCTTCGATCTGGACGAAGTTTCCAGCCATCGTAACCTAGACTGTTAGTACCAACTTCAGAAAAACCAACAGCAAATCTAGCATGAAATTCAATGGGCGATGATGGTTCTACACTTAAGACATGTTCATCGGAAAGAATATCATCAATCATGTCGTTGTCAACGACTTTGCAAGAAAAGGTTTCAAAACCAGAAGGTTCACATTGTGTTGGATAGTGCCATGATTCGGATGCACGAACAAAATAATGATTTGTAGAAGAATAATTAATATTGTTGTAGTACTTTGGTAAATAAGGTTCAATATCAAAATGTGATGTAGATGTAAAATAGTTGTATTCGTCTTGATCTAAGTACGACATGAAGATTTCTTGAGTGACTTTATGTTCATATCGAAAAATGTGTGGGTAATGTTTGCGATAATTTCGATAAATATCACCTCGAAGTGAAAAAAGTGCATGCAAATAGAACCAGCCGCTTGTTTGCGTCTCAAGGAGGCGGCGTCCTCGACGTGCTTCTGGTATAAAATTGATTCCTCCTCGAAGCACCATTATAAAAGTGACACTTATCAAAAAATAGGAATTTGAGAGAATTGAAATTTTAATAAATTTACCAGTCTCTTAGTATGCTTATCCATATTTTCGATAAAAAATATACTCCGGCAGATTTTACCTCAAAAATTTGATTTGATAATAAAGTTTCGGATAAATGGATCGATTAGATCTATTGGATTGAATTCTAATTTCAAGATTTGAAAGTTCAACTTTTATTATGATCATTCAAAAATGCAAGGACAATTTTATCAGATAATAATATTAACATATTATTTAGATAAAAATAACATGATTTCAAGCCGAATAAAAAAAATTGTAAAGTACTTTTCAATGGGAATGATCGTCAAATTTATGATGGGGAATGAAGTGGGAAAAGTAGTGTATCTTAAAAAATTAGTTTGAGAACTTAAATAATTTGTAATAAACAGAAATTCATCAAAAGTGACAGCTCTCAATTTTTTGACATTTGTAAATTCTAAATTGAATGAGAAAAATGAAATAATACTAAGCATAATACAATATTCTAGATTTAATTATAATTAGGAAAAAGTTAGTTTTGAGAGTACTTTTCATAGGCATATAGAATGAAATCTTCTGAAAAATAATATCACATAAACTCATATTATTTTCTAATATATAACTATTTTATATAAAAATCAAATTCAATGATCTTAAAAGCGAAGGATAAACCTCAAAATTTACGAATATAATGTGTGGGAATATTTCATATGGTTTTATGATAGATAAGCATTATATTCCCACTCATTATATTCGTAAATTTTGAGGTTTATTCTTCGCTTTTAAGATCATTGAATTTGATTTTTATATAAAATAGTTATATATTAGAAAATAATATGAGTTTATGTGATATTATTTTTCAGAAGATTTTGTGTTCTTCTTCAAAATTTTATTTTTTTATTAAAAAGAATCTTTACAAAATATACATTTACTTTAATTAATAATTAAAAACGTGCTCTATCAAAAGTTCCAAAAATTCAATATTTTAGCTTTTCTGAGGTGTCACTTTTGATGAATTTCTGTTTACAACAAATTAAGATGAATTAGTATTATATATTTAAAATAACAAACAAATTAAAAAATTAAACATGGTTATATAAATCCGAGTTAAGGGTGCCCTATAACGATAATGTAAACATCACAAAATTAACCTTATTAGAACTCGAATGAATGGATTATCCAGATTCTAGTTCTCAATATAATAGCCTTAAAAGTGCTTTTCTGAGGGTGGTCTATCGTCTATAGGGCACCCTTAAATAAAGATATTATTTGCATCTTCATCTTCATCACCATTAAAGAATGGATCATCCGTGTCGGATGCATATGCAATAGTAGTAAGAATTTCGGTAAGATATTTCGTCTTTTCAGCATCAACATTTAATGGATCGGTCTCTGAACTTTCCGCACTCTTGTCATTACTATTGTTGTCTTCGTTGTTCTTCTTGTGACGAACATATAAAACAATACCAACAATGATCAATGAAATCAAAATCAATGTACAAACAATACCAATGATCATGAAGTTCAGTGGATTGGATTTAGAACTGGAACCATTGTCTTTCTGTTGTTCGGTGTTACTTGATGTTGAAACTGCGGCGCCACCTTGTGCAATAGTACGTGCTAATGAACGTGTAGGAGAGATGGTTTCAACTGGAGTAGGATTGAATGTAATGAATGGTGTATCGAACATAGTTTCAAATGCAGTAGAAAATGGTGTTGAATGTGGAGTGGAAAATGCTGTTTCAAACGGAGTTGATGATGCGGTTGAAAATACTGTTTCGAATGCTGTAATAAATGGAGTTTCGAATGGAGTAACTGCCTTTGATAAGTCAGGTGTTTGATGGGCTGTTGAAAATGGAGTAGAATGTGCGGTAGAAAATGGAGTGTCAAATGCGGTTTCGAACGCAGTTAAAAATGGAGTGTCATATGGAGTAGAAAATGCGGTAGATGATGCGGTCGAGAATGCAGTTGAAAATGGTGTTTCAAATGATGTTTCAAATGGAGTGGAATGTGCAGTAGAAAATGCTGTTTCAAATGCAGTCAAATATGGTGTTTCGAAGACTGTTTCAACTGGTGTCTCTGCGAATGTTGGTGATGGCGGCGGCGTTGGACTTGGAATTGGTGTCTCCATTGGTGTTGGAATCCATCTAACTTCTGCGCCAAATTTATATGCTATGACATTATTATCCTGATATCTTGAGTCAGAGAATATAGCGAAGAATATTCTGCCTGCATCTGCATTAATCTCAGGTAAATTGAATCGCTGAAGACCATATTGAGCGCGGAGTCTATACTCGAATATAGCATCACTTAGACTTGTTGATCCTTGTGTAACGATGATAAAGTATCTTTCTACTATATTTGGATAAAAAGGAGCGTATGTCCATATTTGAGGAACAATTTGATATCCAGCTGGAAGATCTACGAAATGCCATGTTGGTTCATAACTGCTCATTCCCAGTTCAGGAGCATTTTGTACATTTCCTGTTGCATTATACATCGTTGCTTGACAGAAATAACCACGACTGTTTCCTTCGCACTGACAGAAGCCATTTTCTCCACATGGTTGACCGGAACAATTAGCTGGACATGTTGGGTTCTCCACCTTCTGAAGTGTGAATGGAATAGTATCATTTTGAGTGTCAAAACCGCCTCTAATTGCTAATGAAAAAGTGACTTCAACGTCATCATCGACAATGAAATTATTTGAATAAATATGGATTTTCACTTTACCAGGGTCGATTTGTGGGATATAAACTCTTTCTATTGTAGACCTCTGTTCTGCTTCTGCTGTACCGTAAATGGAATTTCCTGCATATATTGAATCATTGTATTCAACAATCAAATTCAAATCGATGTAAACAAGATTTCCATTGTCTCTTGGTAAAGGTAAATCAAGATATGCCATTGTCACAGCAAAGCCATTATTCTTTATTGTACTAAATTCATACATAATGTGTTCGTTTGGTCCTATTTTAACTTTATCCAAAAATCTGGCACCGCCATTGAATGGATGATCAACGCCAACGCCAAGAGCATCACAAAGAATTGCTGGACCATGGCCAAGAGTATGTGTAAAAGTGTCTCGACGACCAGAATTTACAGCAATAGCTCGAAGTAAATTTGCTGATGGACTGAATGCATCGTCTGGATTTGGTTGTCCTGAAGAATAATATCCTTTCTCGAAGAATTCTCTGACTAATGCAAATTGACCTGCTGAAAGTGCTGTTGCAGCTGATACACCTTCCAATTGAATTAAACTGTCAAATGAAGTATCTCCAAGTGTTGAATTAGCTTTAGCTGATCTAGCTCCTGATCCAGAGAATGTGATGTCTGGTTTCATTATGCCGTCGAATGTAGGACCTTTAGCAGTTTCTACATAAATGTTATTGCCCCAGTTAAATTCTGTTTTATATCTGATTTCTGTTGTGTAATTGGCAATTGTCATTTGATTAATTGTTTCTTCTGATGTTGTTAAGATTAAAATGGGACCGGTTCGGGAACAGTTTGTCAGGTTGTCAAGGTAAACAAGAACACGTGTGCCATCAGGAATGTTTTCAACACATTCATATGAATACTTCATTAAGCCATCACCACTAATGTTTGAAATAGAAAGATTAGAATAATCAATAATTGGTGATTTCGTTTGATAAAAGAATGTCTCATTACTATATAATGTTGCTGGTTTTTCTCCAGTTGGAATAACTATCACTAAATTTGAATTTCCGTCATTTTCAATTTTAGATATTTCCTGTCTCGTCATGCCAGCAATTGTTAATGCATTAACTGCATCTGTTGGCGATGAGAAGAGATTACCAGTGGCTGGAAATAGGAAAAGTTTGTCTGGGTTCTCAAATGCAACTTTGTTTAAGGCATTTGTAAGGGTAGGTGAATATCCTGATGATGCCCAGCTGTTCGATGAGATCTTAGAACCAACAGAGTCCATTGATTCAGCAAGTTTTGTGAAATTGATTTGAGAATCAATTGTTGTATCTGAGATTTCAATGACATTGAGTCTGGCTTTTGGAGCAGCACCTTCATATAATGCATTTGCTGAATAGTCGGCTTCCGGAGTACCGGCAATAAGACCGGCACAGTATGTACCATGAACGTGATCACTGATGTTAAACTCAGTGGATGAATTGGTCCAGTTCTCGTATTTGTAGATCTTTCTGTGGGTAGGATATGTGTTTGGACCATCAATTGGAACTGTTGAATCTGAAAAGAAAGTATGTGAAAAATCAACACCATCATCAACAATTGTGACAGTCTGACCGTCTCCTGTGAGACCCAATAGTGTTGTAAGTCTTCGATCTGGACGAAGTTTCCAGCCTTCGTAACTATTCGCGTTGGTTCCACATTGTGCAAATGCGGCCGCAAATCTAGCATGAAATTCAATGGGCGATGATGGTTCTACACTTAAGACATGTTCATCGGAAAGAATATCATCAATCATGTCGTTGTCAACGACTTTGCAAGAAAAGGTTTCAAAACCAGAAGGTTCACATTGTGTTGGATAGTGCCATGATTCGGATGCACGAACAAAATAATGATTTGTAGAAGAATAATTAATATTGTTGTAGTACTTTGGTAAATAAGGTTCAATATCAAAATGTGATGTAGATGTAAAATAGTTGTATTCGTCTTGATCTAAGTACGACATGAAGATTTCTTGAGTGACTTTATGTTCATATCGAAAAATGTGTGGGTAATGTTTGCGATAATTTTGATAAATATCGCCTCGAAGTGAAAAAAGTGCATGTAAATAGAACCATCCGCTTGTTTGTGTTTCAAGGAGACGACGCCCTCTGCGTTCTTCTTGAATAAAATTTATCCCCCCTCGAAGTACCATTTATAAAGGTGACACCCCTCAAAAAATTGTCACAAGTGATAAGAATATCATAGTATCAGATTTATGATGAAATTTTTAAATTGGTGGGTAATTCTCAAAATCAGATTTTTGAGTGTAAAATTTTTGGAGAAATTTGGTCAGATAGCTTTCCGAACATTAATTCGAAATACAAGATTTGAAAAATCAATGGTTATTCTTATTTTATCTCCTTCTTTTCAAATTATCTGACACAATCCCTCAAAGAAAATGAATGATGTAAAAATCATATTAAAATAATAATACTTAGATGTAAATCCTAAAGTTGTAAACAACTTTTCAAAAGGAATAATCGGGGAAGCGACAAATTTGCCCAAAGTCACTTTTTATTTCCCACAACCGATTGACTTCTTATTTATAGTGTCTATGTACAGAAACACAAGGATTTAATGCTGCTGGAGAAGGAACTTGATCGATTAATTCAAATTATTAGAATTGATTATAATAATTTGTAAGAACATATAATATTTTGCAAGGCAATCTGGCCTAAATGCATTAATATAGCAGTATTTAATAATCGTTTTAAAGGATAGAAGATGGCCTTATAAATACTATTCAAAATTCATTAGGTATTATCGCATTAGTTCATATTGATAGATTAAATATCAAATGTATAGCATTACTGCAATGGTGATAAATTTTCAAGAATATTTTAGTTTATTGTTGTTTAGATGCTGCAATTAATAGTGTATATAAAGGCATACGAAGATTGAAATGATATATTGCATATGAGTTAAGTGAGTTGTTTGATATTTATGTTTAATGATTTAACTGAAAGTAAATTTTATTGTGTATTTGTTCATATTGAAAAGTGTATAAGAGGGTGGTAAGAATGAAGAAAAGAAGGAATGCAAAACAAGAGGGAAAAAAGAAAGTTAAGTAAAGAAAATCGCATAATATTTAAAATAACAAACAAACAAAAAAAAGGGAGAATGAGCTATAAAAGGCTCTAAACCGAATTATATTGATGTCTTGACAACCTTTGTGAGGACTGGCTTGACAATGACTGGATTGCGCGAGTGATGTGTTAGCAGAGAAAGCTGTCTGCTTTGAAGCTGACATCTTGACTGGGCGGAATGGGTTGAAGAGTGGCTGCTGAGGAGCTCGTCGACTGAAGGGCGGGCTTTCTCGTTGTTGTTGAGGCAGCTTGAGATGAGGGATGCACTCCTTTGAGACTTCTGGGTACTTGATGTGTGAGAAATCCTTAGACATGGCTTCCTCTTCACTGAAGTAGAGGTCTGTGATGAGGCGGCCTGTGAGCATGTAGTAGAATGTGACACCAAGAGACCATGAGTCAACTGATTGGGCGTGCTCGAACTTGGATTCTTCGTTTTCCTGGTACTGAGCGGCGTTGCAGAAGTCGCTGATCTGAACGCGGCCGTACTTGTCGAGGAGGAACTTTGATGGGCGGATGTTGTTGTGGCAGATGCGCTTGCTGTGCATTAAGCTAACACTCTTGAGCATTGAGTAGGCAGCTTCAGCAAAGCGAGATTCTGAAAGAAACCACGCTGCTCGATGTAGCGCTGGATGTCAAGTGGGCAGTAATCCATAAGAAGATAAACGTATTTTTCACGCATAAATGTTTGTGTAAACGTTGATAATGTTGAAATGGTATAATTGCGAATGATATTAATCTGATTTTGCTCGTAGTGAGCGCGTTCGATGCGCTTAAGTGAGAACAACTGGTTGTACTTAAGCCACTCAACAAGGAATACCTTTCCATGTTTCGTGGTGGTGATGACACACTTGAATGCGAGTCCTTCGGATTGCATGACGTCACAGTCTATATCATTCATTTGTTTGAATGAATATTTTGAACACACCATAAATTCTGTACGCATTGAAAATATTTTGAATAGACTATTGCAAATTTGAGAAGAGCTTGGATGGCCGAGCATTCAAAATACTTTGATGCTTATGCATGATAGAGTATGATTACAAAAAATAAATTTCTATGGATATTTTTTCAATACGTTTAAAAGTTCACAAATTACATGGCACTATATAATTTTGTGAAGTGTAAAGCAGCAATTTCAGAGATATACAAAAAATGGAAATGATTAAGTGCAGGGGGCATTACCTATCTATGTAGAGCATGATTTTTTAATTTTCATCTTTTTAGCATTTTTATACTTTATTTTTTACTTGGGTTATGCGAGTTTTCAGAATTTTCTTGTTTTGTTAGATGCAATAACGCACATGCAGTATGTGAAACACGTCAGATCAAGCAAATATCAGTAAAATGTAAAATTGAAGAGACATTATGCCATTTTCCTGGGCCTTCTCAATTCCTCTCAATTCAAAACCGCCACTTTTGTGTAGATATTTGTCTGAGCATTTTTGATATGAGAAAAAATGCTTAAAATATATAGTAGATTATATTTAAATAAGAAATCTTGAATTTCAATAAGATTCACAAAACATGATTTTGAGAGCGATAAATACTATTTTTATAACAAAAATGTAGTCTGTAATCAATTTTACGTCAGTAGGAAGGCTGACAGTGTTGCAAAGTATGTTTTTATGGATGTGTAATGAAATAAACAGATGAGTAATTGCATATTTCCAATATATTACATTTGACTTGAACGGACATGCCTCAAACTAAACCTAACTATTGCTATCCTTCCCTAGACATCATAACACTTTCTTTTCAATTTCTAACGCTTTAAGTATCCTAATTTCACTAACTAGAACTCTTTCCTTTATCAATTATTAAATATCTTTCATATTATTATATCTGTTTTCTGTAGTTTAGTAAATCTGAGAACTTATAAAAAGTAATCTCAAGCATATAAGATTTGAAATTTCTTAGATATTAAAATCTTCAAATTTAGAAAATTTATATTACAATAACTGTTTCAAAGATGTTTTGCATATTATTAAATAAAATACAAAAAGATTAAAATTTTCAAGAATATTGTATGACAAACAATAGTATTAAAAGTATTGCTATGTTTTTCAGAGTTGGTTAGAGAGTTAACTTTAGTTTGAGGCATGTCCGTTCAAGTCAAATGTAATATATTGGAAATATGCAATTACTCATCTGTTTATTTCATTACACATCCATAAAAACATACTTTGCAACACTGTCAGCCTTCCTACTGACGTAAAATTGATTACAGACTACATTTTTGTTATAAAAATAGTCCTGCTATTTATCGCTCTCAAAATCATGTTTTGTGAATCTTATTGAAATTCAAGATTTCTTATTTAAATATAATCTACTATATATTTTAAGCATTTTTTCTCATATCAAAAATGCTCAGACAAATATCTACACAAAAGTGGCGGTTTTGAATTGAGAGGAATTGAGAAGGCCCAGGAAAATGGCATAATGTCTCTTCAATTTTACATTTTACTGATATTTGCTTGATCTGACGTGTTTCACATACTGCATGTGCGTTATTGCATCTAACAAAACAAGAAAATTCTGAAAACTCGCATAACCCAAGTAAAAAATAAAGTATAAAAATGCTAAAAAGATGAAAATTAAAAAATCATGCTCTACATAGATAGGTAATGCCCCCTGCACTTAATCATTTCCATTTTTTGTATATCTCTGAAATTGCTGCTTTACACTTCACAAAATTATATAGTGCCATGTAATTTGTGAACTTTTAAACGTATTGAAAAAATATCCATAGAAATTTATTTTTTGTAATCATACTCTATCATGCATAAGCATCAAAGTATTTTGAATGCTCGGCCATCCAAGCTCTTCTCAAATTTGCAATAGTCTATTCAAAATATTTTCAATGCGTACAGAATTTATGGTGTGTTCAAAATATTCATTCAAACAAATGAATGATATAGACTGTGACGTCATGCAATCCGAAGGACTCGCATTCAAGTGTGTCATCACCACCACGAAACATGGAAAGGTATTCCTTGTTGAGTGGCTTAAGTACAACCAGTTGTTCTCACTTAAGCGCATCGAACGCGCTCACTACGAGCAAAATCAGATTAATATCATTCGCAATTTATACCATTTCAACATTATCAACGTTTACAAAACATTTATGCGTGAAAAATACGTTTATCTTCTTATGGATTACTGCCCACTTGACATCCAGCGCTACATCGAGCAGCGTGGTGTTCTTTCAGAATCTCGCTTTGCTGAAGCTGCCTACTCAATGCTCCAGAGTGTTAGCTTAATGCACAGCAAGCGCATCTGCCACAACAACATCCGCCCATCAAAGTTCCTCCTCGACAAGTACGGCCGCGTTCAGATCAGCGACTTCTGCAACGCCGCTCAGTACCAGGAAAACGAAGAATCCAAGTTCGAGCACGCCCAATCAGTTGACTCATGGTCTCTTGGTGTCACATTCTACTACATGCTCACAGGCCGCCTCATCACAGACCTCTACTTCAGTGAAGAGGAAGCCATGTCTAAGGATTTCTCACACATCAAGTACCCAGAAGTCTCAAAGGAGTGCATCCGCCTCATCTCAAGCTGCCTCAACAACAACGAGAAAGCCCGCCCTTCAGTCGACGAGCTCCTCAGCAGCCCACTCTTCAACCCATTCCGCCCAGTCAAGATGTCAGCTTCAAAGCAGACAGCTTTCTCTGCTAACACATCACTCCGCGCAATCCCAGTCATTGTCAAGCCAGTCCTCACAAAGGTTGTCAAGACATCAATATAATTCGGTTTAGAGCCTTTTATAGCTCATTCTCCCTTTTTTTGTTTGTTTGTTATTTTAAATATTATGCGATTTTCTTTACTTAACTTTCTTTTTTCCCTCTTGTTTTGCATTCCTTCTTTTCTTCATTCTTACCACCCTCTTATACACTTTTCAATATGAACAAATACACAATAAAATTTACTTTCAGTTAAATCATTAAACATAAATATCAAACAACTCACTTAACTCATATGCAATATATCATTTCAATCTTCGTATGCCTTTATATACACTATTAATTGCAGCATCTAAACAACAATAAACTAAAATATTATTCAAAACTGAATGAAAACTCCTTTTGTCTTTTATCAGACGTTGTGTTTGCATATGCTTATTTCTTTTTGAGTAGGTTATAATTCATAATGCTATATTCACTACATATATTAAAATACATATTCAACTTTTAAGCCTGACTCTTTTCCAATTTGATTCAATGATTTGATGAAATGGCGATGGTAGAGCATGCAGACTTAGCAAAAATGGATTCTAATTTTGAAGACAATATCAATAAGAAAAGTTTCTACCAAAAATCTTAACAACCCTACGCCAAGAAATCCACAAAAGAATGTGTTTTGCGAAAAAAGCATGCTCAAAGAGTTCAAAGCGATCTAAAAAATCCTTCAATTAAGTATTTTGTCTGTTCTATATAAAGTCGCACATTAATTTTTCAATCTTGATATTTTGGTATGATGACCATCATTCTCCAAAAATAATTTTCATATTCAAGAAAACTGATCGATACAATATATATCTCAGCATGCACCTTAAGTCTAATAACAGCATATTGCATTTAAACAGTGCGATACCAATCTAAGCGAAGATCAACATTTGCGGAATAAACCTTTCCTCATATTACGAGGTTTTTAATATTGGATTGTTTATATATGACTAATTTGGAGAAAAATTATGTCTTTTTGATCAGAATATGGAATTATCTCCCCGAAGTTATTACTTTGTTTCTCTTAATGAAAATGCGATTAGTTGTGAAGCAATTAGGCAACTCTGCTTCGGGAAGATTCTATTTGCAATAGAGTTCCTACAAAATCTCACGAAAATTTCAGCAAAAGCAATATGTCATAAATTAGCTCATTCGAAGGAACCATTACAATTTGTTCACACACATGAGCTCCCATCACCTGATCATTTCAATTGGGCTGCATCAAAAATATCTGAATATTTTGGAAATCAATCAAAATTTGCAAGTGAACTAATTGTATTATATGAACTCAAGACACAAAAATTCATAGAATTTACCAAATTATATGATTTTATTACAGCGTCAATGTACAAAAATGAAATAACACTAACTTTTCTTCGCAATCTCTATAATAAATCGCGAAATCTCTTCATCTATCTAGTTAAGCATTTTCCAAATATATATTCTGGCTTCGATTCGTCCGATATAATGAATTCCCTTCCACAATTTGATTATACTGTCATTAATTTGATAAGTGAAGAGCTAACCCTCGTTAAAGCCAGCGTTGATATACCGGAAAACCTATTTCCTGCACATCTAATTATAATGCAGTCGGCTTTAGAGTGTCAAAATCCGAATTTAATCAGAAATGTACAAGATTTACTCGGCGCATCAGATATTATATCATCCCATCCGATACTCAACAACATACAGATTACTATTGCTGGTAAACAGCACGTTGATGACCTTTTCCTCCAACCATTGAATAATTATCTCGAACATTTTCAATTTCAAGCCGCAAAAGACTATACATCGAGACATCCCGTGTACTTAGTTGCATCATATATTCTCAAAATACCGAAATTCATATCAAACCGTCCATTTTTAGAATCTACAATCTCAGAAGTGATGCAAATCCCTAATACACCTCCTAAATTCTCTGCCTTTTTACAATATATACAAAATGACTTACTTATTACTAACAATTTTTCACAATTATTAGGTCAAAGAATTTCATTAGAAGATTTATCACTCAGATCATTACCATATATATCAAAACCCATCATTGACACGTTTACAATTGCAAATGTCAAGTTTTTGAAGACAGCACAAAGTTTTTGCATTCCTAATTGCGACATTGAATTTTATTTCTTCGCTTCCTTCCTTATTTTGCATAATATACTTACTAACTTCGATAAAGCATTCATCAGAGAGACATTAATGTATATTGACGATCCTCAAATCCACAAATCAATTTTAGTTGACATTTTTTCTTTGATTTTTCTGAAGGACGATAAAAACGGTTTTGTCTTTCCATTAGATAAAGTTATTGGCATATTAGAGATTCTTAATGAGTATTCATTGAATCCATGCAAGAAGTATATAAAGCAAGGATTACATAAAGCGAAATATTTTGAAGACTTCAAAGAAACATATCAATTGTTTTTGCCAGCGGAAAGTTTGATTCATCCTTTACTTGTAAGGAAAGAATATGACAAGGCGAGATCTATATCACAACATAACCAAGATATTATTGATTTCATTGAGCTGAATGAATCAATCAACAGTTATATCAATAACTTAGTTTCTTTTCCGAAATTTTCGTCAGAAAAAACTCTGGAAAAATTCAATTTGGAAATTGGATTGAGTTTAGGACTGAAAGAAAACTTAAAGAAAATACAAGATAAGACATATGCAACACTTATCGAAGAAAGAATGAATAATAATTCAGTTGAATGCATACAACCTTGTTCAAAACAAATAAAAGGTGCCAAAAATTTTGACAAAATTTTCCAAAGTCCAAATTTTGTTCTCACGAATTCTTTTGAAAGGATTGGCAACAGGAAATCACTGAACGAGTTCATAGATTTTGTGAATGTTTACATCAATGTCGGAGCAACAACTCCTGGTGGTTTTAAATCAATAAATGTCAAAAATACGTTACATTTTTTGATTCAAAATGGCAAATTTGATTTAGCTATTGAATTTGCAGGAGTTAATCGAATTGATTTCTTCCATTTATTGTTTGTTAGTTACAGAGCGAATGAACAGATCATTAAATTGATTTCTCCGATGTTTCCTTTGGCATCTTTCACAATGGCTTTGTGTTCAATGAGCCGCGAAGAACTCATCAAATATAAGGATATAATTATTCCTAAAAATCCTTCAAAACAAGTTTTGTCACTTTTTGAAAAAAAAATTTCAGAAAATTTGCCAAAACAAAAACCAAACTTAGTTGACTTGATATTAGAAAACAGACCAGAACTCGATGATTATTTATATAACGCTGATATCAAGGAATTAAAAGAAGCGGTTTTGTACGTTAAAAACCACATTCCTCTTTCAAAATTTTCGGTTTTGTTAGATTTTGTTTGTTGTTTCACTACTGACAGTGAAATCCAGAATTTAAGAACAATTGTTATGTTCTTAGGTCAATTGGATGATCCTCCACAATCTTTCATTGACGCTGTTGACAGTGTTAATGTTGAAAGAAGAATAAGAGATCTCATAACAAAACAAAAATATTCTTCTTCAAGAAAATTAAGTGAATATTGTAATTCTATCGATTTCTACGTGAAATACGTAACTAACGAAATCGAAGAATTGATAAACAACAACAAATCAATAATTGAAATCATGAAAGCGTCAAACGGTTTGCATCACAAAATTTTATCGTCTATTTCAAAAATGAAATATAAAATTCGGTTTGAAATCATCAAATCTTCAGTTGAATTGATGAATGACGAAGAAATTTCCAAAGAATACGACATATTAAAGGTGTTCTTGTTCTTGCCAGTTACAAAACGTCCGCCAAAACCGTCAATTTCTGACATCATCTCACTTTTGACAGAAAAATCTGACTTACAAGAATTAGAGAGATTGGCAAGTAATTTTGACTTAGATTTTAGTGTTTTTGTGCAGCAAATTACTATGAAAGCGTTTAGTATCATCCAAGCTTATGGAGATAATATAAGTTTGCCATTATTAGTTCCTCTTTTGAGTTCTTTAATGGATTTACTTGAAAACTTTTCGTCATTTTCAATTCATTGCCACAAATTTGGAGATTCTTTTCTCCCTGTTGTTGCTTTATTGAGTGATTATGTTGTAATTGATTGTTTAGAACATGAATCATTTTGTTGTTTAGTTTTGATTCATTTCAGAGTTTTCATTAAAAGAATCCAAAAACTTGCTTCTGACAGTATTAAACCAGAATTTGATACAATTCTTGACAGTTTGAAAATAGTTGATTCGTTGCAAAATATTAGTTTCTTTGCCAAATACAACAAAACATATTTTTGCAACAACCAATTATCAGATAAATACTGTCAAGAAATGTACAATTTATTGTCGAAAGAAGAATATGTAGAAGAATCATTGATGTACATAAGAAAGTTCTTTTATTCATCACCAAACTATTTCTTCCTTTTGTTGAAATTGCATCAATACGAACTAGCAAGAGAATACTTTAATTCTAACATCAAAAAGGAACTTAAAAAGAATTTCTCGCTCCAATCAAATGAGTTCATTTCGAACTTGTTTTGGGCAATTAAATCTCCTTTTGTTGTTGATGAAGAATACTTGAAAAATCCAAATATTTTCGATATGCCGAAATCATTTACAAGTCAAATACAAATGTATATTGACTCAAAAACTCCGGCGTTTTTCCCTTCTTCTACAAGCGAATGTGCTTTTTATCAGCAGGAAACTTTTGGTTTAACTGAATCTTTGGCTTTCACAACAACTTGTGGAAGTTTCGAATCGAGTTTCAAAGTATTGTTCAGTAAGAAATTGGAATGTAATTTGTTCCTTTATGGAATTTTGATTCCTTCTTTGAATACAGGAAAATTTGACCAAATGATTGAATTTTTGAACAAATACGATGAGTATTTGGAAAATTCAAATGAAGCATTAAACTACGCAATCATCTGGAGCAGGAATCGTGATATGTATAGACTAACTTATGAGTTAGATATACTTTCAGGTGATTACGAAGATGCAATATCAATGGTCGAAATTTTGTATTCAATTGAAACTAAAACTGAAGTTCGAAAAAGAATTTTGGATAAAGCAGTCAATGAAATACCAAGAGAAGTCTTATCTTATCAGAAGATTGACTACCAAATTAAATTCCTTGCTTTGGTCAAGGACAAAGGAATTTCCATTAAAAATGAGCATCATATGTTTGGTTCAAATATTGGAAGAACATTGGCTCTGTTGATTGAAAACAAACAGCAACAGTTCGCACTAACAGCAGCAACTGATTTGAGAATAGATCCAACAGAAACTTGTTCGATTTTGGCAAAGAAATATAATTTGTCAAAATCAAAAGCTTTTATTTCTTTCTTGCAGCAATTTTGCAAAGAAAATGTCTATGAGAATTGGATAACTGCCTTCCTAAAGAGCATGAACGAATCTCATAAGAATAGTGACACTGTTCACAAACTTATTACAAATGAAATCAAAAATAACAAATTCAAATGTCATCTTTTGATTCTCTTCGGATTTACAGATGAAGCAAGGAAAATAGCAGTTGATGGCAGGTATGAAGAATTTATACAACTCCTATCATATTAGCATTTATATGTTTTGTTTGATAAAATAAATATTAGTGTATGTTCTCTTTCCAAATTTATAAACTTGTTTTTTTATCCACTTTAAAAATCCATAAATATTGTTGGGATGAAGCTGCTCGTTCTCTTTTCCAATGAATATCATATAATGCACACTTTAAATTTAGGTTGTTCAAGAGATGTGAAATATTTGTGTGTGAATTAATGATCTTCTAAGAATTCCTTTATCTCAGGAATAAAAAAAATTCCGCTCCTCGCTTTCCACTATTTGCTCATGATTTGAGAAGAACTAAATGTATAGGAAGTTTTTCGAGAATAGCATTTGTTTCTACTATAAAAAAATCATCATGAAAAGAATGGATTTTACTATGAATTATTTATAAATATGCATATAAGGAAAATATAAAATAGGTGCATGTTAAAATACTTTGAATTACAGCTTTGAATGCAAATTTTATTAGGAATTATAAATATGTATGGATTAAGCTTAATCCACAGCTGGTTTGTTGTTTTATGAATATCGGCATTATTTGCATATGCAACTAGGAGTGTATTGTTTACAAAGTGATACTTTTTCGCACCAATAGGGTAATACCAATTAGAACCAGTAGAAATATCAAAAAAAGAAGCTGAATCTCTTGATTTTCGAAATCCTACATCAAAAACTTCGGGCCAAGTTAAAGAAACGGTTTTGAAGCCTAAACTTGAAGCAGTACTGGATGTGGTTGAGTCAAATGGATGTAAATACTGATAAAATGTGTTGTTGCCGTTTAAGCTAGGAATTGTGTACATAAAAAGGAAACCATATTCGTCAAAATGGAATCGGTAGTCGATGAATCCGAGTATGGAGTACAAATATTGGTCGTCTGTAGAGTTTTTAAGTTGTTCAAGAGAAGTGAAGTACTTGTGTGTTGAAGAGTTGTGCTGAAAAACTTTCAACCATGTGAAACCGTGATCTTCTAAGAATTCCTTTCTACCAGGAATAAAATCAAGAGAAATCTTTTCAACTGTTCTAGCTCTGATGATTTGAAAGATCAATCAGTATATAAAAGTTATTTTATACCTAAGCTTGCACAAGTCTTCAAATATTAAAGTAATGCGCTATAGTGCATTTCCAAAATATATTTGAATGTCCTTTCAAAATCAAAAGTTTAATAAATAAATGTTGGATTTTCCGTATGTTATTTATATTGTTATTAAATGAAATCCATTTTTTAATAGAAATTTTCTATTGAGGATATCATCATGGATGATGATTATAAGGATTCTCAGGATTCGGCATATAAGTCAACAGCAAAACTGATTTCACATGAAAATCCAATTAATATTGTATCTCGGCCAACAAAATTTAGTGAAGATGAGGCAAAAGTTATTAATTTTCAACTCAAAATGCTATTGTCGCCTATTTCTAGTACATCAATAGAAGCTGCCGAAGAATTACTCGTTTATACCGAAAATAGAAATGGTTTGAAATTTCTTATCAAGCCTGAGCACATAAAGAGATTAGTTTCACTTCTTCAGGAAGATGTAAATATTACAATTCCATTACAATTTTTAAATTGCATGCTAAATACAAAAGGAATATTTATGAATGCCGCTATGGAAACGAATATATTTGCAATTCTCAAAGTTATTATAGAAGGAATCAATGATCCTGATATTCTTCAGTTATCTTTTGATTTATTAACAATTATTATTAAATATTCGCAGGATTATATTGCTGAAGCGATCAATTGCGGTGTATATGACAATTTAGATATGTTTCCTAGCAATTCTTCATATATTCCATCTTTTGCCTCATTTCTATTGACATCTTTACAACAAAAGAAAATTCCACCCAACTTTTATCAGAAATTCATTTCCCCGCTTGTTAACATATATGTTTTCGATGATTTTGATGTGAAAAAATGTGTTATTGAATGTTTCTGCATTTTGGCTGAAAAAACTGAAGATGCAGAGCAGATATTAGTTGATAATGCAGTTATCTCTACATTTGTTGACTCTGTGTCTTTATTGGATGAACAAATGAGCCCTTTATCAATGAAATTAATTTGGAAAATTGCATCATTCCAAAATTCGCATGCTCTCTCGGTTCAAAACAATATTTTTAATGTTATCAAAGATATTTATTCGAATTCGACGCAAAATATTCCGAATAATTTTGTTTTTTATACAATGAAGTTTGTTCTTCAATTTTTGATTGAAGATTCAAATGACATGTACATTTTATTAGTTTCTGAGTTTATTACAACTATTTCTGTTGATTTCTTCTATAATTTGAATATTGAAGCCAAAATATCCATTATTGGCATGCTCCGTGTATTCATACAAAAGTGTACTCAACAGCTATTTGTAACTTCTATTGATCCTGAATTGATTTTAGCAATTTTAGAGTTAAATGATTCTAACGATTCCGATTTAGCTTATGAAACTGTAATGATTACACTAGAATTAATAAATAAGATGACAGACGACGAAAGATATAATCCTATTAAAGAATACATTTTAAGTGGCGAATTTCATGATTATGTTGATGATTTGAGAGATTCTGAAAAGCAAGATCTATCAGAAAGGGCTGTTAGTTTATATAATATTGTATCTCAGATTGCTAATGAGGAATAAAAAAAATATTATTTTTTATTGTTTGATAACTATACGAAATATTTAAATGTATATGATGGTGATGTGAATTTAAAAAGAATAGTATTAGAAAATATTAGTAATATTTATGAAAATAACAATAATGATTTACAATCGTTAATATACTCTCATTGGCTAAAAACCTTATTGTAAGCTTCAGAAAATGACGAATTAATGAACGGATTCATGATGATTCCTGGTAAGAATAAGAGAATATGGAAGAAAATGTAATAAAATTTGATACTTGATATGAAATAAGCAATAATAAACAAGATCAATGTTAAAAGTATTTGTTTGTATATTGATCCTTGATTAGGTTCGATCGAAATTCGAGAAATTGTCTGAATAATTGGATGCCAGAACTCAGCAATCTCTTTGGGTGTTCTTATCCTGTCGGAACTCTTTTCAGTATCATAAATTATTTCGTCATCGAAAAAGAAATTGAAAAGAAATTGTGATTTTTGAAACAGCCAATAAATTAATTTATAAAATATTGCTAAAATTGCTAGTGTTGCGTAAAATCCGACACGCATTTTATATATCACTCCGAAAACAAGATTCGAAATTAATAATATGAGAATGAATTGAATTGGGAGCTTGAAAAGGAAGATCGCTTGTAAGTTATAGACGTATAATTCATGATTCTTCAAATATCGATAAATCTTGATCTTTGTCAATTGAGCAAGATAATCAAAGTTCATTGAAATAAAAATGAATGTCTGGTATTGAAATTATATTTCACATACCAATATGTAATAATTGATTATATCATTGAATCCCAAAATTTGTTTGTTTGCCCGAAATTCGAAGAGAAGATTCATTATAGTTATTTGGTGAGATTTGGTGATAGTGCAATGAATCTTAAAGAAAAGTACTAAATGTTCATTAACGATTTTATGATAAGGAAATAAAAAAATCTTTTTCATAATTTGATTTATCTCTGAAGGATTTATTTCCTTAATTTTCAATTATTTCCTTTGCTGATTATATATATGCAAAGAACCATACAAATAAGTTGATATCTTAGAAAAATTTTTCAATAATGTTATATATTCAAGGGATAACCTGTTTGAATTATCTTATATTTAATCAAAACGATCAACTATTGTAGTTTTGCATGAAATATAGGAATAATTTTCACATTTTATTTATAAAAAACTGTGTTAAACCCAATAGTTTATTATAATAAATAAATACATATACCAAAGAAACAATCTTAAATAAGAGATGAATGAATTTCCGACATAGATTCGGATGAGATTTCTTTCTTATGTAATGGATGAGACTTGAAGTAGATACAAAGTGCAAGAATGATAAATTCCCAAATACCATCGGCAAGTGATGCAGTAAACGTTGTGAAATCTTCATGAGCGCCGAGCCACATGTAGAAAGCGTTTGCGAGGTTAACTGGTGCTTGAATCTCAAGCATCAAAAGGGAGAGAGCACCGTGATCGCGTAATTTGATTGTTGTCACGGTTTGTGGAATGAATTGGATAATTTCAATGACAAAAGCAACGTAACCCGAGACTTTGCCAATAACTTTTATTGGATTTGAATCAAAACCTAAAAGTAAGCCAATAACTGCCCAAACTAATAAGCATGATGTAAATAGAGTGATAGCAACAATTGGAAGTAAGCGGATCATAAATTGATCCTTTTTGATTGCATCTTCATCTCTTTTCATTCTTGGTTTTCTATCAAAGAAGGTCCAAAGTTGAAATACGACAGAAAGGTAGAGGCAAAACTGTCCAAATACTAAAATGAATGTCATAAGTCTTGCGAATGTGTACTGGTTGTTATAGAGTAACAAACCAACAAAATCTTGGTATTTCAGGCAAACAACGTTAAATGAAGGGGCCCAGAGACAAACTGCTTGTGCTAACACACTGAAGACAGCTCAACCATAACTTGTACGTGCTTTAACTAAAGTAATTGGCTGTGGAATATATGAAATCATTGTGATTACGAATAGAATTGAACCGATAATAACCCAGACAAGATTGAAACCTGGGTAAAAGAATGAATAGTCAATAAATCCTGCAGATAGGGCCCAATCACGAGACTCTTCGCCCATAAGATGATATTATTCTATTTAGAATTGAAAACATTCAGAAAATTTTGTGAACCATTCAAAATGAAATCTCTCTGTGGAAAAAGGATATATAATGTCCAACAATAATTTTAAATAAGGGTTTCGTTTTGCTAAAATTGTCACTTTTATAGCATATTTGTTTTTGGATGTTTTGCGAAACCAAAAAAAAAACTATGATATACAATGTGTGTGTAAAAAAATACTTTATTTACTAGTTAAAAAATCATTTGGTATTGATCAAGTTATTTTTTCTGGATAAGATATTGTATGGATAATTGGATAGAAAATACAATTATATAATCTTGTACCTGGTTTAATTAAGCTAATTGTCATCAGAAACTTGTAATTTTTATGAATTTCAGATTTTCTTTTCATTACTGCTTTTCTTAATAGGTCAAGTTCTTATTTACGTTATAAAGTATGATATTTACAAATATCAAGTTATCATGTTTTTTGAGAAATTATGAGAAACAAACAAAAATGAAAAAGATAGGAATAGCAATGAATAGTGATGTGGGTATAGAAAATGTAAGAGATATGAATGCAAAGCAATCAGTATTTAGGATATTGACCATAGATTTCGAAAAAAAAATGCTGCATATTGAGCGAAAACTATGATTATATTATAAAGCTGTCATTTAAAGCATAATGAAACTATTCCCTTTTCATTTTAATCGAATAAGATAGTAAAGATTTTTGAATTAGCTAGAAACTGATGAGATGTTTTCACAAATCAGATTTTTAATCTCTATAATGCATAATTCACTCAATATCTCAATTTTGATATTGCGAGATATTTTTACTATCGGTTTCGCAATTTTGACAGAATAGCAAGAGGGTTCTATAAGCATTATTATCAACGTAGAATCTGAATATCATATCAGAAAATGTCGCAAATCTGACATTTACCCGACCAAATAGCAAAAATAATTGAATACTTTTCGCAAAAACTTTAAAAATCGATAAAAATATGAAATATGATATTAAAGAGACTTTTTATATAATATTCATAAAGATTTTCCAAAAAAATGATACGCAAAATTAAAAAAGTGACGTCTTGAGTGGAGTCAAAGGTCGAAATTGCTAGCTAAATGTTTTTTTTTAGCGAAATTGCGTATTGTACGTTTTTTTCGCAAAACGAAACCCTTATTTTAAAATTCCGATGAGAAATAAACTTGATCATATCGGCTAATTTGTAGTTCAAACGTTATGAAATGGTATTTTCATTGATCAGTGTCATTGATGTTGATCATTTAAAAACAAGTGTTGAACGATGAAATAAAGTAAATTTTTCACTGAAATTTTCTTCTGAGATAAATCATTTGGTATTTTGTTGTGTAAGAGTTGAAAAAGGTTTGGAATTCTGAACAGATAAGATTCATTCAATTAAAATATTTTCTAAACGTTAAATTTCACTAGGAAATATTGTAAGCTTATGACAATATTTATTCGCCGATAAATTTTGAGATTTTCTATCAAAAGGGAACGATAGAATACAATTCAGAAAAAAGAAATGTTTCGGAAATAAAGAAATGAACGAATCACCCTCTATGCAAAACAGCAGTATGCAAAATAGTACGCAATCAATCATAGGAGAAATCAAAATTCTCTGACCGATTTTTGACATAATTATTTTGTCAGAATGTCAAAAATTAAATCTCTCAATCATTAACAAATTTGCAATAAAACCTAGTAAATTTTTTGCATACACTGATTCATCACAATAAAATAAATTGATATGAATTTAATCAATAGAACCGGGTTCAAATGTATTATAATGCAAAGATTTATTATCACATATAAGAATATGTTCGAAATTTTTAAAGCGAAGGGCAAAACCTTACTTTTAAAATTTAAATTGATATGATTAATGAAATTTGTTTCAAAATGATTTGGAAATGGATTACGTATCAATGATATAGTATAGTTCTAGAATGAGGATGCTTGAGTTATGAAAAAATCAAGAGGTATGAAAATTCAAAAACGTTTGCTAATTCAATAACTTCATGTCATACTATTATGTTGTTATTTTTTCTATTTTTATATCTTGTTGATTGCAAATTTTGAAGAAAAAAACAATTTAAATGGCTAAATGATAGGAAAAATCATTGGCAAACTGTTATCCATGACATCAATTCATAAAATGGAAATAATCCTTTCCAAATGTTAGTTGTCTTGCTAAAAAGTCAATATTGATTGTGTAATTATTAACCTGAAGCGTTTTTATTGCATTACTCTACAATATTCAATAAAATTAATTAGCTTTTTTTTTCAAAACAATTCAATTAAGCTATTGAGGAAAAAAGTCGTCATAAAATAATACTTTTTATTTATTCATAAGGAGCTAATATTTAAGATGCCTTATAATATTTTATGTTGTGAGATAATTAGATCCTATTAAATTGAAGAATCTTTTTTCAATATGTTTGCCAAGTCAATTTTTTTCTTTTCTGCAATAATTCACAAATACTTATACTCTCTATTTTTATTAATGAACTAGAATTCGCTTATTTATTTTGTATATTTTTCTTTTTTGTCCACGCAGCTTCTGCATTCCTTTTAAAATTATATTTATCTATGTGAATATAAGCTAATTTAGTATGGATGATATAAACATTGAATCCGAGTAGGGGTAATTTTAGCTAAAAGTGACACACCTGTAAAAAGTGACACACCCGTGAAGGGTGTGATTACCGATCGGTAATTTCGACAGTTTAGAATTTAAAATTTTTTATGGAACTGTTGCGAGTTTCATAAAGAATTTAAGGAATATAAGCAAAGATTTGAATCAAAATCTTAGACCTAAGCCGCTCGATTCGCTCGCGGCGTCCGCGAATTACAGATCAGCAAAGATTTGAATCAAAATCTTCGAACTAAGCCGATCGCTTCGCTCGCGGCTTTCTTTATTATTTTAAATTTGCATATTTCCATCAAAAGTTCATAAGGTAAAAAATTTCGTTTATTTTTACTAAGAAAAAAAGGTTTTTGATAATAAATTTATTTTATTTCGAAAAAGTAACAATAATCGTAAAAGGGTATTGATAGGCTTGCTAAAGTAACTAATTTTAGCTGTCAAATACTTTTGTATTTTGAAGTAAATTAGTATAAATTTGATATTATTTTAACTCCCTTTGAAAACCTCAATTTTCCATACAGAGGGAACGGGAATAGCATCCAATATTCCCTGAGAATGGTTGCGCATTCTCAGTTCCCTCTATATTTCGAACGAAGCTCTCATCGGTCTTTTTTTTAATACTAAACGTTTTTTCCCTGTCACTTTTAGCTAAAATTTGGGTTTGCCCATTGAATCCCATGGCGCTCAACATTATATTACCTTGATGATATATAAAACTTTTTAAGTTCTATTTTGCTAATGATTGTATAAATTATATTCAACAAGAAAAATATAAATTTGAGAATAAGGCAATAAACTAAATGGTCTCATACAATATTTGTTTTGCCCTTTTGATTTCGTTATATGTAATGTGTGAAGAAGCCAATCAACATGTTTGTTAAATTGGTGCTGTTTTTTCTATGATTGTTAAATATCCTTTATCGATCTGATATCTAGAATGAAGGATAATCTTGATATAATAATTTTCAAAATATCACTTGTTTGATAATAAATAGTCTGATTTTTGAGATAGATGACTTATCATTTTGTTGAACATATGGAGTGTGTTATTTTAGTTAATCATATCTCAATCCTGTTATTATAAATGTAATTTAATAAAAATCCGTTAATTGTTTTGATGCAGTATGCATTACAACTATATAAAATGATTTGATGAGCTATCTGAGTTTGTGTTTCGAGATGTGAAATTCATTTTATTAGTGATATCTTCTCCTAATTATTTGAAAGCAAGCAAATGACTTCCATAGATTGATAAATTTAAAGATTTAATTCACGTAGCTTTATTGTAAATCATCCACACAATTATTTGAGGAAAATCAAATGAATTTACAATATGATTTAATTATTTTTCCATATCATAAAAAACTTCACATATTTAATTAAACACAATTCTAAAAATGAATTTATTTATCCCAATTTCATTGATTTGATACAATTCTCACATTTTAAATTTCTTTAATCATTTCTCAAGAACTAGTTCCTAAAGCTCTTTTATAGAAAATGTACTGTGTACATTATTGTATCCCTCGAAATTGAATTATAAAAAAAAATCATTGATAAATCTAAAAAAGTATAACACAATAATAAGTAATATAAAACCTTTGATAAAGCTATGTATATTTGGCAATATCATCTTTTAAATAAATTAGATATTTTATTTGGGCGCGTAAAGGGTTTGCGTCCTAAGGCGTCCTGATGTAAACTATTCAATTTTTGAGAAGTTTACACCATAATTGAATAGTTTATGGCGTCCTGAGAGGAGATTTCAATGGGTATGGCGTCCTAAAAATAGAAGAAAATGATTTTTTCTCGATTTTTCTAGAAATTGAATTTTTTAAAAAAGAAAAAAATCAAAACGTATACATTCAAGAAAGACTATAAATGAAGATTTTTCTATTTTTTTCATTCTAAAACATCTTTTTTTGGATAATTTTTTTTTTTAATAAATATGTAAGAAAGATTGAAGAAAAAGTAAATTTACTTTAAGAAAACTCGTTTTACATGATGTAAGACCCATAACAACTATAAATATTCAATTATTTAA